AATTTTTTTCAACAATAATACCTCCCTAAAGATATTGTATCTAAATTTCCAGGCACACTTATTATTAATATTACTGTTATGCAGTCACGTGCCTTTCAAAAGAAACTTCAGAATTATCACACTATCTGTGAATTGATAATTGTATTTTTTTCTGTATCTCAACCTCCCTATGATTGTTGAGATACCCTGCCATACATGTATCTGGATTTTCTTTTTCTATGGATTTTCTGACTTTTCATTTAAATTAATTAATTTAATTAATTCTGTGGTCTCTGATCGTAGGGCTATAATTCCAGTTTTTACCAGATAATAGGAGCTAAAAATTTAATACAAAGTCAAATTGGTGAACTTTAGCAAGTCTAATGTAATGTCACTAATCGGACTATTGTGTTACATGTACTCTGTTGCGTGAAATCAAGTGATGATGGAGAAGAAATTGGAAAAAAATACGGACAAGAACATCCAGGACCACATGCACCTATCGTACTCTCCCTAAAATTTAGTCTGGAGAAGCTACACAGTGCATGCTGTTGCATGCTGTGGCCTATGCAACGGGATCTCTCTCATCACTACAACTGGCATTAATTACTTTTTCTTGAAAAGCTGTATGACCTTTTGAATTAGGATTGTATCTATGATTGATCCACTGACTCTGGGTGGAAAAAAATCCTCTGGGATTAGTTATTCACGATGTAGGCCTGAGAGGATATCCAATGCAGTATTAGGTAATGTGTTGATATATCCATTAGGCTGGAGCAAATAAAAAGTTTTAAAAGTCATGCATGCATGACAAAATGGTTCCATCAGCAAGGTATTTTGAGGGCATCCGGCTCGGACCCTCCCCCACCACTGAAAATGTCTGTGACTGCTCTTTTCAGTTAAAGTTGGCCTGCTGATAAATTTGAGGCTAGTTTTAAGTTGTTACCCCATGAGCTGAGCTAGCTCAGCTGTAGGGCGTGATACTTTCGGGTGTCTGGCTCAGACCCCCCACCACTGAAAATGTCTGTCACTGCTCTTTTCAGATAAAGTGGGCCCTACTGATAAATTTGAGGCTGGTTTTAAGTTGTTACCCCATGAGCTGAACTAGCATGATTTTTGGGGCCTTTTTTTGAGCTCTGGCAGGGGTACTCCACTACGAAAAAAATATGTTATTGGTCATTTCTAATACACTTGATCACGCTTATTACATATTGAGTTGTTTTTCTTTGTTACCCATGAAAGCTAAGCTAGCTCAAATTTTCCATGTATTAACCTGCCCCTGATGACCACACCCACCAGCAGGGGACCGGTAGACTTTCATTTCTTTGTTTGCCCAAGTATACCCAAGTATATAGATCCTTGCTGTGCACAACAAATTTTGTTACTTTTCCAGCTAGGCTGACCCCTGTGGGCTCCCGGTCTACTCTGTGTGAATAGACAGCGATAAGCGGATCAAAAAGCATTTGCATAAATAGTTCTAAACACTGTAAGGTTTGTTTACCGGAATTTATAACCATTACACTTGTCATGTTTATTTATTGCTAGCCATGGTTTTAGTCTCATTTCAAACTTGTAAACATATATATAAGCAAATTCGATGTGCATGTAATAAGAGCTAAAGAGTAATCTCCCTTATACTGTTACTGCTGTTTATCAATAGACAGACAGACAGACAGACAGACAGACAGACAGACAGACAGACAGAGACTTAATATACTAAAACTGATACTTTGCTTCCAAAATCTCGATAATGCATAAAAAGAATGGAACATTTTATACAGCAAAATATATTTATTTTACTCGATGATATTTTTGCAAGGTTAATGTTCAATTTAGGTTTGCAAAACAATGTTTTCATAGTTACATAAACACTATGAAATATGAACAATTTTTGCGTGTGTACAATGATACAGTGATATATGAATAATATTAAGTGTTTTAAATTTTCAATCATATAAACTAACGAATTTAAATACACATTTTGTAGCCGATAACTAGACAAGCCCACAACAACTAACCTATATCAACATTGTAAACATAATGGGTGACTTGTAATCTTATTTCAGAAAACAAATCTCACAACTTTAGATAATACGAGTTCTTTCTAATTCAAACTCCGACTGTCCTTGTTTCCTTGAAAGTCAGCTTTAGCTTTCCCATGAAGTAATAAAAGAAATATCGATGTATTAATATGGATTATTACAGCACAGGGGTTATCGTTACAGTGACTTTTGTGTGTTAAATGTTAACTGGATATATATATATATATATATATATGTACAGTTTTGACAATATACTAGTTTATTATTTTACATTGCATCATACACATATTCAATCATTACATATTGATTTACAAATTCATTTGGTGTACGTGTCATTGAGTAAACATCTATCGATATAAGGTAGTATCCGAACTAGTCGATAAATAGCTTAACTGCATGAGAACATGTGTATATAGTCACTATAGTTTATAGCTACTATAAAAATAATGACTTTCTTGGTATTCATTATAATATTACAAGAACCATGTTTCATTGATATGTCATTCACTTGCAATTCAGTTGTAAAATATATGCATTGAATATATTTATATATAAGATTTTTTTTCTGTCAATTAAAGTATGAGACTGGTACAGATGAAAATAGTATTAATGATAGATGAAGTCATGATTACAGAGAGGTTTGGCTTAAAACTTGCTTTTATCAACAAAGTAGTAAGGTATGTAAAGTTGCCAAGCGAGGTTTAGAATCTACTGTAAAACAGCCACGGTGATACATCACAACGTCTTGTTTACACTGTCTTCTTTTTTATGTACAGTCACTTACAATGATTTTGGGAATATCAGGTTACAAGTGAGAAAGGATTATTCAATAAGTGACAAAGGAAATTATAAATAAAACGTTCAACTGACAATGCTCATGACAACATAATTTTATAGAGTTCTTATGGTGTTTAGAACTGAATAGACAAAAACGTATACAACGATACATGTATATAGACCAATAGGTCACGGGGTGACCGAAAATAATTACCTAAATAGAACCAATCACCTATACGTTAGACATCAAAGTAAGTAGGCTAGTACACCTACTGGCGATATTAGCAGTTAAATATACAAAGATAGATCATATATATATATAAATATGATACTAGTGTCTGTATAACACATAGTTGTATCGTGTTATGAACACTACATTACAGATCAGCTGGATCTTGTCTATAGCGACAGCACTAAACATTACAAAACTATATATACCAACTAATTAACTATACTCTTTGTTTACATTAGTTACACATCGACAGATCAATACTACGAACTTGGTAAGTATAATATAAACTTTGGCAGTAAACACCTGAAATTATAACATAGTGAAAGTACATTAATAGCCAATAATAGTCGCATTTACAAATCAGCAATTACTAAGTAGATATAGTATATACCAACAATAGACATAAAGAGCTCAAAATTCACAGGTAAAAATAACATCAAAGTGTGTTCTATGAGGCCAGCTTCACCTCCAGTAACCAAATCATTCATATGATCTCGCTTTGTCACATATGTGTGTGGTATCTGTGTCCTAAGATCAAAGCACTCAACCTGTTCAGTAATATCACATGTCTATATCTTGTTTAAATCAACACACGCTATACGTACGGTTCATGATGAACAAAGGCTCGCCAGATTAATATATAAAGTATCATGATCATGGGACAATAGGTTAACTACCTCTGATATTTGTGATATCCACGCTATTGTGTCGAACGCTGAGGGAGATATGTATACAATTGGCTCTCATTCGTGTATATATCTATATATATATTTCTCCGCAATCCTTTCTTTATCACAATATTGTTTCAAATTCCAACACACAATGAACCTTTCTCGTCCTTACTTTATTAAAATGTTTAAAATATTGTACCATTTTGAGCACACTAAAGCTGAACTGAAATTTCTAGCCAACAATTCATACCTTCTTCTGATAATAAAATACCACAATCGACTTCCGTGTCATGAAGGGATGAATCACAAAGGGGTTAAGATATCAGAATCAATGAAATCAAAAGAAAAAATACTCCAGTGTCATTCTGATACCGGAAAGATCTCACATTCATTTGAATCAGTCTTAATGATGTCATCCTATATTTCTTGCTTAGAAGCAAGATGTAAGTTACTGGGGATAAGGGAACTCACATACAGAGCATTTGAACTTAATTAACTTGATTGATTTAATAGTGAAAGATATATCAGAATATTTATAAAGTACAGCAATCATCAAGCCACACATCCTTAATGGTTCATTTCCTTTCAAAAACGATAGATTGCCCGATTGATCTTGCAACAGTAAATTCAATGTAGGCAAACAAAATGATTTTGTTACAATATGTTAGCTCTAATTAAAAACTGATTTCTATCAGAAAAAAGGTTATACCTGCTATTATTTGCTGATAGGTTGATAAATCCATGAACGTTATGTGAGTTGATATATACAATAAACCCAGGACAATGTAATCCACCCTATCAAAAGTTCAATAGTAACAATATGTTCAATAGCATTAGATATACAAAACCATAGTAACAGATTCATCGCTTTCTATTCGACGTCTTAGGTTGAATTAACGACAGAAACGTCAGTATACAAGACGATACGTTTATTTGGGGCGTCCTGACCAGGTTCTGTACAAAAACATTCGTTTAGGGTAGGAAAATAATTGTTGGCCATAAAAAGTCTACATTTAGGTGTCATGTATGTATTGTTCATACATTATTTGCTTCATTCTCCTCTGTACTAGGTTTAATTACAAGACACGAAATGACACCATCCGAAGGATATTCTTTTATCCAGACCCGAACCAGCAAACCTTTTAGTCATGTTATATTCAACAGCCTTCATGTTAAAGTAATAACAGTTCCATCTACATAATTTTAATCTAACTTGAGGAAGCGATCTCTACTTTCCATTTTCGAGTCACTTGACATACATTATTCTCGTTTTCCTATTGTAACGTGAAACCGTTTGTATCAATTTGTTGTCGGGGAAACACGTACTCTATCCCTTTCTATATCTATCAATGATTTGGTATCTGGAATCTGAATAAAAACGAGACTATCGAGTTTCTTCCCGATTTTCAAGAGTGCTTCTTGTGTTTTTGCTGCTCGTTTTTTTACAGACTCCGGAAATGACGCCATAGCCGCCCTCTTTAAGACCTTGTTGTGACTAAGGTACACCACTGGCTTGATACAATAGGATATATCGGATACCATCCCGACAAGGGTGAACCAGCCTCCCCAAAGAGTATTATGGTCACCGTCTGCATAGGACAGTACCACATACGGTAGCCACAAACCCATTACCACAATAAACATCAAAATGTAGCTGACGGCTAGAGTTACGTCCCTTTCTTCCGAGGAAGATTCGTAAACTGTGAACATGACTTTAACTTTTGATAATTTAGTTTCATCACCAGTAACGCCTCGACATAATATATCTCGTTTCGTATCATTTTCTGATCTCGATGTCATTGGTCCACCCACTACGTTTTGACCGACCCCAGCTTCTATATCATGTGTTAGTTTGTGATTAAATGTATCATCAGGTAGAATATGGTTGATGTCATCCGGCTTTACGTTATGTTGCTTTTCTAATACGGATGTATCACCAGGAATCATCACTGATTGAGAGATAGTATGACAAGAATTTGCAGATCCTTCTACCATTTCGCTTACGCATAAATTCGTTTGTTCATTAAAACGTCGACCTGTCGCGGATAATGTTTTACTTTCCTCGGTTCTTTTAGCGAGTTTAAGATTTATCATTTCGACTTGTTTGTTTATCTTAGATAAAGAAAAAACAATTTGCCGTTTCCGGTTATATGTAAAAACCCCACAAATGCATACCGCAACAGACGGGATATATATTCCAAACACAAAGAGTAAATGTATATGGATCTGGTTTCCGCCGTGTAAAACACATCGTTGCTGGAGAGGGATGTGTTCCACCTGCCCGTATCCGGTAAACGGAAGTGCTGATGCGATTGCGCACACTAACCACACAGCAATCACAATAAGAAAGCAATACCTCCTTTTCTCAAAGATCTTTTCGTGCAGTGTCGGTTTCCACAGACGTATTGCCCTTTCGCAGCAGAGAATTGTCATAAAGAAGAAGGAAGCCAGGAAACATATCATTATAAATAGTCCGTTTATCACACATAATGCATCTGGAAATGTAATCGAGTCTTTAAATGCTGATACAATTCCGGGTAGAATAATAAAACAATATGTCACAAAATCTATAGCGATCAACTGGACAAACACCGGTTTACTTGTCATAGTCATGTGATAGTTAGAGGATAAAACACGGATAACTATAATATTAAGAATCATTCCGACCACGAAAATGATTGACATAACCACACCTGCTATAGTATCCACAACATCATCCTCGAGCCATTTGTAGAAAGATCCACTCACAGCACTCAGTGCGTTTACATCAGATGTATTACTATTTGTCATGTTGTTGTAGAAAGTTGCTTTATTTTTTCCTTGAAACCTTAATAATCATGGATTAAATTCAGCTGAACAGACATCAGGAAAAGAATTCCATCCTTATCTTGGAGTTTAGCTTTTTAAAAAGTATACACTCCTTTCACGAGCTTAAGTCAACTGATACCTGTGAGCCGTCCCGCCAAACTAAAGCCAGGCAACAATTGCCATATGTATATAATAACGTTATATTCCCATTATGACATCATTAAAAAAGGACCACACAACTTAATTCCAGTTTCTAGTAAAATTGCCTGATTGCCTATATAGTTTCACTTAAAACATCTTCGCATAGATATGGTAATATTATAAATTCCACAGTGCACTTTGGTTCAATACGATAATCCACTTTATATAAATAGTGTTACACACTGTGTGCTTTGACAGTCGTTGAGTTCCTTAGATTGCAAAACATTTAAATTAAACTAAAACATTATTGCTCGTTCTTTGAATACATTTTCCCCATTTCTATTTGCGTTTTATCTTAAGTATCGAGTGACGAGTGACGAAAATACAAAACATTTCATTCCGAAACACTATTAATGACTTTAGAACCAGGGAGATGTTAACTTCAAAATTAAATTGCATTGGCCATAGTGAAAGTAACAAGCATACGTGTTTTGTCTTGGTTGGATTAGAAGCCATTGTACACATGTTTTTATGTCATGATAAGATAGTATTGTCTACACAGCGTGTCCCTATTTTTCCTGTAAAGACGCATTGGAGGTATTGTCAATGTTGATATTGGCAGTCATATGGTTACTGTCCAGCTGATACATAAGGGGTTTAACGCTTGATACTCAACATAAATAATTACGGTCTGTTTGATACCACATATATATCGTATCATGGTCGTCCAGTAGCATTATGCCTTTATCTTTTTAAGCTATACTTTTCAATTTCAAGCCAAGAAAAAAATTATGAAGACTTTTATAGATACAAATGAAAGTTAACGAACGAAACATAAGACTATATATATATATATATCAAAGGGACATGAAACTATTCCTTAAACTGATATATTAAACTCAGTCGGAAACAGCATCGTATGAGCAGATAACATGATCTTGCGCGTTTTGCAAAAACATGTTCCCTTGTATAAGGTTTGTTGGAGGGACAAATTCTTAGCTTATCTACGCTCAACGTCTACTACACATGAATACAAAAACTGTACTGCTAAACAATTACATAGTTAAATAAACCGATAGCTGGTGTTGAACTTTGGACTCATAAACCTGTTTTTTATAGCTTTCAACCAGGAAGTATCCGTCAAACTAATAATGTTATTCGACCAACAAACTCAATATATCGTGCTAGAATCTATTTCTGAGTGTAATAGTGGCATTATTTTAACGGTCTGGAATGCATAATTGTATTCGGTTGTACGAGGTATTTAGCAAGCGTTATTGACTATTTTCTAAAACATATTATTCAAAACTCAATATGTGTTCTTTGAGGACAATAAATATAACTTTTAGACGTTTTTAATGTTCAGAAATGTAAATTCCTTGAACAAATATCAACTGCCTTTTCAGGCAAAGAATGAGACATGTAAGAGGGCCTATCGTTATCGACCGTGAGACAATAACTATAATCAATCTAAAATGGTACATATCAGTTTTAAAATTTACTACTACCCGACACCTTAGTTATCGTATGAAAAAATACAGTTTGTGATTTCATAACATAACTTCAATTAATATGATACAGTTCGTATTTCAACGGATCTGAAAGAAGTGTTAGAATAAAAAATGCTGTTAATTACATTATCAGAGCATAAATACCAAGGCAAACGGGGCAGTTTTTTCTGTCTTCACATTGATTTCAATAGGAAATATTCCATCTCCTTATGCGATGTGATAGTGGACGTGTTTGATGATTGTTATAGTACCTGAGAGTTCCGTTCCTGTTTACATTGTTCTCATTTGGGAAACAATTATTTTGATTGACCAAGATTTATATAGCGGATGTCATCAATGAAGCATAAGACGGTTACTCTTCCGGAAAATCTGGTCTTGTTCTGTTTATACTTGTTTAGGTTCAATGCATTTTTTCTTTTGTTAATATTTTGTGATAGTTTGATTTGATTTGAGTTTTGTTGACATGTTGGTATTATCCTGATATATATATATATATATATATATATATATATATATATATATATATATATATACATGTCTGATCGAGCGTATAAATATACATTCGGAGGTCAAAGCGAGGCGTCCATTAAAAGGTAAACCTTACAGATATAAGTGTAAGATTTTCATTCTACATTGGGTTCGGCTTTATATCATTACTATGTCAAACCATAGTATTTGGTATATGGTACACTACAATTGTTCGAACTGTGTAGGAATAAATCTAAATATTATATAGGTAAACAATCTGGATACGGACATTTTCGTTAAACTAATATATCCGAAGTTGTTGGACTCATGTAAGAGGCATTTACAAAAGTAAGTATCTTTACAAAGTTTTTGAATCATCACAAAACGAATTTATTGCCAAATAATAAATTTTAACACAAAATCATAATTATCGCCAAAACAGAGGAGGTTACCAAGTTTGTCCACATCGTTTGCTAAAGGTCGAATTGACAGTCAAATTACAAATGTAATCTGTTACAAACAAAATGTCGTCACTTATTGACAGGATCGACTTCCATTTATAATCCCCATGGTTATTACATTCTGGGGAAAAGTCACATCAATCCACACTACGACACGGAAACGTAAATAATTCATGAAGAAACATTAGACATATCGTTTCATGAAATCAATGACATTTGAATGAACTATAAACCGCTTGTATTTCAAAAGAACAAATATAGAATATTGTAATTATTCGAAAAAATTAACTCTGAAGATTTTGAAAAGTTTATTGTTTTACTACACTCTTTCATACGATTGTTATTCTATGATGACATGAGGATATGTAACCAATCTGGGTCATGTCGCTTTTCCTATAACCGAAGTCAATCCGAATGAAAGATAAATAGACACAGCCCTAATTGGCACAATTATATTTCTCATCTTCCTAACGGGCACCATTATATTCATCATTATCGGATTGGTTTCATATCAACTGCATACCGCATCTGGTTACAGTTTATACAGCTTAAAATTTCACCAAAGCAAAATCGAAATTTGTTTTTATGAGAATATGGGACACCTAACTTGTAATAGAAAGGCAAACTAAAACCGTCCCCATGTTTGTCATTATGTACAATGTGCGAAAGTGAGTCTTTCAATTACGTACATGCAAATCCGTTTTATGAACTAGGAAAACAGATTCAAGACGACTACCTACACAATCTATCATGTAAAACAGAATATTGTTGTTTGGTAGAACAGATCGATTAAAAAACTTTATTTTTCCATCTAAATAAAAAAAACCCAAATAAAAAGCCATCATGATTTACTACAAATCAAGTATAATGTACATTTAAACATTCAATGAAACTATTGTCTCGTACGGCTTGTATGTATGCATTGTTTTGTAAATAGTCTATAATGGAAACATATAAAACATACATCCCAACATTGCATTACATTCACTAAGCTATGTATCATTAACTGAATTTCCAAAATGATGCTTATTCCTTATGTGGATATGAAAAGGTTACTACAACATTTATCTTTGTGCAATAATACATTTTCTGTCAGCATACGTTGGTAACAACCCTTTATTGGAAAGCACTATACAGCTCTCAGCCAATCGTGCATATCTTTTACAGGGAAGACATAAGGCAACAATTTTTATATCTATGACAAGACTTTTCGTCTCTTGTGTGTTCAGTATAACCGTCCGGACAGGAACACTTTTCTTGGTACAACTTTATGTTATGTTCAGAAATCGATAAAGCTTTGGACACTACCGACGACTGAACAATATGTCCAGGAGGATGAGCAGTAAAACTTCCATAAAGAGCCGAATCCAAGGAATGCCATTTGCGTTCTTGACCTCTTTCGTACGTTATACTCTCCTCGTTACACCTTTTTGCCTTCGCAGCATTTTGATTTCTTGAATATACTATTGATGAACCCTCATATTCACTCTCTAGACCAATAAGGTTCTTATGGGTGTGACATTCTAATGATCTACCATTCCGTGGTAAGGAAGTTTGAACAACAGTCGCCTGTGGTAATGGGACCGAAGTATCACCTCTCACAGACTTAAGCTCACATTGTATCAAATCAGCTGTACGTTTGTTCGATGTAACACCGACGTCCTTATTACTATGTTCTGTTTCCGTAAGTAATGGTTTTCTCTCTTTGCCATATAAAAAGTCGCCTGTAGCAGCACTAATGTTTGCAATAACTGTTGTCGATTTAGGTATCGCGGAAGAATCGTGAACAGCTGAGAATTTCATATCTTTAGCTTCGTTAAGTTTGCTATCAGCAGTTTCGGATTCCTCCACAACGTCATTGGTTCGATGATGTTCGATGGTATAAATTCCTCCTATACGTTCAGATCCTCTTTCTAGCCTTGTTGTTTTATTTACATCTGCATGGTCACAAAGCAGGTCCGAAGCCATTCCGTTTATATCTGCAGACGGCAGGTCATCCCCTGAGACGGAAATCATGTTAAACTCTTCTTGTTCCTCATTTCCAGAACTGGCATGTTTCAATGGTCGTAAAATATGTCTCGACTCTAGGTCTGTTTCTACTGATAACACTGATGGATAGGAATTTCGTTTAAGTATACCTATGCTTGTAGTCCATATGGCTGGTTCACTATTATTTATATTCTTTGTGAAAAACTCCTCACTATCCTGTTTGGATATCCATTGCTGTACTTTATCTCTTGGGCTCATTTGTAAAGGTTTGCTAGCCTCCTTCTCTTTTCTACATCGGCGTTTCCAGAGGTAGAATAAAACGAGCGAAAAGCCTAATCCAATGAGCACCACAACAATTACCCCAGTCATGACACCAACTGCCATTGATATGTCATCGATAGCAGACGTACCAACGGGCATTTCCACTTCATAATCTGCAAACGAAATCATGATTCATATTTCTGTATAACCTTCTACAGTCAAATAAAAAACCTATCGATCCATTCTAACTTAGTTCTCGAAGCTTAGTGCGTAATTTTATATAGGTTCTAAATCGCACGTCATCAAATGTAATTTACTGTTACCTATATAAAAACATTTGACATGAATTTAATATTCTCAACGTAATGATAAAATAGTAACTTTGCAAAATTATTCGATTCAGTTTCCGATTACATGTTGCCTGATTTTATTTACATGTTCACAATTAGATGATAAACATACATTCGAAAGAGCTATGTGAAGGATAACACCTGGGAGACAAAATGTCCCTTAATCAGAATGGGAAATGGGATATCCCGAAGTAGACTTGGGGCTAGAAGTTTCCCCCCCAAAAAAGAATCACATAATCTTCAAGATAAACGGAAATTGATTTTTGACAATGAAAAAGAATCTTCTTCACACTTAAATGTGCATCCTGCTCATAAATATGAATGAAGAAACAGTCGAAAAATCTAATTAAATCGCATACCGTATTCATCGTCATTAAAATATCCGTAGGGAGGAAAGGGGACTGGCATACAAATAGTATCACTGTCGTTTTGTTTTGTTCGGCACTCATCGACCTCTATGGTGTGTCCTGGGTATTCTCTATAACACAGAGAGCACCTATCACATTCGTGAGATGACTGGCGTCGGAAGTAACCTGTAACATAAATCAGCCGGTTTGTTTGTTACATTGTAAAAACATATAATGTCCTTAATAAATAGGAAACGCATGTGGTTTGTTTAAGAGCGCTTCATTTCATCTACAGGAAATTATATCATGACTAATGTTTCGAATAAAAAGAGCCACGTTGAACGTAAAATGATTCGCTAAAGACCTCTTCGACACGTTGAAACATCACAACAATCAGGAAACTGTGTGCGAGGAAACATTCGCTTATCTCTACCATCGAATAAAGATAATATCTGTCTTTTTTCCAGTGTCAAAATCGCCATAAAGCAATGGCACCTATTTCGCTTTAAGCTTAAAACGGCCGAAAGTAAAACGGCAGTCAAAATTTCCCCATGCACACCATATAAAAACATTATTAAATTATGTGTGCATGATTTTGTAATTCATCTAAGTATCACATGAACGTTGCTGTCATCCTTTAAAATTGCAACGTCAAAACATTAGGACGTTCCCACTTCTTAATGAGGCCACAATGTCAATCATGAAACAAATTGCCTTAGTTTGCCAGTGTGCTGTTAGGTGCATCTATAGCTGTATGGACAAATGGTGGACATACAGATAGTCAAAACCTTCTAATCAAAATTCTATTCATTATCATTGCTTTAGAATATGTAAGTGTCATATTAGTGTAATAAGTTCACTGTAAACAAGAATTGTGATATTGATTGGTTATAATTAAATGTTGATTTTATAACAAATTTGTTTCAAATAAAATGTATTTGGAATAATCAAAAACCAGTGTATTACCTGGAGAACAATTTCCACATTCTGTGTTGTGGTCTGCTGTACATGGCCTGATGGTCTGTTCACCGATACGACAGAACCGACATGCCCTACAGTACAGCTGCAAACTAGAACTCTCTAAGAACGTGCCTTCTGGACACGGTTTACACACGGTATCATTATATAAGCCGCACATGCTACTAACGTAGTACCCAGGTTTGCATATGTTACAACGCTTGCATTGACCTGTCTCTTCAACGTAGAAGTAGTTTTTCTTACATGGTACACAGCCAGCATTGCGATATCGTCTACATCGTATGTATCTATACCCCGGCTTACAAACCGTTTTGCGACATTTTGTACATTTCTTTTTGAATCCACCGAGTGAAAAGTATCCGTGTCTGCATTTTGCACATCTGGTATTGACTGTCTTTGTACATCGGCCACGCATAAATTCGCCAGCTGGACATGAGGAGCAAGGAGTACATTCCCCATTTCCGTCTGGACGCGATGACCAGTAATTCCCCTTCCACTCACAAGTCGACGAAAATGGTTCCACCTGCAAGAAAGAAAATTATTCTGTTTATATATATAAAAAAAGGTTTCGGTTTGTTATTTACCGCAAGATTAAACAAAATACCCATTTTAAAGTAGATGCAATGAAAATTAAAGGTAATTGAACGGTAATTCGGCATACATATATGTTCAGGATGGTGTACGTGAAATTTCGTGGTAGACTTTTTGTGATTTATCCCAATTGACTTCTGAGCCGTTTCCCGGAATTTGAATTTATGAACACCGATTTCGAGGAACGGAGTTTAGATGACGCGGTGATTTATACTAAGAATATAATTACGATAGCGGTGTGTCACTGAGCGGAACGGCATACATGGATATAGATCTATGTAAACCATTTAACAGCCATTAAACTAAATGAGAAATTTCGTACCACAATGGATTGGTTTAACACTCTATGATAGTGCTGAAGATTGGTCAAAAGCTTTATGGAGGTCATTAAAATCCACATACTTATTTTTCCACGTCTTGCATATACAATATGACAACAGGGCTGTACTAACCCGATTTGAAAGTGCTATGTAATGATGGTAGTTAGAGGTTTTGACAAAGGTTTGGTTGAACAGCTAGACGAGTTAGCCATAAAACGTTGCTTATATGGATTCTTATGAAGCCAAAGAATCGAATAAAACGAAGGAGGTCCGTATCCTACGGAAGCGTATTCCGGCCACGTTGTGTTTTATTTTAACTCGAAATTTTGAGATAGCATCACGAAATTTTGAGATAGTAAGTCGAAATTTCGAGTTAGTAAATCGAAATTTTGAGATACTAACCCTTTGGGATCGTAGAACGCTACCATGTGTATTGGTTCCACTTAAGATTTCAAGCTGCAAATTCTTTTAAGAATGACAGGCCGAATAGCAAAATAAGTACACTCATCTGTCTCTGAAGATCATTGATTTTTTATGCGTGGTTATACAAATTGATTAAACAAATTCACCAAAACACACAGGACAATGTTTACAGATAACAGAAGTCTGTCAATTGTTCTCCGTTGATTTTTTACCTGTTTATCGAACAGAACGTCTGACATGCGATACACATGAACTGTTTTGTTTACGTGTTTGGAATGTGTTGGTTACCTTACGTTGTTTCAACATGGATAACCAAACATAAGGTAGAGAAAACAGAGTTATGGTGGCACGTAACTGCCAACAACTTGTCGTGTTGTCATGACAATTTATCTGGATATTTTTATATGTCAACACGGCTTGTCTTGATGATATCGTGTTAAGAAGACTTATTAAGTCGACTAGTCGTAATAATTATCGTGATAAATTGATTTTTAAATGAAATTAAATTGAATATGAAAACACGACCTTTTGGTTACTACAATGCTCGAAACTGACATGAGTTAAAACGTTACTTTCTCTAAAAATAGAGTCACACCTTATTCGGGATACCCCAATAAGTTAATTAATTTTACGGGACTTTAGGATAACCCACGTGCACTGACTACAGCCACTAAGTTCAATACTTTAGGGGATTTACAAATCAAATTCATCGCGATAATAATTTCGATCAATCGACTTCATACAATGTCTTAACACGAAAGTACCACAAGTCATGTAAATATGACAATTTGTCGCGATAAATTACGATGACAACACAAAAACCAGATGGCAGTTACAGGCCGCTATACAAAATGGTTGATTTCTTTATCTTACAAATTTTAAATGCCGAAGGCACGTGTACACGCATATGTCTCTAGTCATAGATTTATTTACACTTCCGTGTAACTTGACATGAACTAACTAAACAACTATATCACGTTAAAAATTTAACACAGTATGTAGACAACGGTATGACAGTGTTCTTAGTCAATTGTCCTATCTAAATGAGTCCAATCGAACTCAACTATAAAGATAGCAATACTACCGTCAACCACATTACCCCTATAATATACTGGTGAACAGGACAGAATATGTATGGGGTTATAAACAGGGCCGAATTAACTTTACATTTGCACTGCTATTTGAAACACTTCTGATTCACCTAGCCAAGTATATATAAGTGTAAAATCAGCATTTTTAACCACAAAAACCTGCCTATCTACCCACTCCTTTGGTACACTAGAAGTGTAGTGTTATTCCTAAACCGAGAACCTAACAACAGGTGTCTGTATTGTATTTAAATACACCAGATGGATATATGAAACCTTTTAAAAACTTACTGGTGCAATATTCTATATCATACTGTTTGTACAGATCACTACATACAAATTACATACCTGCCACTGACTCATATGCTTCTATATATATGATGGAAATTCCAAAACGAAAGTAAAATAAGTTACCAGTATATATGTAGTTCTGTAATACTGAAAACATTACAAATAAACATTACAATTGATAACATTTACTTACCTGTGAAAATGAGACAATATAAATACTCATTATCACTATCACCAACTTAACATACATTTCAACGGAACATATTTCTACCGCACTATTATTCCTGGGGATCCCGTTGTTCTATAAATATAACGTCTAATCTATTCACGTGACACAGTTCTCGTGTTGATAAGTACATTGTTAACGAACCTTTATGTAAGCGATTAAAATTTTTTTCGTCCTTGATGTAAGTGTGTATTACGAAAGAACGACAACACAGCTGTTGTACAGTGAGACACTTTCGTTCCTCACTGCATCAAAAACGGAAAAAAAATATGTGTCATGGCGAAGAAATAGCCTTAAAGCGGGGGCAAGTATCATTAGGCAATACTCGAGAAAGTGAAAGAAAAGAATTTCCCGGAATTTCTGATCACAGGGATAATTTATTAACTGTATTTTGAGTTATAGTCACTGTTTGAGAGTGGACTTTATGGTCACTTAGTAGATTATTTTTTTGTTATTTCTTGCTGACTTTCAGTAGCAATGATTGTGGCCACCCCAAATACAACGACGTAATGTGTAAATTTAGTTTCTAGTTTCTTGATGGAAATATAAATTTTATGGAGACCCAAAAATTTCAGAAATTTTATTTAAATGATCTTTTAATTCATTTTTAAATGATTTCTAAATTTTTGACAAAAGGTTGGGTTTTGGAGTACAAAAAGATAAAAAAAAAAGGTAAAGATGCGTCCCCCACCCCTTATCCACTAAAACTCTAAGAAATTGTAGGGATGGGGGTGGGGTGGGATCGCTTCTCTTGTCCACGACACTGACCCATATACATGTACCGTATACGATTTTATCAGCCTACCTAGGTATTTCATATATGATCTGAAAATTTTTTTTTTCATTTAATGGCATTATAGGAAATGAGTCTTTTGAGTTTTTTTTCTTCTTATTGTTCTCTTACTATTAACTTTGAGACAAGTTTTATAGGATCCCATAATGAACTAACAACAATCTCAGGTATTTTGTATCGCAGATTTCAGAAAAAAAAAACCCATTTTGATAAGTTTTAAAGTCTAAATATGGAGGACAAACCAAACGGAGATTACAATTTTGTTCCACTTTTTAGCCTATGATGTAATATTATTGTCCATACTATGACATCATGATCGAATACTGACATTATTATAATGGAAAACGCCCCAGAGTATATTACACTAGTGACAAATGAGCGAATTTGTTTAACAACAGGCGGACTATTTGATATTTTTTCTTCAATTAATTCTTAACTTTGTTTTATAATCTTTCAAAACGACAATATGCAACATGAATCTATCGTTCTATTCGTCACATACGACATAAAGTTTTACAACTATTTTTATAGTACAATAAATCAGCAGTTTTACAGTTCCTTGAGAGAGAGAGAGACAGAGAGAGAGAGAGAGAGAGAGAGAGAGAGAGAGAGAGAGAGAGAGAGAGAGAGAGAGAGAGAGAGAGAGAGAGAGAGAGAGACAGAGAGAGAGAGAGAGAGAGAGAGAGAGAGAGAGAGAGAGAGAGAGAGAGAGAGAGAGAGAGAGAGAGAGAGAGAGAGAGAGAGAGAGAGAGAGAGAGAGAGAGAGGGGGGGGGAGAGAGAGAGAGAGAGAGAAATGGAGAGTAGGAGAGAGAGACAGAGACAGAGAGACAGAACTTTCTACTGGTACAATTGTTTAGTAGTTTAGTATAAACATTATTTCATCGTAAATTGGCGATAGAACTATTGCACATTTCTTTATTTCTTTAGTTCCGTAGTATAACAGAAAAAATATTTTTTGGAAATTCCCAGTGTCATAAATGGCAATGTAATAGGGACAAGGTATTATGAATATTCATGAGATAGTAAAAAATGCTCTATTTGGCTAGTGCATATTGCTGTGCCTCGTGTGTAGTACATGCCGCAAGGTGTGCACTTGTATACTCTATACGTGTAGCTATGTGCTCATTCAAGCTTTGGATAGCGACACAAATTTTAAATTTAATGATTATAATAGGCAATAAAATGATATCCTTCGTCGAATTCATCTCTTTACTTGATTGAAGTACGAAGAACGAAACAGCTGTATCATTCAGTTTAAATAATTGTCTGGTTTAATTGTAACAAGCTTTAAATCTATATGAAAAGGTGATATGCACTTGTGTTCCTTTTGTACAAGTGGGTTTTGACATTTCTTTCGATTATTATGGGCTTTCTACTGTCGCCTCCTGGGCTTCAAAAAATATGCACTTAACACCACTGATGAGTCCTTAAAGGAAGCCGCCGTATTGTGCAGTTGAAATCATACCTTGTTTCCACTGTATCTAACTCTAAAGTTGTATTTAATTGTGTTACTCATTTGTATGTTGTTTTTTAACAATTTTTGAGCCATTCTAGAACATCTGGTTCATATAGTTTATTACTGTATTTTTTAGGGGAGGAGACCTTATTCAATGATACAAAGATAGCCGTAGAACCTGTGTATTATACTGTGATAAAAAGCCTTAATCCTATGGAAACCAGCTGTACGTTCAGCAGGCTAAACGCATTTCATACTTTTGTGTCTGGTTTTGTGGAAGAGTCAAATGATAGGATGAGAAGTTCAGGCAAAGTAATGGGAACCACCAGAGGGGAAAAAGACATCATGACACCGAGTGCATGAGATAACGTAAAAAAAAGTTACGATGAGAAAATCAAGAATTTTATTACTGGAAGGAGCTAGTTTATGAAGCTGTATATAACGTGATTATAAATACATTTGAGAAGTCTATATTACATGTATATCGTATAACATTGGTTTACAAGATAAAGCATCCTGATATTCTATAACATATTAAGGTGTTTCATTTAAATATTTAGATATAAACAAGACACTCAAAGTCCATATATCACGCAAGCTAACATGTGTCGCCAAGTTACATGGTTAAGGATGCACCTTTCTATTTAACATAGTATAAACATCTATAATGATTACAAAATGGTGTCTTATCACTTATAAAAGTCGTTTTCTCTTACAAATAAATTGTTTGACATAGTAAAACTTATTATAATCATATTGGTTCGGCATATCGGGATTTCGATATAGCAAGATATTGTCGTTATACAGAGGAGGGAGATCCCCTTGTGTTTAGACATTTGCTAAATTTGATTTAATTTAGCGACAGAATCTGAGAATTTTACATTGTGATCTCCTTCGTGTATTGATTTTAGACATAAATGTGTATACTTATATGTAGTTTTGTTTTAATGTCAAGGATTTCTAAAATATTGTAATCAGAATTGGCGGACGTCAGGTCAGAGAAAGGGATGTGTTCAGTTCTGCAGAGTGGTTACTTAAACACCTATCATCTATTTTTCCTAAAAACGCAAATGATGATTGAAGGACATCCTCAGTCGTGCATGATGAATTTTAACTAATCCTATTTTGTAGTAACACATGCAGTAATAGCAGGGAATAATATAATTATGGTAGTTGACATGCAAAGACTTCTTAAGGCTGACGAGTGACAGGTTTGCTCAATTTCGTCAGGAGGAACAACTTGTTAGGTTTTAGTATGTCGTCGCATTTGGCAGAAGTCCCTCGTGTCCGCTGTCCCTTGTGTTAGTTCCGGTATCAACCTCTTGTCACTGGCAGCACATTTCGGCGTGTAACGATCAGAACTTGTTATCCATTGGAATGTTATCTCATTCTGTATTCAATCACTGATATCGATTACTTTTGGAAAGTAACGGGCCTACTTAAAAAATGAATTCTTAATAACAGAGAGCTTAAATGACGTCACAACATGTCGAACTAGCTCTTGCGCAGGAATTTACATCCTTCGCTGAGTTGTGAAGTTTAAAATATATGAAATGATGAACTTTTTAAAAAGTTTTAAAGAGAGGATTGCATGCATTTGTGCAATGTGCAAATTTAAAAGAAAGAAATATTCCTATCGAAATCATTGCACATATTTGAACTGATACTGAAATAACCCTTCAACCTTTCCCCAACCCAATTAAAAAACAATACCCCCTACCTGCCTCCCGTCCATATATGTATACAATGCATATCCTGCCATGCCGTACTGCTTCCTTTTATCTCTAACTGTTACAGCACATATCTACATTTATAAAATGATGGGATATGGTCGGCCAACAGCTTGCATCTGAATTTTTTTCATAAATGATTATTTTAATAGCTAAATTGTGTCTGCAAACATAAATGATCACTCGATTTCAATCGTTTAATGGAGGTATGTAGAAATTAAAGAGCTTTTATATTTCTAAAACGATTGTACGCTCGACGGGTTGGACACTACACTCTTTCATCTTATGAATCACGAAACTTGAAGCACAACCCATTTACATTGTTTTTGTCTCACGTTTCTGTAATCGTCACTACATTTTTCACGTTCATGCCATTGTCGTGTGACAGTGTGTCGTCATTGAAATGTTACACGTATTTTCACAGGTGACTTTGCTGACAGAAAGTCCAGTTTGATATATATATATAACGTTACAATATTCTCAGTAGATCAAATTATGTGTTTATATATGTGTACCGTATTTTAAACACTACGTGATATTTGAACGTCTTTCGTTCCGAATAAAATAGTTTACAATATTATGCAGATATTGATGTAGAGATGAATGCAAAACTATTCTATGATATATATTATCCAACAGCTGGTACATGATTAATCAATACTACTTCCTAGAATGACCACTATTCAACTCCAACGTTTACTCAATATACAGGTAATGTAATATGTAAGGACCTCTATCCCGCACAATAACCTTATCATTATGTCCCGGATGTATCGGGACACGAAAAATGATAGATTATGAAATGATGGCTGTATGTATAACGATATTTCAATCTGAGGGAAATTAAATGAACAATAACATCGATTCAAACAAACGAGCCAAGACAAGAAATAAAAATAAATAAATAATAAAATGAATTAAGATAAAACTAATAAATAAAACGCTGGATCCTTGACTAAATTGGCATTTGTTTTGTTTATCCGCTATTTGTTTATCGTCCTTATTTATCCTTTATTTTCATTATTTCGAATTGTTTATATATACTGTATAATTTAATCCTCACCTTTTTAGTGGCGTTGGTGATCGTCAATGTTTTAGGTACAATACCAGTAGGTATGTGCACTCAATATACAATATATCTACCAAAATATTCTCGGGAATAATATGAAAAATGATATCGTGATTTAATTGATAATCATTTAAGACATCTCTCAGGAACAATAAGAAAATCTTCATTATTTCGTTTTTAAAAGTCTAACTGGTCACCATATTCACATATAACGACTTTTTTAAAAGAAAAAAAAGTTTTGAAAAAGTATTGAAAATGGGGAACTGATGCATTTTCACGATTACAGATAAATATTTCCTCGTAAGCAATAAATTATGCGCATAAAACTAACAATCTTTAATGTTACTAGCAGATATTTACCGGATAATAATTAATGGCAGATCATCCTACTTTCAGTACTGCCCTTGTGTTACGTAATACCTGTCTGAAGCTCTGAAGCACATGCGCGTTTGTGTTTCCTATCAGATCTTTGTATACATGTATGTAAGATCGAGGTCAATGAAGCATATTAAGATGTGTAAGAATACTTACGTGTATATTTCCATACAAATGATGAATCAATCCGATAAATAACACGAAATTCAGATTCAAAATCATGATCAAATGCTGTGTTTCGATATTGAATAACGAATGTGGAAAATCCTAAATTTATTTTTGGAATACAGCAAACTTCGAATCACTAGATTCATGGCAAAGTAGGAAGAGGACATTGCATTACATATTTATATAGACATTGACCACATGCATGTATGTAACCGAAATGTCTACACCTTTTTTCTGTAGGATTGGCATATTTCCGCATTTTTGTGATATCTGCTTGGCGCCTACACGATAAGACTGAACCTAACGTGAATAGATTTAGTAAGATAAGTGGGCTTGATAAGTGAAAAAACTATACAGTCTTAAACTTCATTTATAATAAATAATCGGATTATAGAAACCTATAGTAACTTATATTTTCCTGTATCATCCTTGTCCGCCCAGACTGAAACGGGGCAAGAAATAGGAATATCTGTAGGAAAACCCATACAACACTGCCCTCTAGTGACAGGCGAGTGTGTTACCACTGTGACATGAATGAGTAATGACACATTACTTCAACCCGGGACGACGCCAGAATGTCATGTTCTCGTGTACCTGAGGTATCTTGAATAGAAATATAACATTGCTGTCTTGAGAGTGACCATGACTATGATCAATAGTTGTTAATTTACGTCTATCCTGTTTATATTTGACTTAAACTAAAGCATGTTTTGTAAAGGGAGGTTTATAATAATGGAACTAAGTACAATAGTTATAGTCAACTTTGAATGAAGCTCAATAGGTAGCAGTACACAGTTTCTTGGTGTGGCCATGGTGATATTGTGTACAGTAGAGAACCTCTATGTAAATGCATGTAGAAAAAATGAAAAAAAAAGGTCTAAATTTGGTATATTCATGATGATGTTGGATATTCGGGCTTTACCTAAAAAAGAAAAAGAAAAAAAAAATGTACCTGGTTTTAGATTACAATTTTGGCCTTTATACGAAAGTGCACCTACACAGAAAAAGCTAGCTTTACCAGCAGCCAAATTCTGAAATTACACTTCACTGAAACAGAAATAATTTTGCTCTCATATATGTAGAGATAAATTTTCGATATGTGTAATAGTTGAAATTTCTGTCTTATTTTGTGAGATTTTCAGTAAAAAAATCACGATATTTTTCTATTTTCAGTGTTTTTTAATATGGTAACCATGGTTTTCAACAGTGTTTATTACAAAGTAAACATGTGTTTATACAATGCTCTATTGTTTATTAAAATTACATGTGGTGTGAAGTTTATGAAAATATAAACTTTTATATGTCTGTTTCCGCCGGTTAATCTATTGTGAGTAATTATCTGGAATGTGTCCCTTATTTTTTAGAAAATGGCCATTTAACTGTTTCCTGATACCTATTACCGCCCATTTGCTATTCTCTGAAATTTCCGTACCTGTTCCAGTTATCTCCCTTGATATATGTCAAGAGGCTGCCTTGAGTATATACCTCTACTGACGACCACCACAATGTGACTTAGTAATTATAAAAGTAAATTGGACGACTAAATCGTGATTAACCATTACAATAAGAAGTACTCAGTCCTAGGTGTTATGAACATTTTGTTGAGCATTATGTTTGCACAAAAATATGCAATACCGCCTGTCAGAATTTAACAACTTTACTAGGGTAATTCATACATTTGCATCCTACCCAAATCTCTTCAAAACGTACCACACACAAATCTTCCTAAAATAATTACACACAAATAAGTCCTCTCAAGATGTACCACACGCAGATCTTTTTAAGACGTACCACTGACAGATATTTAATAAGTTTTATTAAGATTTACTGCATACAAATTTCAAGATGTACAACACACCATCCTTCTCACGATGTATCCGACACAAAATCTACTTATACATCATTACGTAAATATTAAAAATTAATTAACCTTATTATTACCATGTCATGTTCGATAACACTGTTTACCATTAGTAACCCCAAGGGCATTTCTCATACAATCAGGAGTTGACACCATAGATTGATATCTTGGTCTTTGTAAGCCATCAAATACTCTACACCTCTTTGAAATCTTTTCAAATCTATTAGAATATTCTACCCGCGAGATTGGCGTCACAATACCGTACTGGCACACTCATCACTCTGCGCTTATTATGTAGGACAATAGACATACCTTTCATCACCTGAATAACACATTAAAGTGTTCAATGTCTAGTAAGATATGTTTTTAGGAGTGGTTTGGTTTGTCAAACGTTACAGAAATTAATCTTTGATGTTCTATAGAAGAAACATAACTTCATCAAGAAATCAATATATCTGTTGTGTACTATCAGAAAAAAAAGAGAAATCAAAATCAAAATAGTTTGAATCGATAATATTGAATTTAGAGAGAGGAAATTAAGCAAACAAAGTGGTGTCGACGACGTTATTTATTTGTTTTTCAAAAGAATTGAACAATACGCTGAAGAAAAATGGGAAAACAAATTGGTGAACGATTTATCACGAAAGATATTTTTGAAGTATTTTTGAATTTTAAAGTAAATATTTTAGAGTACTCCTATTTCACCAACATTTCATATCTCTTTGGTATATCACTACTCAAACACAAACAAAATGTGCATATTGTAAAAAAAAAAAAAAAATATTAAGAGATGATTGTTCGTTATAGTTTACATACAATGTGAATATAATTTCATGTTTATGCAAATGGACAGTGAAATGATTTTACACGTCTCTGATAATCCGTTCAATGGTTTTTTAAGGTGACGGTTTTATCAGTGTCGTTTGCCATTCAATAGTGTTCTCAGTCCGTCCGTCATTGTGTTTTCCTATCACTTTCAAGACAAATGTTGAGTCAAATAATTCAACTGTGTCATACATTGTATAAAACGACCTACTAATTGTTAATGTGAAATCCTATTAGGCGATACTATGAATAAAAGAAGTTATTAATAAGCGTTTTTAAATTCTTAATAAAGACATTATAAGGAAAACTAATATTAAATACAAAACAAAGACGATATATCTGAAAGGATTTACGTAAATATTTATAGTTAATTTGATAAATCATGTTGACATCCCTAAAAAGATATGCTACACGAGTAGATCGATTTTAAAATGAGGTTACAATATGATATTTTGATTGGAAAATTGAGATAAGAATGAGTAGTCACAGATATTACCATCTACATGATAATATCCGATATACAACATTACTCCTGCTAACTTGCTGATGTATATGCAACTAGCACTGCTACTGTAAGACTACACCTGCCACAAATATTTTTGCTGTATTCGGCAAGGACGGAAAACAGTTGTATTTTATCAAGTGCGTTAGTTCGACATAATTGCCTTTTCGAATTTACTTAAAAATATTTTTAACGATAAAAAAAAAACTCTTGAAGAAAGCTATTTTATACGTTGTAATGACCAAGTTTATTTACGAAAATTCATAAAATCGCTGTCATATACGTTGAAGTTTGGAATTAGATTTCCGCGCGGAACAATTATTTTGGGGCGCGTCATCAGGCAATATTCAATAAACAAATATTAGACAACAAAATAGTTGAAGTTTTAATGGTCTGGTTGTCAATAAGGTTTCAAGATAACAATAATGCATGATCAGTATCTCAAAATATTAGCTGCATTTTGACTGAGGACAGAAAGACCAAAGTGACTCAACAGAGGTTCTCCACTTTTGTCTTTCTTTACCCTCGCAAAAAAAAGCAGATATTTTATGGCACTTATAATGTATTCTCTAATTATGTGAATATAACAAAGCTTGTCATTGATGTCAATTTTCCTGTAATAAAGCTACAAGCTTCATAGGAGTAACAAGGTAATTAGATAATTCTCTATAACTGACAATCACTAATACAAAAACTATCAAATCTGTTTATCGCAGAAATGAAGTAGACAAGACATTTTGATTCAAAATTATTGGATTGAAGAAATTGAAATATAAATTGTTTGAATTTTGGTTTCGGTGTGTTTGATTTTGTCACGTGCCACGTGATAAAATGATAACTTAAGGAGAAATATGATTGGTTCACTGTAATGTCGTTTTCACAGTTTGAGCTCGGATCATCTTGTTGAAAACTGAGTGAGGGTTAGCCATTAAATTGTGTGGGTGTCCAGTTTCTAAAATCTGCAAGGAAAGTAATTACATAATTACATAAACTTTTCATAATGAGAAGTTTTGTTTTAATCATGTATGAGAAAAATACTAAACCACTACAGCACATCCGGCTCTACACTGAAATAAGACCATTATGGTCCTTTTAGTACTATATCGTGTTTTATCATTAATAATAATGCTATGTTTAAGCATTCTAGATATATGCTAGCATACTAGAAATAATAGCTTGCTTGTGTTGGATTCATACCTTCTCCGGGTTTAAGTATTATCATTGAATTATAGTTTAGATTTATCTTTAGTATTTGATGTCATCGACGATATTGAACATTTTCAATTATTTTCAGTCGTGAATTTCAAGACGAGAGGAAATGTTGTTGTATTTGAAAAAATAGTATTAAGCCCCTTTAAGCAATGCCTATATCGTATCCTTATCATCGTAGCGAAATGGATGACTTATCTGATAGCCTATTATCAACACATGTATCCTTTATCAACATATTGTATTTACATACATTTTTGTCAGTCAGGTTTAAGATGTGATGCAATCGTAAATAATTTTAGGTCCATTTTTTAAAGATGGTATTGCTTATCATATCAATGCAGTGTATTTTCATTAGTATACCTCTCCAGCTTCCATGATTAGAATGAGATCACAGTGTAGTACGGTGTTGAGTCTGTGCGCGATCGTCAGGACGGTACAGTCAGAGAAACTGTCGCGGATCGTTTGCTGAATCTTAGCGTCTGTGGAGGTGTCTATGGACGCTGTGGCCTCGTCCAAGACCAGAATCTATTGACAAATACGACAACGATTGTACTCTACCAAACTTTTAGCCTTTAATTGACTATAAAGCATATACACTATATATGATTATAAAACAATATTTGCCTTTTAAGACATACATTAAATTACATTAGATATTCTTCACCCAATTTTCTTGCACGGCGTATTTTCACTTTATCAATAAGACAATTTAACAAAAGGTTATCACAACAAGCAAAAAAGTTTGACCCATAGTCATTGCATTCCTGTGTAATTATTTATCTTTTATGAAAACATAAAGAAGATGGAATTTTCTAATTTCCTTTACCTTATTCTTTCGAAGTATCGCTCTACCCAAACAAATCAGCTGTCTTTCGCCTACAGAGAAATTCCCTCCGTTTTCTTCAACTTCAAAGTCGAGCTGCTCACGAAACTGTCGTACCTAAATTATCAGAATGAAGTTAAAACCTACCTAACTTATTACATGACAATTAACGAAAATATTTACGCAAACAAACATATTTATAATCACCCTTCAACTGTGGGACTTGTCAAAATACACTTGCCATATATTTTTTTCCTGTATTCGGCACACATAGGGTTAATACTAGTTCCTAGTCCGCGACTCGTAGGTGCATTAATACATTGTTACAATTTAAACATTTCAACAATGTCGCTTTGATATATCTATTCAATTTCTGTAAGGCGTGTTTTGTAATAGTAACGTGAGGATTACCGTATGATGTCAAACTAAAAATCAGCTTTAGGATGAACAATCGAGTACAAGGCAAATTATCACTAAACTTCAGATTTAACAGCTCGTGGTATTTGGTTCAACATTTTGAACAATATCGGTTTTCATGGCATGATATGAGAGAACTTGTTTTAGAAGGTTACTGTATTTTTCAGCAACTGAAATAACATCATAAAACAGGCTTACTTCTGTATGTCGAAATGAATGGAACAGATGCTAATACTGTTTATTGGTTACTTTTACTATAGAGTAAACCAAACGCTTGCCACTATTGTCTTTTTTCACCTTCACCAAAAAACAATTTATATTTCAAGACACTTGCTATGGATTCTTTACATATATAAAGCTGCGATGAAAGTTCTCATATTTTCAGTGAAATCGAATGTTTCTAAATATTTCCCATGATCAGAACATGTTAATGGCTACCTTTTCTTTCATGTGGACCTGTTCCAAGGCTGCCCAAAGTAACTCGTCTGAGTACAGATTAAATGGATCCAAATTATACCTGTAACCATATACAATTGTAAACATTAAGTCTACTGGATTTGGTAATTGATAGGCATACAAAACGTTGAAATATTAAAACAGGATACAATAAAACGAGATTATTAGTGTCAATTTACAAAGGACTGATCAATTGATATCTAAATATTTTAACCACAGAATAGTTTAGATAGTTAGATGATTGGACAGATAGCGCATAATACGTATTCGATCAAAGTATACATATCGAGTATATAAACTTTGACATATACGGTTTGTTATAGTGAGAGTTCTTCGACCAAAGAAAAAACTATCTATCAGTTTACACCATGGACTCATTTAATGTACAGCTTGTCACCAATGAACTAATCATGGGTACATGCATTATCTTTCAATTAACCTTATTCTTTACCTCTCTTTTTGGTATGGTAGGTTAGTTTTGTTACTTGTTGTTTCATATAGTGTACCTGAGGGTGCCGCTAAAGAGGACAGGATCCTGAGGTATGGTGGACAGACGGGATCGGAGAGTTTTACGCGGAATTTGGGCTATATCCACTCCGTCTATGTAGACATGCCCCTCTGAAAGATCACATAATCGGAACAGCGCCGCGGCCATAGAAGACTTACCTGAGTAATATATCGATCAATAGCAATTACGTGTGTATAAAATAAGTTTTATAATTAAGCATGTCTTGGTGAAATTTGATTCAAATTCCAACATTTGATTATACTCTTACGTTATGTTGTCAAGACCAATACAAGGAACAAAACCTTTTTCCTATCTTTTGCAGTTTATGATTTATGTTTCATTTTTTGTAAAATGTTTCACGATACATGTATATTGTTGTAGTGTTTCTTTAACGTTTACTGTTTACAGTAATATTCATAAATGTACTCATGTATGCATCTGTCCAGTTGAACTTGAAAAAGAAGAACATACCGGCTCCTGTCCTGCCTACTATGCCGACTTTCTGATTCGGTTTGATATTAAAGTGTATGTTCCGTAATACAGGTTCCATGTCCTTCCGGTAGCGCATCGATACGTCAGTGAAGACAATACCTCCCTCCCGGGGCCAACTCTCGTCCGGAACCACAGAGGTAGTGTCCTCTTCTGTGTCTAGTTTCTTTTGTTTCAAGAATAAACATTCAATTCATCACTGGATAGCAGAATTATACAATGCATTATGTCGATTTAGGGGTAGATTTAACATTACATGTCAATTTTAAAATGGTATTGAATGAATGTGAATATAGTGCAAAGAACTGCCAATATACACAAATGTCATTCAAATTAAGAAATAGCATGAAGTATTGATACAATAATTTGGTTTTCAAAATTTACTTTACAAATGTATGCGTTCTTTTTTCACGTTCAGACACAACACAACGACTGGCCTCCATATAGCCCCAATTTATCCTCAATCAAATACCTGCATTATGAAATAAACAAATTAGTTCGGAATCGATCAGCCATCCCACATAACTTCCTTCATTTGGCCAATGCACTTGCCAGTGAATGGAAAATCACGGAAAGACAGTTAATGTCTTTACGAACTCCATGCAATGTAGAATTAGAAGTGTTATAACTGTTCGGGGATGGCACATACGATATTAGGGATTTGTCTGAGAGCTGTCATTATCTCACTTTGTATATATTATGCAATTTAAAATGTCAGAAAATTTGAAGACGGACAGTCCAATATTGACACATTAAGGTAAGGTGTTCCGGACTTCTCCATGATTTTCACCAATCTGCTTCTACATTTAGTTGTTGCAACGTTTGTTTGAAGTTTAAGAGTTAAGATGCTATGGGTTTGGAGTAACTGTGAAATTACATAGGTATTTCTGTTTTGAAAGTATGGTGGAATGTCTGCTTCACCAGAATTCTGGTGTAAAATGTTGTTTGTTGTCTATAGCATCCGCTCCCTTATAAACAAACTAAACATTCATTAATTGGCGAGTTATTGAAGGATCGCGCCCATCTATACGACATGTTTAAAAAGTTTGATGTATGTCACATCATCTATAATTTTATGACGTCTCCAAGCTAGTTTCCAATGGTCATTAGAAACAGTATTACCCGAATCCACTTGAAGTTTTCATAACACGGAAATAGGAAAAGGGTGTTAAGTAGTAAGAACATAATGGACCCGATAGTTTATATAAAATATCAATTAAATTTTCAAACATACAGGTATTTCCGCCGGATTTATTGTCTCTGGAATGTCTCTGGCCGTGACTACGAGTAGATAGGAGAGAATAAAGTGTTAATTGTCCCGGACTGGACATATTTTAATCAGAGTATCTGTGGTTATTGCAGCCATACAACGCAGTAGTGCCAATGAATCTAATTGAGTGTTCCTCACGTTGCCTACGGTAGGTGAGCTTAGTGTGGGGTCATCTGTACGGTGGTATTTTCCCCAAATTTCGTTTATTTATTCCCAGTATGGAATGGTCCAGGACAAAATTGATACAAATATTGATTATCTCATCTTAAATGTACGGTTCTTTTTTATGACATACGAAACAGGATGTATCGGACAGTGCCTGGCGATACCGGATATAATTATTGTTACATGGTTTGTGTGCTTACAGACTCGTACTCGTGGATCCTTTCGATGGAAGTAAATCTTGTTTCAACGTCGTTCATACTTCTTATCAAGAACTGCATCACAGATACACCCTAGAAGTATAATTTTAAGTTCGCACGTGGTTTAAGCAATCAACCTTAATTTCAATGCATTTATGACTAATATATTGCCTAAAAATGACAAAAAAAAAACTTGAATTAATAAAATTGTTGAAATCGTTTTAACAAATAAGTTAACATTTCTATCAAATGGTGGTATCTTATAGCATCTTTGCATGAAGATTTTATTTAAATAATGTCTTTTAAATCAGGTCGAAAAACTCATTAAAAGCGAAACACGTTTCTGTAAGGATAAGACAAGTACAGAACACGTTAAATGAAGGCAGACGATGAATATGAATAGTAAGGAACTCACCCTGATTGTCAATGATAGGGACACGGCAGCTAAAGCCGGTGCGATTGTTCCCTTAGTAAGAACCATGGTTAGAGTGGTTGCCACAATCATGAAAGACGAAACGATATTGAGCATTAACTCAATCCAGCGCATGCTCGCTTCTAATAACATCATTGCCGTTGACGTCACATCCGTATACTTCATACAACTGTTAATTGTTAAAACGAGTGAATGGAATCAGTACTTTTTATAGATATATTTCTATGTAAAATGTTCATGTAAATTGATAACATTTTATGAGTTACACGGGATAAGGAATGGATTAAACGCATTCATTAATTTGGAAAACGAATTAAAAAATATGCGAACTTTTTTATCGTATAACTCGTTTTTTGAGGGAAAAGAGCGTGAAATGTCTCAAATAAATTCTCCATTCAAAGCAGACTTATTTTGACTCCGACAGTACCGTTTCACTATACCGAGACAATCATATGGAGACGTCAAGATAATATATTTTTATGACATCACAATAGCGTTATTATGTTGATGACATGGCCGTATCACATTACACAGTAGGCCATTTATGTATTAAATGAAGGTATAATGAAACAGAATTTGCAAGAGCCACACAAAATGCAAAACGTTACAAGATGTGTGATGTGCGCACGATAGTAAATCTGGACGAAATAAGCTATTGACAATCTATGAGCATTTTGTTCGGTTCTATTACACCGATGTGCTATTCTATCGTGGTTGATCAATCTAGAAAATCTAATTACGTGTGCGATATAGTCTATCTATTTTCTAAATGTATATGAGTAAATCTAAGTATATTTCATGATTAAGCCATAAATCTAAAGGTTGGACAGATGTAGATATATGGCATACAGACTGAATATTTACATACACTGGAAGTTTAATGTGTTTTGCCACCAGCCTATATGTGCAGACACTCATTAACGTCAGAAAGGAAATCTTGTTTTCATTACTGCTGTATAACACTCACCCCTAATTAATGCATGGTCACGTATATACCTGTATACCATTTTATTTGTTGATCGGGGTGCACTACTCGCCACTCTCTAAGGTGAGAAACTAACCCATAGAATGATTAATTAATGCATGGTCCACGACATGTGCACAAACGTCTAGTGCGTTGTGTATTACCACAACGGTATCTGTTATTACATAGCAAACTAAATGATCTTACTTGATGATGAACTGCGTCTGTTGATTATAGGCGACAATGGTGGACAAGCCAGCTCCTGACGTGGTTACATGGGTAATGAGGGGTGACCGAGAGACGTTTTCAAATCGTTTGAATTGTCTTATTGATTCAACAGAAATCGTTTTAATTCCGAAATTAATTAGAACAATAGGAACGAAAGCAATCACAATCCACGGCAGGTTTACAGCAGCAGTTATCAGTGATATAAAAACCATGGACATGAGATGAAGTAGAAAGTCCAAAGAACGCGGCAAAAATACATCACCTGAAAAAAGTACGCATTTCTGTTTATTATTTTGTTTCTTTTTACATCAGATAAACAATCAATTATGTAACTGTCTGATTAACAAAAAAAATATGGTTCTATCCTTCTAATGACACCAAAACGTCGGCGCCATTAGTAGGATAACGCGCCAGCTCACAGCAGTTGCATTAGAAACTTTCCTATGGTAGAACAATCTAAGGTGTAAGACTGACTGTCGAAATCTGGTTAAATGTTCATGCTATAAAAATCCCATGTTTTATTCCAGTTGAGCATGTTTCGGGCGTTCTATTGCAGCGCGAGAGAAAACGTCACAATGAGTTGTCACATATGTAGGAACTGGCCCATGCTTTGTACGATTAATGGCCAACATTCTCCTCTAACTATCTCATAATTAATCTATTTATATCTAACACGGTGATCATACCGGTAACTTATGATTCTGCGCTTGAAAGCAACTCAAGCCTCCTATAACATCGAATAAAACAACTCAACGTAAATATTTGGAGTTTTATCCGAATGTATGTATTGTTTTTATTCGTAAATGGATATAAATTGATATACGGTATACTTCTTTAGCCGCAAAATCAAGTCTTCAATATCTCTTATTTCTGTCGCTTACCTTCATCCATATCTCGTGAGAACCTATTGAGAATACGCCCTGTTGGGTTTGCGTCGAAGAACGCCATTGGTGCTTTCATGACATTGTCTAATGCTCGGTTGTGCAGTCTGCCGGAAGCTTTTACCATCACCTTGACAGATATGTGAAAATATCTCAAAACACATTTTATAGATCGTTACATAGAATTTCATCTAGTTATTCCTATTGTCTCTATTAATGAGCTTTGGGAAATCGGATAATCATGTAGCGACCTTTTACCGCCTACTCCTTCTTCAAGATTGCTGGGTATTGCTGATGCATTTGAGTGTCCGTTTTGCTTCCACGGTGTATAACTTTGGAATACAGAAATTCTGTCATAAAAAAACGCATGTTTCTCATCTGTGCTCCGAAAATGTATACAATGCTTCCAGGTTACCTTACCCTTGAGTAGCCTGGTTGCTTTCAATTAAACTCATTAGTAAATAATGCTACGTGTATTTGAAAAAAAGTCAAACTACTTTTTATGGTGCCATATGTATACCAATGAATGGAATATTTTGATAATAAAATTAATTACATTGAATGTTTCGTTCCATTTGGATACAATGTTGTTTGAAAATACTAATCCTGTGACTTAGAATACAGCCATACATATTTTTTTTATTTATATGATAACAATTGTAGATATATGCATGTTTCGATGAATCAAAAATGTTTCCTTATGTCAATGTTAAAAATATTGGAAAAGACGTACAATTATAGTAACTTGTGCATCATCACTTATTTTAAGGCTGACTGAAATTAAGGTTGAAAATAAATATGTTTAAATCGATTCTGACAAATTTTACATGTTTGCTAAATACAAATAATACCGTCGTCAGAGTTGGCTTAATCCTCAAAACTATAAAACAATATGCTGATCTTAATCTCGCTTATTCTTTCCATAGCGAATGAGACCAGTCGTTTAACTTGCGATGTCACGGCCGATAGAATCTCAAGTCAGCGCGAGTCAACATCATATCGACTAGTAGTAGAATTACAGGTGAAAAAAGTGCACATTTCATGTGAATATCTTTGTATTAGGTCGGCCGATTTTGATGCGGTTTTTCAAATCATTTTAATTTACCATTGTAGACAACAATGCTATATTCATGTCTATTCTCACTCATTGTATATGTAAAAATCATCCGTTGGAGCTTCTATGACAAAAGCGTCGTTACTTATATATGCTGAACGTTTAAATTAACTGCTTTTATCTTTAAAAAAAAAAGAAAAGGAAAATTCTTTTACCGTCGAGGCTATTACAGCCTTTAAAGTCGACAAGAGTATAATCGCCCCTATTGATGCCAAGTAGATGCTAAGGTAAAAATCAACGTCGCCAGTCTGGACATCCGTGGATTCTGTAATGTTTTGGTATAGACGGTTGGATGTTATATTCATAGCTATCGAGCCATTGGCAGGAATAATTGCTTTTGGTGTGGCTTCTGGAGATTTTGTCTGCAATGAGGAAAAAGATATCTATATTCGTGAAGTCAATTATTTTGACAACGAAATGATTATAATCATATTAGCCATTGCTAAATGAGCGCAATGTAGAGTGTCTGTCAATAATTCCTGAATATGTATTTGGTGCGAAATGGACGTTTCTCATAGGCCCCCATCAATGAAAGTTGCTGCAGTAGTAGAGACACTTGTGCTAATGTCTTTAGAAGTAAAGGAGCAAAGTTATTAGATATAATTTCGTGTAAACTTCATCATTTCAGGGATGTAAATCTGTTGGGACAAGGCAGCTTTATATATTTGGATGCAACATTGCTGCATCACCAACCCATGTTTTTTTAATAGGTTCCCAGGGAGAGAATGCATCGGGGAAGGATAACTGTTGCTACAGTGAACCCACAGGCAGCACTGATAAACGTGAATAAGGGTATTATGTTTTGTTATGCACAAAATTGGAAGATATTATTGTTAGATATGATCGATAATATCTGAATAGAAGATCCAAGTTATTGTTATTTATTGAAATGAAGCAATGATAGTTTTTTTTTCCCCCTTTTTTTATTTTGATAATGTCTCTCGTGGTTGTAGATTTTTAAATGTGTCATATTTCAGTTAACAATCTACCTTTAATAAGTGAGTGATAGTCTCAGTCTAATTAAAAATGTACTGGTCAAAGACTGATACCGTGTCCAAGACAAGTAAAGTTATACGTAAGAGAAAGAGGATGAGACAGAATATAGATTAATGTTATAAAACGTCATTAACACAAACATATGTCTGTATCACCCGTTCATCTTTCATAGGAAATAAAACTTATATTACAAGTGGACAAATGCACTCTTTCAATTTAGATTAGGATATGGTGGTGAAAAAATGAAATGTTCTGACGGAAGAATGTGTTAAGTAGAAGATGCTGACGATTGGTCAGAAGCCCCTATGAGTTCTTCATAAATCACACAATTCATGAGTAAACAGTATCACAATAAGTTATCAACTTAATACAAATGTAAAACGAACCACACAAAGAAATGTAAATTATAGTTTATACTATATATGGTATAATTCAATTTACCGTTTCCTTTATCCATAAACCAAGCCACCAGTCCGCGAATACTACTGTTCCCAAGGGGAGAATATACAGAGGAAGGATAACCGCCGCTACAATGAACCCACCGGCAGCATTGATATACGACTTGTATGTCCCAAACGTTACCATACCGGATCCGGCGTCTTCTTTCTGAGTCAGTTTTCCTGTGATATAAAGTATACACACGTATAAATAGAGGCATATACATGTATTTATAGATTATGATTAGAGAAATCTCCGAAACTCTTATGATATGATTTCATGAGATTGTAATGCTATTTTGTTCAATAATCCGATGTCAACCTTTGATCAATTTTCTTATACGACTTCATAAATGGAACTGAGCAGGCAGTGGAGTATTTTTGACAAACACAGTTAAAGCCAAGATGTGCTTATATGCAAAATTGGATTTTTAATAAGTTTCCTTTTACAAACGAGACTCTTGTAAATGTGGTGTTCATTTCAATTAACCCCATCAGAAATGAAAAAAAAAAGAAACTTATAGGGGCGCGTTTCAAACTATAAATGGAATGAAATGCCTTCAACATATTTCGTTCTATAGGCTTTTAAAAATAAAGCATACCTGTATGTATCACAACGGAATGTGCCGTTGACTTTTCATGTCATAAATGTATAGATATTTGTCATGGTAACATCAGAATGGTACTGATGTCATTACATTTTAATAGTTATACTCATTTAGATGAACAATTAAAATGTAAACTGTATTATATCACCAAGACTGTAAGTATTACCTCACCTTTGCTTTCTTTAGAAAAGGAAGCATCACTTTCTTCTTTCTTCTGTTGTTCATCACCTTCTCCTCGCTGGTCAGAAGAACACTGATCATCCTCACTTCTGCATGGCGGCGATTCGTCTTTCTCTTTTAATAAATAGAACTGAAATCGTCATTTTATGTTTTGATATGTTTATTGCAGATAAAGCTTCCGACATAATCAGTCGTATTGTCCTTGTAGTTTCCTTGGGTCTCCTTGTGAATCTCTTTATTACTCATAGCTTACTCATGTTTCATTTAATTTTAGTTTGAATTTAGATCATGTTGACAAGTCGATAGTTAGTTGTTTTTTGTATTAATTTTGTACTTAAATAATGTGAGATGTTTTATAGTCACCATCAACATTTAATAAGGAATGATACAATCCGTTACCTAAATGTGTTCGTGAATGATATATATCCATCTCATTTGGTAACATCATGTTCTTAACAGTCTTCTGAGACAGGGGTAAAAGGTGGTTTTACTCGTGATATATTGTGTTAAAATGCTTAAAGCATTCTCTCTGTGTTTCAATTAAGAATTCTGCGATTTTACTAGATTACCTCCCTTGGTGGTTATGCGTCAGAAAGGCAATTAATATGACTGCTTTTAAATGTTACATCGCTTCGCAGCACTTGAGATTCCCATGTTTCATTTACGAAAACTTAAACCTGGCAAGTAGTATAATGATCAATACGTACATTCGATCATGAAGTTAATTGATGCTTTTAAGTCTTTGTTACAGAGAATGTGAAAATCTACCTGTGGTTGTTGTGAACGTGCTCGTAGCATGATACTGTCCTATCATTTTACTATAGTAACCACCATGCTCCAGCAAAGACTCATGTGATCCATTCTCAGCGATTCGACCTTCTTCCATGACCAGTATTTCATCACAATCCTTCAGGTACTGTCAATTAATTTCACATTCATTATTAAATCAAATGATAATAAAAATGCTAGTACGTAATCAACAGTTTAGCATCTAATGTATATTAATTAATAGTCAAGACTAAGAACGTATACCAACCATCAAATCTAAATTATTGGTTGGTTGAGTGGTGTAGTGGTAACGTTCGATTCAGGAACGGACATGAACATGTACGGGGTCACCTGCTCGACCACGTGGCTTTCCCCCGGGCACTCCGGTTTCCTCCCACAATTAGACCCGCTCCCAAATAATAATGTGTTGTCACGTTGATAACAACGACATTTTGTAGTATTCATCGTAACTTGTTTCAGTTCAATTTTTATTTTTATTTTCCGTACTTTCAAAGTATTATATTGATAATGATAGCACGGTCATATCATAATACCAAAAGTAAATGCATTTTAGCACGAACAGTCGAACATGAAGTAGAATTGTCACTTAACTTCAACATTTACTGCTCATTATCAATTTTTCCAGAGAACTTATCTTGAAAAAGCTCTGAGAAGTTTCATCAATTGGTAGCAAAGTCCTTACAAAGAAATTATACCTGTGCAACAACCATTTCTCACGTATGTGTCTCTACACTGGCCAATCGCATGGAAACCGCACGTAAAATAATGAAGAGTGTATGTTTGAGTAGCCTTAAAAATCCAGAGTTATTACGTTGTGTTCAGTTAGTGAAATATGCGCCTTAATTGGAAACCTGGTTATGATTTGGACATGCTCCTATACATGGCTGCGCATTGGGTTAAAGAAATGAAAATTAGGTTGTATGGTGTACAGGAAAAGGTTGCGTGAGGGAAGTGATGCCAGTGCTGCTCCTATTTAAGGTCATGTAACCTATATTAGGAAGCGATAACTGTGGTAAGCTGGGTTTACATGCCTATAAGTTAGTTTTTGCGGTGAAATACAAGAAGATAATGATCGATATACTTATATTTAGTTTTATATAGTGTCATTCGCATTCATGTAACATTTGCAGATGGTAACAGCTAGTTTCTTAAATATACCTTGTATTTAGATTCTATTACCTCAAACATTTTAAGATCGCAACGAACTGTACTGAGACAACTTATAACAGGTATCTACTAAGGCTAACCTGTAACTGATGAGTGACCAGTATAACAGTCTTTCCTTGTAACAGTCTCTTGATACATCTATGGAACAAATGCCGGCCAACGTGTACGTCCACTGCCGAAAGCGGGTCATCAAGAAGATATATGTCGCTTTTGCTGTAGACTGCACGTGCAAGACTCACTCTTTGCTTCTGCCCACCGCTAATATTAATTCCTCTTTCACCAATCTGAAAGTTTTTATTTAAAAAAGAAATTTAATGATAATTGAGAGTGCGATGAAATGTACCAGACTACTTAGTGTTGAAAATAAATGAATTAATAACATTATGTATATACTTAGTTCAAATAAAATGGATGTTATTGCACTTTTTGTTTATGTAATGTTATGTTCTGGAAAATTATGCAACATCTCACCTCTGTTTCATCCCTGTTAGCTAACATATCCAAGTCAGGCTCAAGACCACAGGCATATACCACTTGTTTGTACCTGGTAATTGTTTATCAAGTTAAAACATGTAAATAGTTGAAAACAAAACGAAATAAAAAGAAATTCAACCTTATTAATATTCAATCAGTCATATTATTGCTATTTTTAAATTCAAGAAGAAATACCATTATTGTAGCATCCTCTTTTAACTGCTTGATAGTGAGAGTCAGTTTTCCTGCAAGTAGCAATTGACACTATGAAGTTTGTCAACCGTCATAATTGCTTGCCACAACTATGTGTTCAACTTCAATTATTGTAATGTTGCAATGCGCACTGCGATTGATGTATATATAAGCGCAGAAAGTAGACAAGATGGATGAAGTGACGGATTGTTTGTGAACATGCTGCTGGTTCGATCCCAAGTCATTATCCTCTTCATCTCTTTCTCGCTATGTTATGTAAATATGGTTCTATTGTTGTTACGGAATGACACAAAATATAACGTAACGCGACATCACTATGTTTTGTAATCTGGGACGAATATGAACACAAAGTGAAAGTATTTAACTACTGATTTTAGATGTTATTCATGTTTTTAAAAAAAATCATGAGTCACGATACCATATAGCGTAACTGATTATTTTCATTATTGAAGCGAAGCTGAAGATTTGTCATATTTCTAGAGTGATTCGGCCATATAATTATCCGTCATGGGGTACAAAGAATGCATGATTTGTTTTTTCCAAAACATACCAGTCAGGATCGTAGCGCTTGCCAAACAGTATGTTTTCTTGCAGTGTACCGCTGAAGATCCATGCCTGCTGAGCAGCATAGGCAACATTTCCACGTACTGCAAGATGTCCGGCCATCTGTTGCATCTGTTCAATATAACAATGATATAAAAAAAAAGCTCTTCATTCATATGGTTTAATTAGGTTTGTATTGAACCACATGTTAATGGGTGCAAAATTGGGGGGAGGGGGAAGAATGAAAAAATTGTATGGCTTACTCTTCCAAGAATAGCCGATATCAGGGAGGATTTACCGCCACCGACAGATCCACATACACCGACAAGTTGTCCCTGGTAAAGATAAGATGCTACACTTAATATTGAGATGAGATCTTATTTCATAAGAGAAATAACTCCTATTAGTTAGACTAGAATACTGTCTACTACTTATATACTTTTGACAAGCAGTAGCTTCTCAGTCAGAATTATTTCAAAATCAAGGGGAATAGGTAAATTCAGGTCATGCAAAATTAACGAAATTTCGAAAGGAGACTTTACCAAAAGCTTACCTAACTCCAAAACGTCAAATAGTGTAATAAAAAGGAAAACCCGCGTCGGAATAGAAAAATAAGTTCTCTATATTACCCCTTGCTTGCCATTATCTTTAAATTTGCGTTTCTTTATCGCTAATAGTGATGTCTAGCTATGTTTGTCAGTCATCATATATTGAACTTATGTACAAAGTTTTTTTATTTGTCTGAAAACCAAAATTGGAGCTTTCGTATTCGTAAGTCATGCCAATGATACAGCCACGTAATATGCCATCAAAGTGAGTATAACTTTGACATCAATATATACAGATATAACATGAATATTTAGTATATATAGTGAAACGTACAAACGAAATTCTAGAGAGCTTAACGATAATGGTTATATTTGGGGAAAAAAAAAAACAACAAAAATAAAACTATATTGGCTTACCTTTTTCACATTAAACTTGATACTGTCCAGTTGCAGACGGAATGTTATAGACCGCTCTTGAGAATCTTAACAGAAGTTTAAAACGTGTATGTTCATGCATATGGAATTTATTCAGAAAATTGCATGTTTGAATACTATATGCAAATATGGTAGCAATATTGTTAAATGTAATTGATTGGCTGACTAGTCAGTTTGTAGCTCAATTCACTTTCCGGAATATAGTGTGTGTTTTCAAACATATAAATCGCAAATGATTTTAGCTTGGTGACCTTGCCCCGGTTGTTCAAGGACCGTTTAAGGATAACCAGTGGTTAGTGATCATTTCCAAACATGAATTAAACAGTTCGAAAAACAATTCTTTATCATTTCACAACTGTAGATTTACTGAGACAGGTCAGATTGATATATTTGAAGAGCAAACGTATTTCCCGTGACAACAATTTCATTTGTTCACTAACCACTGGGTAATAATAATTTCATAATACTGTAAAGAGATATCTTCAAGTATGCGTTAAAACGACATATGCTTTGTGGAGCCGTTTTCAGCACACAAATACAGTACTGGATCATCCTCGACCAGAACGTTGGCCTGTACGGCTCATTATGTCGTGCATCGTCAGACATATGGCAGGGCATTCTCCAAATAAATCAGCGTATTTAGACCGGTTTCATGCGTTGCAGGTATATATATCATTTAACTTGTGAAACTAGATTTGCCCTTTCCTATAAACTTCTGTCCCATATGACCAATTGTAAGAATCAATGTTTTGTTATTAGAACAACGCATCGAAAAGAAATATTTGATACAAAATGTATTATATCATTTTGCCAAAGGTATAGAGTAAACATTCAAAATACACAGTTTATTTGTGAAGTAAACTATATAAAAGAAACTACCTTTATTTTCATTTTTCTTGTTTTTGTTTTTTCGTTCATGTTTTTTCTTCGACTTGTCATCCGGTGAATCGGTCATTAAGTTCCATTGAAAAACAGCATCTTGTATCTCAATATTGTTCGAATCGTCTAATACGTCCGCGCTAGGAACCTGGAACTCCTCTCTTAACAGCAACTTCTATTTGTGGATAAAAAAGGTTGAAATAGATTTCATCAACTCGAAGCCATGTAATAGAGTTTAAGACAAATTATACTAATGCGACATTGATCTACTTTTGGACTTTTGCTTTCGTATCTAAGATAAACAGGTAACATTTCTTATTCATGTTTTTATCCTACAGCCGATATATTGTACTTTCTATATCAGTGGATATGAAACAACTTAATGTTTCACAAAGAAAGAGCAAGCTATTTGGATTCATACTGCTGGTTTCCACTTCACAGTTCACACACTTGTTCCGTATAGTTTGCCAGTCGTATACCAAATAAGTGGAACTCATCATCACCTGAATATAGTGTTCAGTCTCCGAATGATGTCAAAGTCACTAGGGGCTAGAACTGGATAATGAGTCGAATGAAAGAGGACTGGTGCGTTGTCACATTGAAGCAGAATCCCTCTATAGCTTCTTTCAACTCATTTATTCTTAATTCATTGGTTCACTTGCTCCAGTCGGTTGGTATTATATTCCTCATAAGAGGTGTGACTGCTTTCCATTCAATCTATTACTGTTTACTCTAATTATAATAATACTAATAAAGCAGTGTTTCATCGTAGGTTACATCCTTAATCCAAAATCATCTGGACTGGCCTTTATATCGAGTTAGCATTGATGATAACCTTCCATACTTCATGCCATAGGAGAGCTTTGTTGATACCTATGTTACAGATGCCAACTACATGTGTATGAATCCAGATTTAAGGTCTGACGCTACTACTAACCAATATATTGTGCACTGTGTGAATGTTATCCGGGCTAGCACTAGTTACTATATAGTCGTCCTGTCCAGGTGTCATCTTATAAACTCTCCTTGTCTTGGAAGAATTCCCAGCGGATGTTAGTTGCAGGAGAAGGGAAAGACTCCTTATAAATCATAGTGACTTGTTTTTAATGTTTGACAGATTAATGATCCAGGACTATAAACTTAATCACTCCGTTCTCATTATTATCCATTTTACCATAGAAATGCAGAAATAATATGACGCTGCGTGAAACCACTAGGTACGTGAATTGGATGTGGTGAATCTTACCAACATACAGGAAAACGTGTAAGACTCAAAGCTTTATGGTATCCCCTCGAATGTATGTATAACGAAGATTCCGAAATGAAACGCTAATGCTTAAATATAAGTGTTGTATAAGTTTCTATATATTAATCATTAATATTTAACATTTATATATATATATAGCATCTGAGAACAAAGAAACCCTATTTGTTAATTTTCAGAAATTTTATACAGATAGTCATTTGCTTTTTTTTATCTATATGTATCTGTCTAATGTACTTATCAGAGATACATCCTAGCGTGTTTTAATCATTATCTAACTCGCGAGGGTTTATTGATTTGTATGAATAATGTCAAGTTTTTACTTCACGCAGAAGTAGTTTGATACGTCCTGGCCTTACCTTTACACGTTCAAAAGTGACTCTCGACTCGCCGAATGCAATGATAGAAAAAGGCACATAAGACACAATAAACCGTAAGAAATCCAATGTAGAAACCAGACCAAATGCCTGTAAGCATGAGAATAGATGAAATAAAATGTATAATGTTTTTTCCTTTTTTTTTTACCTGATACTATTTCAGAGGGAAATAAATAATTGTTTCGGTTTGTTAGATTGAAAATGAAAGTAGATTAATCTAAACCGTTTTCAAGATTTCCAAGTTCGAATAAAAATGTAAGGAAAGCTAGCATGGAAATTTTAGATTCGGCTGCTTTACATTAAAAAAAAAAATATATATATATATATATATATTTATATATGATTTTTTTTTTTTTGGTGGGGGGGGGGGGGGGGGGGGGGTAAATGTTTACATTGACTAGTTCTTGCAATTATTATAAGGAAGGATTAACTTGAGAAAATACTGAAAGGCATTAAAAGAGGAATTTGATATTGAAATTATATCTCTTCTTCGATATCAATCCATTCATTTCTATTTGAATTAACTAACCGTAGATGCTGTGAGTTCGTTTCCAAAAGCACGATAGGTACCGATGGTAGCGATCGCCGCGAAAGAGGGCGTGACTGGTATAATGACATTGGTGATGGATTTAATGATGGCCGTGGTAAGCAAAACCCGCACCTCACTCTTCCGGATAGCTGCGGAAAATGTTTTACAATACGAAACTAAAACATAGAATGAATTATTGTTTATTACGTATCGACATTGTTTAATAATAGAGATAGAGATAACAGAGTCGATGTGTTCCTGAAATAATATCATTAGTTAATGTTGTGATGCAAAGGTACTAGCCTCAATGCGTACCCGTGATTGCTGACTTGAACGAGTCTTCCCATCCGTACATCTTGATCATCTTTATGCTGTTGAGAACCTCTGTCATTTTTCTAATCTGAATGGAATACAATTGAATAAATTACATTATATATCCTCAAAAAAAAAAAAAAAAAAACGTATAATCAAAATTATGCAATCCATGACATTTTGGGAAATTTGTACAAAATATGATATCAGTGTGAAGGAACAAGTCACATATATACAATAGCATAGACGAAAGATCTGTGTGACTTCACTCGTGTCGTCAGTAGTTACTCAAAGTGGGATACCAAAAATGACACGTCAGTACCTGGTGTTGGCACGTCTTGCACGAATCCCTGCACGGATTCTCCGTTGTATTGAATTCGTGAGAACATTAATTCGCCTTAAGGGAATGTTGTACAGCTCATCCCAAAGTTACTTAATGGGGAAAATGTCGAGGCTATATGGGAGGAGGGATGAATGGACATGTGATTGGAGGTTCTGGTCTCTGTATAGAACGGTATTGCAGTTTTGCTTCAGGACCACTAAGGGGGATTTTACTCCATGAGATGCCTTCAAAAACCATTACAGCAGCTCCACCGAATTATTCGTTTGAAAATAAACCCTTGACCACGCCGTGAGATTTGGACTAAAAAAAGCTCGCAGTCAGAAAATGACATCGTCACGCTTGGCTGATTTTAGAATAGAGTGTCGAGATGGGAAATCATTCTTGGTGTAATACCTGACTAAATATTCCATTATTTCTTTATAGCTAAGGTGTATTGCAGGTGAGGGGTGGGGGAAACTTTGTCCTTTTATTTTTGTTGATTATATATCAAAGATGAATATCACTGTACTCCAGGTTTGTACAAGATCCCATGTGTATATGTACATGATATTGATTTCAGAGTAAGGAACATGTGATACATCACTTGTGAAATCAATTAGGAGTTCAAATTTCATGTTGGAATACAGATAAACCAATTAAGCATTTTAACAATAACTTACTCTTTTGTCGGTGTGAATTAACGTTTTCCGTCTGAGCCCTGCGGCAAATGCTGCGAGACGTGCCTGCATCAAAGATGAAAATAACATTCAATCTATAATTAAGTGTTTTAAAAATTGTTTTAAGACCTGTTTTGAAAAATTGACTTTCTAACAGAATTTAGCTTTTAAAAAGGGTAACCTCAATATGTTTATGTATAGTTCTTCTTACCGCTTCCAATAAAAGCTCACATTGGTTTTAGTTACTATTGATATTGGTTCATTTTTTCTCATTTAATAATATATCATAAAAACTGATTGAATACTAGTTCCAATGAAGTGATTAGAGAAAAAAATGACGTTGTAATAGTCGTTCTTTACTTATATAAGAACACAGATTAGTTACCCTCGTGTGAAAAATAATGATCAATACATCATATTTAAGAAAATTAATGTCAAGATTTCGAATAAAGTCTCGCCTGTAGTTGATAGCAGAAGAGAAACGTTGCGAAAGCAATGAAACACCAGTAACCAATCAGATAGTAGGCATATGCCGTTCCAATAGTGACGTAGACTGGGATAGCCAGCAAATATACCAGTGCATAACAGTTGATAAGTACCCTCATCGAGTCGGCACCGAATATTGTAACAATCTATAAAGACAGCAACGTATTAACACAACGTTCTGCTTGTAGTATCATGACTTACTGTATAAAACAATAAATGGGAAATATTGTTTGACATATGTATGCAAAGACGAACTCTTAAAGGTAATGTAGTGACACATTGTATAAATCTATACAGAAAAGATAGAATTATTGTCAACGTTTTGTAAAACAATTTCGATCACTCATTCACGACGACACCTGCATGAGGTAGAATAATGGTCAAAATAAGAAAACAATATGTAACATGCTTGTAACTTCTATAAACTGATACTGGCTAAACGAATTTAGGAAATTCTAAATTTGAAAAAAAAATAATATCGATTTATCAGGCCGACATATGAGTAAAACTACCAATAGGTTCTCAGGCTGATTATATTGCGTTTAGTACTGCCATACATAGTTTGCCTTCGCCTCGGACCTTACCTCGGATGCTACATTGCCTTTAACGCTTTTAAGTCTCAGAATCTTCTTGTAGACAACACCTAACATACCAGCTCGGAATCTTGTACCTTTATATACGAGATACAGTTATACATATCCGAATAGAGGAAAGACAAAAAGTAATTGTGGTTTGTGGCATTTCGTTTACCCACGTGAGTTACTTGTTTTACAAAGTTGAAAAAAAATTGAAAGAAATACCATATGAAGAAGACAACGACAGGTATGGGCCTAAGATGGGTCTGTTTTTACCACATTAAGATATTCTTAAATTGTATAAACCTGTTCTGTACCCATGTGTGCTTTGTTTTTGTAATCATTTGCGGAGTAATTATGACTTACAGTGAAATGCCAAAACTAAGAATGTCAGTATCATATAGAAATGTTTAACCTATTAGGGGAAAATGTTTAACTTAAAAGTAATAATCATAGTAATAGATACATAATTAAAAGGAAATACACATGTGGCATAACAAGTAGTTAACACGAATGTTGGGGTGATTTATATTTGCTTTTTTGAAATTGAATTATATCCATCTATTAAGATAGAATGGTACACAAAATATATTTTAAATTTGTATTTTAAACTCACATTGATAAACTCATGATAACTGTTAATAAGACAAACAATGTTTGATAATAACAGAAAACATCTCAGTGGACATAACAAGTGGTTGTTGTGTTAATACAGTTGAGTGCTTTTCCCCAAAACGTTACAAAAGACACGGCCTTTATCTTTGGTGTGAACGTTGTTCTATAGATATAAAAAAAGATATTCCGTCAATGTGTTGGCTTTAAACTTATGTTCGGTGAATATATTGTGGACGTAATAATATGTCATGTAGTAAAATAAAAAACAAAGTAGAAATACGATATATAACTATACATTGATAAAACAAAAATATTACCTGTCTGGACCCCAAAGAAAATCATACCAGCAAATGATACGGCTCTGATAACTGGACCGACAAAAATTACCGCAACTAGCGTCATAGCGTAGCCGAAGTCCGCAGTTTCAGACTCTAGGTAGCTGACGACGAGGTTAGTAATGAAACCCTGAAATAATTACCATCACTTGGTTAGGTAAAATTAAACTTCAATGTAATTATCATTCAAGTAACTCTTTCATATCTGTCGGTCCGCCTTTCTAGCGTATCACATGTGTTGAAGACATTCATTTAATCGTTTCCTATAATTCACAATCTACGGCATAAAATCTCCTAGCCAAAACGTTCCACACCTGCCTAACCATCATGCTTCCCAACATCCCCAACAAAGTATGTTTGAAAGTTGTAATAAACAGCTAGATAATTACGACATGATTAAAGTGGCAAATTGCCTACGTGATATATATATATGCTAAACAAAAAAAGAAAGGTAACACTACTTTATTCTGTGATTAATTAATCAATCCCTTCATCAATCCTTACCAATCATGTACGAATAAAGTAATTGATCAATTCTGATAAAACTGCAGTCATGGTTCATTATAAAACTGTGCGTTCAGTTGATTTTATTCGACTGTAAAGGACGTTGGGTCAATTTCAAAGGTAACACCATTAGTAACGGGTATGACCACCGTTTGCGAAGTAAACAGCATTGCAGCGTCGTCGCATGGAACTCGTAAACCGGCGGATAATTCGAGGAGAGATATTTTCCATTCAGCGATCAAGGCTTGGGCCAGCTCCTGCAAGTTTGACGGCTGATTTTGACGTTCTCTCACGTGTCGCCCAAGAACGTCCCAGACATGCTCAATCGGTGACAAATCAGGTGATTTAGATAGCCAATCTAACACCTGTACGTTATTCTGCTGCAAAAGTTCTGCTAATGCGACTGATGTGCGCTGGTGCGTTATCCCGTTGAAAAATGGCGCCAACGCCATGGCGTCTTAAGAATGGCAGAACCACTGGTCTTAAAAAATATCGAATGCCGGTTAAATTGCCATTTAACACGACAAGCCTGGTACGAGTCCCCCTGCAAATACCATCCCAAACCATTACACTTCCGCCGCCAAAGCGGTCACGTTCTGCGACGCAGCAGTTCGCAAAACGCTCCCCTCATCGCCTCCACACTCTGCGCCTTCCGTCACCGTGTTGCAGACAAAACCTGGCGATGAACACGGGTCCAGTTACGCCGATTATTACGGTGACGTCGCAACAAATTGGGTCCAGTGTAGGGACGCCGCGCTTTCAATTGGTAGACCCTCAACCTGTTTTGGACTGTTTGGGGAGACACACGACGCCCAAACAATGACCTTGTAGTCTCTACTGCGGTTACGAATCGATTGCGCAAGTGTATCAATAGTATAAGACGGTCATTCCCGGCGGTCGTTTTACGGGGTCAGCCGCTTCGGGGACGATCGGATGTTGACCTATTTTGGTTTAAACGACTTACCAACTGGCAAATTGTCTTAACACTGCAACCAAAATGCCGTGCAACTCGACGGCGAGACTCCCCAGCCTGGACCACGCCTACAGCCTTTTCTCTCTGTACTTGTGACAGCCGGGGCATAATGATAAAGTTGATAGATAGCAAGATTCGGTGATTTCTAAGTCCTAAGGATCTAAGGAACAGTTGTCAGTTTGAATGTTTATGAAATTCAAGCGAAGATACAAGTTAGTCGCAGAAAACCTCGTGCAGCTCTTTCGCTAATACAGACTTTCACGCTTGCATGATTTTGGTAACCCCCTTGGATTTTGTAATGTAAAACATTACCATTTTCTAATATTGCACAAACGTCATTTTGTTTTCACTCATTTACAGGTATTCGCCAAGGAAACATGTTAACCTTTCTATTTTTGTTGAATATATATATATATATATATCCATCTGAGTGCCTATGGTAAGCGAATGTTATTACTGTGACAATCACAAAAGGTGCTATACTTTTTAGACTTTTTGTCCGAAGTTTGAGAAAAATACCAGCATTCGCGGAATTGAATAGACTTCCTTTTTTTCGTTTAGGTGTCATGTCGTGCATAATTGAAACATAGGTGTATATTTCTACACGTGTTGCTGAAGCTACTCATTAATACGTCACACGAATGTTCAAAGTTAGTGATGCGATATCATGTTTCATTTAAATGTATAGATAATGAATATAATGTACATAGAAGTTAGGTTAAGGACATGATTAGGGTCATATTCGTCTTGATTCATACTTACGCTCATAAAAAATGCAAGCACAGCAGTGATGCAGACAAGTAATATCGTTATATAGAGGCGTGTCTGGATGAACTTGAACCAAGCTCTTAAGAACGAGGATCCTTTTGCCCCGTATGTAGCTACTTCATCTTCCCATATTTTTTCTAACCTAATAATAAAACATGTTCTTTGAATAGGTTAGTTTGTTTGCTATCACTGTTAAGAACATGATTTCTCAACATATTTCACGAGCACATGTCTTTGTAATTATTCATTGATGTTACGATCGAACAAATGAAAAGCGTTTTATATTTGAAATGTGATGAACGATTAAAAGAAAACAGTCCAATAGAAATAAAAACATTATCAAAATACGAAAAGTTACTATACACTCCATCTAGATTGTGACATTTCTTCTAATCTTTTATCAAATTTCCTCAGTTTTCTCCAAGGTTTAAAAATCAAACCTTAACTTCACTTGCCAGTCCTAAAAGAACGAAACAGCTGTATCATTAAGTTAATTCAATATTGTCTTCTACTTATTCTTTTTTCTATATTGAAAAGTGCTATCCACTTGTGTTTCATTTGTGCGATCTATGATGACAACGATTCCTATGTTAGCCAGGATCCTGAAACTGTTTATACTACGTCAGGATTAGGTGTGGTTTAGCAAGTCCCTCTATTCAGCCTTTTGTACTTTGCTAAAATATTGCACTTCCAACCAGTAAGAAAAGCAGTAATAAAATAGTGTAATAATAACTTTCACATGAACGGATACCATGATGTCTTCATGGAATAACATGATAAACTATCTTGATATTGCAAGATGCAGTGATCAGTACTATTAAAACCATTATAAATATATTACCTGAGTGTATTGATGTCACATGACTCCCAGTCTGATATCTCCCATACATCCTCTTCCTTCAGAGCCTGGTCTCTGTGTTTGTAAAGCTTCATTATCATGGAGGACATCCATGATAACGTGATATAGGAGAATAAACCAACTTTGTTTACTGGAATTTTTCCATCTCTATAAAAAAGAACATAAAGTTGATGAAAATAAAAACGACCATTGTTGGTTGGTTGTTGGTTGGTTGGCTGGTTGACTGACATGTTACGGGACTGATGCCGTGTGCAGGCATCGTCTCACCGACGCACGTCAGTGTTCTAGCGTCGTCAAAAACATTATACCTGATTTTGGAAGGTGGTTTCCTTGCTGAGTATATCTATCAAACGCCAGAGAGATTTTGTAGGTGGTTGATGTTGTGAGGGAAAACGTAAATGCGCGAAGCAAAAAATAAGGTAAGTGTCCTCCCTTTGAACACAACAAGTAGAGAATAGCACAGTGTGCTCTCAGCTTTCCGACAAAGAAACTGTCCCTAGTAGGTCTAAAACTTACGTTATATCAGCATCTTCAAAATAAAGTACGATCAGAATAGCATGAACATATCAGTAAAATTGAAAGAGATAATTTTCAGACTTAACGTAGTATATAACTGTAACATATTGAAGTTGAAATTTTGTATTTTTGTAAGTTCTATCGGTGATGTATTGATATGCTGGTTACTATAAAGTGTTATTATGATATTATTTGATCAGCTGGCAACACTTTACGTCAAGCTATTTATAAAATAGAGACCAAAACCAGGCTTTGATCTACCACAATGTGAGCATGAACATATCATTAATGACACGTTTTAATTTCTGATTTACTTACCTTAGCAGACCTAGGCAGATTGCAATCAAATCGTGATGTATACGCTAGAACAAGTTATAACCATACGCGTGTGCGAATATCGACTGACAAGTTACGCAGGAAATATCGTAGGCAAATGACATGCATGAAATCAACTGACAATAATGTATTATGTACAGATCTGCGTTATATCACTTTTGTTTAAAAACTGACAAATCGCTCTGGTATCTTTGAAAATGTAGTCTCTGCTTCTGCAGGTTAGTCATCATGCTTAACATCTTACATGGTATCTATATACGTATATATTCTATATAGTAATAATATTTCTTACTTTGAAGATGGACGGAAAGGTTTCAGTGTTTTGAGTGCAGCAAAATATTTTCGCCTGTATGTCGATCCATGTGTGACATGATTATCTACAAATCCATTCAATCCCCGTAAACTGCAAAAATAACAAGAAAACAATTTAAAAAGCAAATGTATTGTGACTTACTGTACACGAAACACTGTTTAGCTTTAACAGTTTATTTAAACAAAATAATGTGCAATACGTCAATACGGCGGTAATGCATAATCTCTCTTTTATAAAGCTTTTTAGCACAGTGCTTATTGAGTGCAGAATAGCAAATCAATTTTTGCCATGCCGGATACAGCTATCTCCAGGAACTTTTGATGCACTCATTTACTGAAGTGGAAGTAATGAAATTGATATGGTCATTGTTATGACCATTCACAATTTGAACCATCTCCAATTTTTCATATTATTTTTTGACTTGCAACACATAATTTGACCTAGAATTAGTAAGAAGGTATCTTGTGACGCGTCGGATTCTAATACCAGTCATTAGAATAGCGGTACATAATAACAGTACTAGAGTGTACCCAAACAGTTCAATACAGTGGTGAATTCAGTCAGATATGACAACAGTAAGGTAGACATATAGTTGGACATTTATACCCATACTTCAAATCGTACAGAATGTCTCATATCAACCTCAATCTTGGTATTATCAAACATCTCACATTGCACTTTTACGAATAAAAATAAAGATTATATAAATGTATAGATTAATTACCTTAACTCATTTCCAGCCATATCAGGATCTCCATTCACAGCCGGATTGTCAAAGGAAAAATTTGATTTCCTGTCCGGAAAAATATTGAATGACCGGAGCTTTGGTTGACTATCTTTGCTCATTTTGGTAAATTTTCACCTGCAAATGGGTCGATAAGATAAACAAACAAAAAAACAATTTGAGCAAGTTAACATCTTCACTAAATATCTTTACCTTGTATTAGACGGTAATTATCTTAAATTCAAAGCAGACTACAGCACAACGAATTCTTACGGTATGTCTCCTTTAAATCAGAAATTAAAAAACGTAAGCATGCATGAATTTGTATGTAGTTCGAGGAGCTTGAAGAAGACTTTATATCTTATGATATCAATTACGCCGAGAACAAAATCATCGCGATTTAATAACTATAATACATAAACTGATAAAAGCCATCATAGTCTTACCATAAAAAGTTCGCCTTACCGCATCGGTTTTACTGGATCTGTTCACTTTTATATGCATGTGTATTTGCAAAAAATGAGACATCTTGAATAATTCATGATTTACCCAATATGACTTTTTGTCTCTTCCATTGGTCGTTGGAATGAGGTGTAATAAAAAATTATATTCAAACACATACATTCCCAATATTAATCGTATGCAGCGTCATGACATAAGACCTAACTCGTCACCAACTATGCAAGTGTCATAACATGAACAAATAGACGGTGACCAGGTTTCCGTTAAAGGATAAGCGTCAGCATCATCATGGGCGAAACTCATCATGTAGATAAGTAGTGTTACCTTCTTGATACTCACTGCGTTTTATAAACACCATAAGCTGGGAATGCAGTTATGTTTTAGATAATTGAAAATTCACAAGGTAATGGAAATCATTAAGCTAATTATACAGATTGACAGACGTCTCTTCATGTAAGTTTGCTACTCAAACACAAACAAAAAAATTTAAATAAATATTTATATATAAATGTATAGCCATCATCAGGTGTCCGGATATGCGAACAATGTCCAAATGACCTCAACAAATTTCATTCTTATGATACATAATTGCATTTTTACAACGTTACATGTATATATTGTTTATTTTCAATAGATATCAGTGTTGTGCACTATTCACTAGTGTTCTCAGTCCACCCTAGTATTTCGCCCTTACTTAGATTACACAAACGCCATACAAATGAATAGCATGATTCAATACAAATTTAGAGTTAGAGTCAAAACAATTCATCTGCATCATAAGGCTGTTTTAGGTCTCATCATTGATGCTAGACTCCAAAATTTTGAGGTGAGTGAGAAAAAGAAAATTGATTGTGAAGAAGATGTCGATACCATGATGGACAGGTGCATTACCCGTATGAATTAACCAGAAACCAGAAATATTACAAAAATACATTCTTAAACCATAAATCAAGATACCAAGAGGCAACCACGGTTTGGGTTATTTCCCTTGTATCTTAGATTTATCTCCCCAATCACACTTCCTGAAAAAAAAGCCATTAATCGTCAACAACACCACAAGAGGTAAACATTTGACATCCACATTTACTAATTCATTAAAACCCGCCTGCTAAAATCACTTCAAAAATGTTTATTAAGTATTCTTTGTCTGTTTCGAGCTAAAATGAGAGTTTATTTTTAAAGCATATACAATATGGCAATAACACGTGTTTGGTCGATTTTTAAATAACATTTGTTCACTACCGATGTAGATATCATGCGCTAATAACTGTTTACATAATTTCAGTAAGTTATTAGATTGGTTATTAGCATTTACCGATTTCCACACTAAGCAGTAAATGTGCTGTGCTGCGGCTCTCCGGTTTAGGGATCAAATATTTGCAAGTACACTATAATGACCCATCGTATTCTTAATTTCCGTAGCTTGTGTGTACAACAGCATTTTGTGAAGAAAATTCGGTCACATTTTTTGTATGGTATTTTTTAATTTCTTCTTATCATGGCCTTGGGTGCAAACTGTCGTCGACCAGATAGTTAATGTTTGATTCAGTCTATTATTTTATGAAATGCCAATGTTATGTAATCAGTCTACAAAAATACAAAGCTCAGTTACTGTTGATTATTCTTCACCAAGTCTTGCGTTAGCAAATTTCAGACCGGAATAGGCCAAATTCTTACATGTGGAGTACATTGATCTCCATGTCTTTCTTTATAAAAACAAGCAATCATGAGTCTTTATATCAGAGTATTTTATTGATAAAAATTATCAATATAATTAGACACCAGGCTAGAGCCTATATAAGTCTTCTCCCAAGACAACATGGTGGTCAGAAATAAGCACAATACACCATAAGCATACATACATACATACATACATACATACATACATACATTTTTCTTACATCAAAGGATAATTATTCTAAATACAAAGGATACTCAGACCAAGATAAAGAATTGTTCAGAGTTGATTCCTTCTTATAACATGATAACTGAATTATTGGGAATAAATAAGAAATGATAATATGAAAAAGGGGGGAAAGTAAATATCTATTAACCAGCATTCATCTCATGATTGATAAAACTTGAATTAACTATATCTATGGAAGGATATCAATTTTTTCCAATTTGCATTTTGTCTTAGTTTTATATTTGTTCTATAATTTCAATTCAAGTCAGCAGATATTAAACATTCGACATTAAGCCTTTCTGTATCATAATATACTTAACTACAGCATCAAGCAATAAATTAATGGATGTGAGTGGTTAAGATTATGGTTATTTAAGCTTAATAATAAATATTGTCTACGGTTAATATATCTTGGGCAATCAAAAAAGTTTCGAGCTGTTTCAGTTTGGGTACCACATGCACAAGATGGGACATCATAAAGATGGTCTTTATGTAAATCATGCTTTAGAGAGCTACCTGAATTCCTTAGCTGACAGAGAATGATACTTAACTTTCTTGGTCCTCCTTTTATTAAAATGATGTTATTCTTACAAGCTGGAGGATTTGTCCTATAAAGGGTTTTTTTTTCAAAGTGCCTTAAAGAGTGGATATTAGTTATGGGATTACTTATTATTTGTTAAATTCAGATATCACGTTTGGAAAGAAACTATCCATATAGCTTACATTTCGACAAAAAAGTTCATTGAAGATTATGTTATTTCGAAGTCGATACCTCGACTCTTCAAAATTATTAAAAAATGGTTGGATATTATATCAAATGAATATTCAGATGTTTCGCTGTTTAAGATTTTGTACATTAAGATCATTATGTGTTTTTCCTTCTGTAATCGAAGGACATTCAATCTCGGCTACTTCAACTGGGTTATCTAATTTTTGAACCCAGATGAGGATCAGGGTAACCAGATATCTCATCAATCTAGGTGATTTGTACTTTTTCTCCATTATGTTCATGGATAACGATTCTTCAATCTGATGTCAAGGCACCTGGTATGTGTTTGTGTTTTTTAAGAAACAAGTGAGAGCTTGGAGTATAATTTGTTCACTTGTGTGTTTGAACATACATTCATCAACCTTTAAAAAATGCATATCTCCCACATATGTTTAACGCAAAAGAAGACAGGTGGCATGCATCTTATCACCCATTTATCCCTACTGGTGGATACAGTATCATTGAGTATTTTGATCCTGTCCAAAATTCATTATGTTATACATCATTCCAACAGGTTATTGACTAAATAACAAATTTAGGTGTAGGCTGATTTATAACTAAAACAAACCCCTATGAAACCAACGTTTTGCGCAGGTCACACTGAGCTGGGAAGTGGCTGTGGCACTTGTAACAATGGAAGTAAGGGGGGAGGAAGATACACCTAGAACAGGAAAGTAATTGTCTGGGTGGATAATAGTTCATTGACCATGACACTGAATAGCAAACCGGGTTACCATGCCCCTTTTGAGAACAATACATTCAGTTTAAATATTCCTGGTGCACAGAATAAGGTAGGAGGTGTCACTTCTGAATGTCAATTAGCGCAGGCATTGGAACCGGAGACACAAGAACTACCAGAACAAGTACCCGGACACCCCCGCCACCCCTACACCACGATTTCGTTTGCTTTTCTCAAATGGGAGTTAGCTAAGCTAGCTGTTGCCTCAATGATATACACCTAAATCTTTCCAGAGGATTTTAATCACATTCAATAATTTTCTACTACAGTACAAATTACCTTGTCTATCACCTTTTCCATAACCTCGTGTTACCAAATTCATTGCTTACCTGTCTGCAAAGGGGTTACTCTATAGCAAAATGCTACATTTCCGGGTTAAGCTATTATTGTAAGATCATGATTTTGCAGATGTTACTTATAGTTTCATCGGTCGTAGGATGAGAGAAGGTAAAAGGAGATGTATGCAAGGTAACGTTTCCAGTCTTTCTAATGAATTACTAATTCTGAGGATATTTGTAGTTGATAGGGTGTGTTATTGGACTTATGAAGCTACGCTCTTTACAGCAGTATCTTCTCTGGCGTTTCATGGAGGTTCGTCCAAAAGTTGGTGCTCCTCCATTTTGTCACTTTTGAAATTTACATCTCACAAAGTACCAGTTTAGCACACTCATGCATATATAAATAAATATACACAAATAAAATCCTTAAACTCGCTAATCACAGTAATATTAATAAAAGAACAACGTCATCATATTTGTAAGGGTATGTATTGACGGAAATATACAGTTTATGTTCATAGAAGAATATATACTACAAAGGTAAATAAATGTGGTCGCAATCTGATATTTGAACTGGAACTTAGGACAAGAATGAATAGGTGAGTCACAAGTAGTCCTGGATAATGTCTACATTAATAATTGATACACGTCGGTGGTTTTGATGACTTGATATGAATATTAATATGAATCTATATAAATTTGTCATTGGTGTCGGAATTCAAGCAGTAAAACTAACACCTTCATAGGTGCAACAGGTTAAGAAGGTTATATATCAGATTGGCAATCTCTGATACAAAGTATATTAAGTCTGTATATCGTAAAAAAATAATCATCAGACAATCTAATTTAAATTTATTTTGGGTTAAAATTGAAATTGATTTTATTATCCTTGATTCTGTCATCCACACGCTTCACATGATATAATTTGACTGAGAAATACGATTTGGTCACGATGATGGCATTTTCACAGTTTGAGCTCTGATCATCTTGTTGAAAACTGAGTGAGGGTTAGCCATTAAATTCTGTGGGTGTCCAGTTTCTAATATCTGCAAGGAAAATAATTGCATAAAGTTTTCTTTTGATTAATGTATATTGAAAATACTAAACCACTACAACACATCCGGCTCTACATAGAAATAAGACCATTATTGTCCTCTTAGTACCATATCGTGTTTTATCATTAATAATAATGCTATATTTAATCATTCTAAATCTATAAGATTGCATGCTAGAAAAAAATCGCTTGCACATCGAAATGGGATTTTAAAAAAAGGAAATTTTGTTACTTTTATTATTTTGATAACTTAAGTCTATTATATCAGAAGTACTGCCTGATCTCGACATTCATTTGCCTGTTACGTACTGACCGTTGACATATCCTGAACTCTACTTTGCACCTGTTGTTACATTATATACACGTCCTGTGATATTATGTTTTTTTTCTTCTTTTTATGTAGCATATAAGTAATATAGTGTTATACTTCAGTCTATTTCTTCATTAGCTTGGTGTTTTAGTAGCAATGGATGAGGCATATCAGTAACATATTATCTGTCAGTAGATTGACGTCCGGGTTTATTTCTATCCCTACATCCGGTGTGTAATATCGAAGGGATTTTATTTTTTCGATTGGACGAGGCGTAATTATGATATTCCGATGGATGTTATTATTTTTTATTGAAATATAATTTAGATTTATCGTAAGTATTTTATGTCATCGACGATATCTAAAATTTTTACTATTTTCAGTCATGAATTTCAAGAGGAAATGTTGTTGTATCCAAAAATGTATTAGGTTCCTTTATGCAATGTGTATCGTATCCTTATCATCTTAGCGAAAAGAATGAATTGTTTAATTGCCTATTATCAACACAGGTATTCATAATTAGCATGTTGATTTTATATACATTTTTCAGTCTGGTTAAAGGTGGGATGCAATCATAAATAACATCAGGTTCATTTTAAAAGTCATTATTGCTTAACATATTAACATGATGTATTTTCGTTAGAATACCTCTCCAGCTTCCATGATTAGGATGAGGTCACAGTGTAGTACGGTGTTGAGTCTGTGCGCGATCGTCAGGACGGTACAGTCAGAGAAACTGTCGCGGATCGTTTGCTGAATAATTGCGTCTGTGGAAGTGTCAATGGACGCTGTTGCTTCGTCCAAGACTAGGATCTATTAGAAAATACAAAAATAATTCAACAATGGGCATTCAATGGACTTTAAAACATACACACTATATATGTCTCTTACGACATATATCTGATACATCACATACTTTACACCAGTGTCTTGCACGCCTTCGATATACTGTATCAAAATGAGTATCTTGCAAAAAGGAGTAAACAAGCCAAAAAAAAAAAAAAATTCTTTCAAACAGTCATTGTATTTCCTGTGTAATTATTTCTCTTTTATGGAAGCATAAATAAGATGGAATTTCCTTACCTTATTTTTACGAAGTATCGCTCTACCCAAGCAAAACAGCTGTCTTTCGCCTACAGAGAAATTCCCTCCGTTTTCTTCAACTTCAAAGTCGAGCTGCTCACAAAACTGTCGTACCTGAATTATAAAAAGGAAGTTAAAACCTACCTATTATATTGCATGATAAATAACGAAAAGATTTACGCAAGCAGACATATTTATAATCATTCTTCAACTGTCGGACTTGTCAAAATACACTTGCCATATATTTTTTTTCTGTATCGGGTACGCATATGGTTGATACTAGTTCCTAGTCCGCGACTAATGCATTAATACATTGTTACAATTTAAACATTTCAATGACGTCGCGTTGATTACAACGGCTGCAATGTCAGTATATTTTCATGTTGTTCAATTTTAGTGATGTGCATTTTGTAACGATGGTGTGATAATTACCGTATGATACCAAACTTAAAATCAGTTGTAGGATGAACAAGGCAAAGTACAAGGCAAATTATCACTAAACTTCAGATTTCGCAGCTCGTGGTGGTTGGTTCACCATCTCGAACAATATCGGCTTTCATGGTTTGGGAGAAATTGTTTTAGAAGTATGCTGTATTTTTCAGCAACCGAAATAACAGCAATAAAACAGGCTTGCTTCTGTAATGTCGAAATGAATGTAACTGATGCTAATACTGTTTATAAGTTATTGAGTTCCAGATTTTGGGAGCAGTATTAATACTACTCGGAAAATTATGCCGGCGCCATCTTTTTCGCTGGTATGTATAACTAAACTGTATACCTTAATGGAATATGTATTGAAAGTAATTGACATCTTTAAGTGGGAACATGTATCTTTAATTATTTACCAAGTAAAATAAGAATTAGGTTAAGTGGTATACGAGAAAAGTTGCATCGGTCAAAATATCTGAGCTGTGATTATGTTGCTCCACTTCTAGGACACATAACACATCGAACGCAACGACCTATCACAATCATGTATTACGGTCAGATACGTAAGATTTCGATCAGTTGCGATAAGTTACACGATAACACGAACATATAGCTAGTGTCTTTAAATACCATTTGCATTTTGGCTCAGTACAGAAAGCCAAAGTGCTTGCCACTATTGTATTTCTTCACCTTCACCAAAATACCATTTATATTTCAAGACACTTACTATGGATTCTTTACATATATAAAGCTGCGATGAAAGTTATCATATTTACAGTGAAATCGAATGTTTCTAATTATTAGCCTTGATCAGAAAATGTTAATGGCTACCTTTTCTTTCATGTGAACCTGTTCCAAGGCTGCCCAAATTAACTCCTCTGAGTACAGATTAAATGGATCCAAATTATACCTGTAACCATATTCAATTGTAAACATTAAGTCTAATGGGTTTGGTAATTAATAGGTATACAAAACGTTGAAATATTAAAACGAGATTATCAGTGTCAACTAACAAAGGACTGATCAATTGATATCTGAATATCTTAACGACAGAATAGTTTAAATATTTACCGATGATTGGGCAGATAGCGCATAGTACGTATTCGATCAAAGTGTACATATCGAATACATAAACCTTTGACATATACGGTTTGTCATAGTGAGAGTACTTCGACCAAAGAAACGCTATCTATCAGTTTACACCCTGGACTCATTAAATGTACAGCTTGTCACCAATGAACTAATCATAGGTACATGCATTATCTTTCAATTAACCTGATTATTTCACTGTAAGTACTGTTTAGTAGTGTTAAGTTAGTTTAGTTACTTGTTCCATATAGTGTACCTGATGGTGCCGCTGAAGAGGACAGGATCCTGAGGTATGGCGGACAGACGGGATCGAAGAGTTTTACGTGGAATTTGGGCTATATCCACTCCATCTATGTAGATATGCCCCTCTGAAAGATCACACAATCGGAACAGCGCTGCGGCCATAGAAGACTTACCTAAATAATATGACGATCAATAGAAATTACGTGTGTATAAAATAAGTTTAGTAATTGGGCATGTCCAGGTAAAATTAAATTCAAAATTCAACACTTAAAAGTTATCTTGCTTTATGTTGATATCACTGTGATGTCTAGCATATTGAAAGAATATCACTGACGTTGATGGTAAAGACTTTGTCGATATGATACTTTAATAAGTTAGGTATTTGTTAACTCTTGTTAATTGCTTTATTTTCACATTCATGTCGAGAGGTCATGCCAGACAGATACAAGGAACAAAATAGCATGTCATATTAACTACAGTCAAATTAACGTTTATTCAAAATTGAAAAAGAAATGGCATGTGAGACTGACAAAGAAAACATTCTTTCTTGTGGTGTTAGGAGTACGTAAGTGACGAAACAGAGGCATTAATAGAAACATATTAGATATATTCTTTATAATGTACCTTTTTACGTTTGGAATGGCATATGACCTTTTGCAGATACATTGAGTAAAAACAACATCACCCGTTTCCTAAATTTTGTAGCATATACTTTATGTTAATGTGTTTTATGGAATGTTTTCTGATGAACATACCGGCTCCTGTCCTGCCTACAATGCCGACTTTCTGTTTTGCTTTGATATCAAACTGTACGTTCCGTAAAACTGGGTCCAAGTTCTGCCGGTAGCGCATTGATACGTCAGTGAATGCAATACCTCCCTCTCGGGGCCAACTCTCGTCCGGAACCACAGAGGTAGTGTCCACTTCTGTGTCCAGTTGCTTTAAAACAATGTATGTGTTATTATCACTGAACTGTATAATCATAGAAAGCATCATGCCGATTTAAGAGTAGATTGAAGCATTACAAAATCTCACTTTTGAAATGGAACGGAACGAATCTGACATAATGCAAATCGCTGCAAATATACATAATTAGTCCCGTCCAACTTTACACATTTTATTTTAAATTAGGTATGACATGACGTATCAATAATTAAGGCAGATTCTAGAACGTTAAGATATTTTCATACGATCTCAAATGTATATAAATTGTAAATAGTCATAATTATTTCTCTAATTGGCATAAGATGGAGCTACGGCAAACACCTCTACAGTGAAGCATTCATTATATTCTGTGATATTTCGCCATCTAGGAAGGTAATCGCATACCTAAATTGGCAATTGTGGTTGAACTTAAATAGAAGTTATGCCCTTTAAACTGATTTATGATTGATTGAGAGACTGCGAAAGTACTGGACGGAGTAATGGTGCAAATATATATTCATCTACAGCAGTGATAACATGAGCATTTCCTATTAAAATAGAAAAAAACGATTTTATAATTAGATTTACTGATATTTGGTAGTTCGGTTAGAGCTGGTCAACTACTGCAATGCAGCGCTGCATTATGAATGAGATGATATGATATATGCAACTCTAGATAACATATATATCCTTATATTAATTTGCCAGAGGCTCCTAAAATGAAAAACAGATATCACACTTTATCAATCGCATTTAAATGGATTCCCTATTTATGACATCCGAAACAGTGGCAGTACCGGGCAGTACCTTGGTGATACGGGCTGTAATTATTATCACGCGGTTCGTATGCTTACCGACACGTACTCTTGGATTCGTTCAATAGAGGTAAATCTGGCTTCAGCATCGTTAGAGTATTTTACGAGGTGCTGCATTAAAGATACAACCTGAAAGTATATTTAAGCTAAGTTCGTTTTTAACTCTGAAATACCAATCAATCTCAATTCCAATGCATTTGCTATATATTCTGATTAAAAAACTTTAATTTGATAATTTTGTGAAAATGCTTCTTAATAAACGGTGACGTCTTTGAAACAAGCGCAGGAACACATGAATCAGTCGTACTTATTCAAAAAAGAGGACCTGGGAATAGATATGACCCTTGATAAACGGAGAAATCGAGCAAGAGCTCTACAAAAAAAATGTGTATTTGAACTATATTACTAAAACATTGAAAGTGCAGTGCGGGAAGTAGGGACTGCGTTTGAAAACAGGGATTTGATATCATTATGTGTTTTGCACAAAGCTTTAATTTGATATACTCTCTTCTATATCAGGTTCCGACCATTTTCAATAAAAAGACACGACGCTTTAAGGAGGGAACATGTACCGAACATGTTATTGGAAGGCAGAATGATGGTAATGATAGGACTACTGATGAGCTCACCCTGATTATCAGTGATAGAGACAAGGCAGCTAAAGCCACGCCGATTGTTCCCTTAGTTAGAACCATGGTTAAAACGGTAGCCACAACCATAAGAGATGAGACAATATTGAGCCATAACTCAATCCAGCGCATGCTCCCTTCGAATAACATCAATGCCGTTGACGTCACATCCGTATACTGCATACATCTGTTAATTGTCAAATTGAGCGATTGTTTTGTGTAAATAGAGGACCTAATATGAGTGACATTAATTTGCTATGCCATGAGGTTTATAAATTCCAAATTGCATCTCAAAATGTATACAAACACATTTTATCATAAAACCCTTTTTTATTATTTTTAAGTGAAAAGTATCGAATTGATTTCCTCATTCATGGCAGATTAATGTAGACTCGGAAGAAGGTTTAAACTACTGAGACAATCATGTAAGGACATTAAGAAGCTATTTATTTATAACGTCACAATAGTGATATGATACAAATATGTCACTTTTCATGTTTGCGCATGGCCGTATCACATTACACAGCAGGTCATTTATCTATTAAATGTATATATAATGAATCACAATGAGCAAGAGTCAAACTCAACAAAATGTAGAGCACTTCCATTCATACACAGTTACAAAAGTTTCAGTTGTGGGATCCCAGAACGTTACACGAAGTGCATACGGTGTTCGTACGATAGGAAAACTGGTCGAAATAAGTTATTGCATATATATGCGAACGTAATGCGGTTCTATCGAACATACGTGCCATACTCTCGTGGTTGATATAAATTTAGAAATGACTGATAAATAAGTGTTGATATGGTTTAATTATTTCCTAAATATGTAGGAGTATAACGAGCACATTTCCTAAGTAAGCCATAAATTTACAGGTCGGACACATGTAGATATATCAGTAGACATACACATTGTAATTTTAAGTGTTTTATTTACAAAATACCACTCATGACAAGCAAACAGCCAAAAAGGAAATCTTATTCACATTATCTTTTTATTTTTCTATCGTTTTATAGACAAAACATATATACTCAAGTAAATCTGCATTGTTGTGCTTGTTAAAAGGACGACCTAATCCGTACGGATCTGGGCCTATACCATAGGAAGACCAAATAATGCAAGGCCCACAGGTTTGGTGCATTGTGCATTACCATAACTGAATCTAATATTACCAACAAAATAAATTGCATTACTTGATAATGAACTGTCGCTGTTGATTATAGGCGACAATGGCGGACAAACCAGCTCCTGAAGTGGCTACGTGATTAATAAGGGGTGAGCGAGCGACGTTTTCAAATCTTTTGAGTTGTCTTATTGATTCAGCAGAAATCTTTTTAAATCCGAAATAAAACAGACCAACAGGAACGAAAGCAATCACAATCCAAGGTAGGTTTGCAGCGGCAGTAGTCAGTAATATTAAAACCATAGACGTGAAATAAAGTAGCAAGTCCAGAGAATGAGGCAAAAAGGCATCACCTGTAAAAGTACGCAAATTTTGTTTATTTCTTACAAGAGCTGGAAAACATCGATTGTTCTCTGTTTAGGAATTCCATACATTGTCACATTGAAAATTGCAGACCAGTAATTATATACTTTTCTTAAGCCGTCATAGCGTTGGCAGCTTTGAAGAACAGGATAACGCGCCAGCGCACACCATTTGTATCAGAAAATCATGCCCGCGACAGAATATGATTTATTAGACTGGCCATTGAGAGCTTGTTTTGATATAATAATTATTCATTCTGTAGTAAATATGATTAATCTCAATTCTTTGGCAACGCGTGGGGGAAAAGTTAAGTTGAACCGTTAAACTTGCCCAAGCCATGAACCATTAACGGTTAACATCTCTCCCCGAACTATCCAATTAATGAGTCTCAAATGACGACTCTTAATTACTGTTGATAATGGTTACTTATGATGTAACGCATGTATGTTAAAGCTGCTCCCTGACACATTATTCATATTCATGCAAAGTATACATTGTAACAAATTCCAAAATCGGTGACGTCACGATATTTGCCTACGACGTGGCAATGGTTATGCCAGGATTGACGAGAGAAGCCTTATCAAATTTCAAATCTTGCATTTGTCGTTAGGGTATGAAGTACACACTTCGCATTAAAATATGTGTTTTGTATTTTGTCATTTCCTTTCCAGAGCCGAGCGAATCGTCACTGTTATGGTAGTGAATAACCCGAAAGTAATCTTATGCAACTTTACAGCTGTTTTGTCGTTGCAAAGTTTTACTTATTGCATATTTCTAGTGCCCATACAACATTTCATACTTTATTGAAATGAATTAAGGAAGATGTCTTTAACTGAATTAATCTTCTGACTACGACTTATGACATAGACGCGTGTATGAGAAACACGAATATACTCATATCAAGGGACATTAAAATCCATTAAAATATTTTCAGCAGTGCATCCTAGTAACCTATGTGGAAACGGAAGCTATTGTTTCATCTTAGTGAACAGAATACATCCAACAATCTGAATTGCAGATTCGTCCTTTTTTAAAATCAAATCATGACAATGCTTTTTCTTGCAATGTAAATTTATCATCATATACATGTCATTAATAGGTTGCACGTTTCGAAAATTGATGTCGGTGGTTCCATGTCACGTGACTTAACGCTAAGTGCATATAAATCCAAAATGTCATTATGTTCTCGCCGACGATATGTATAAACTATATTAGTATCTATGAAATACTAATACATGGACTAAAAGTACTTTTTAACACTGAAAAGCAACATTAATGGCATTATGTACATCTGATGTCGTCCCCAGTTTCCTATAACGTCGAGTTATTCCGTTTCAACGACAAGATTTGAAGCCTTTTCCGACATTATATATTATTTTTATTCATAAATTGTGAAGAATAATTATCGGTACCATTAGTTTATTGCAGCTCAAAGTATTGTTACCCTCTTTTTAGTTTATTATTTAAACTACAACGTACATAATTTTTTTCTTTTGATTTCCTCAATGTTTGTTCCAAAGGCTTACCTTCATCCATATCTCGTGAGAACCTATTGAGAATACGCCCTGTTGGGTTTGCGTCGAAGAACGCCATTGGTGCTTTCATGACATTGTCTAATGCTCGGTTGTGCAGTCTGTCGGAAGCTTTTACCATCACCTTGAAAAATATGTGAAAATATATCATAATGATGTATTCCATTTTGTATATCGGTACATGGCATTTCATCTAGTTCCTTATATTGGCCTTCTTTATGCGCTTTGGGAAACTTGAGAATCTTGAACGACCTTGTGACGTCTACTTCCTCTTCGAGCTGTAACGTTGCGCAATCCCACAACGGTATAACTTCTGGTATATAGTGTATGTTTTCCTTGAAATTTCTTTTTTTTTCTTTTTTGTAACAATATACCGTAAAAATGCTTAAAACGACTTTATCTTATACATTTAATGTGAAAAATAATTTCTAAAAGTTTATTTTGGCAAACAACGAATACGTTTTAATGGAAAATAGAATGAAATACACTCTTACAATGTTCTGTACATTATCAATGCTCATGCAAATATTTACTCATTGTCAAGTGGTGATTACGTTCACATCCTCTGTAAACGTTAACCGTGCAGACAAAGAATTTACTCTTAAATCACCCGTTGGAACGTTAGATGAAAGAAAAGTTGTTATACAAATACTGAAAATTTCAATTTTGATATCATCAATTGCTCTAACATATAATTCTGTCTTGCAACACACATCTTCCCCTCCTTCTCCCAACCACTTCACCAGTTAAAAAATCGCAGTTCTCTTACCGTCGATCCTATGACACTCTTTAAAGACGCCAACAATATTATGGCCCCTATGGATGCCAAGTAGATGCTAAGGTAAAAGTCCATGCCACCGGTCTGGGACTTCGTAGGTTCTGTACTGTTTTGATATAAAGAATTGGTTGTCATAGTTGTAGAGATGGATACATTGACAGACATATTTGCTGTAGGTGTGGCTTCTGAAGATTTTTTCTGCAATGATACAAAATATCTTTATTCGTAAAGCCAGTAATTTTAACGGCGTTATGAGTATCAATCATTCGTTCATGAGTGCAAAGCGCAGCTTTAATTTCTATCTGCAATCCATGAATAATTATTTACTTTTTCAAAAAGACTATCTTTATGGGAACCCTTCATCTTAAGTAGCTGTATTAGTAGAGAAAGTGTTGCTTTTGATTTCTGAAGTGAGAAACAAACTTATTAAATACAACTTCCATGGAAAGGCTAATCCTAATCAGAAAGGACATTTTTAGATTAGCTTAATTAATACATTGTTGAAATAAATCAAATATATTTGTGATGGACAACAGTTTTTATTTAGCCACGGACTAAAAGGTTTATATATTTATGTCTATGTTTTATCAACTTATTACCATAAATTAAGAACAAATTTTACAATTTAGATATACAAATTATTAACCTACATGCATAAGGAGTACAATTTATATATCACTACCACTGATGAAGCCCTCTTCATTTTACAAATTTGGATTCTTCTTCAGATACAATTGGCCATGGAAAGGGGCAGTGGTTTGTTTTAAAAGAATTGAACAGACATCATGACAGAAATTGGAGGGATGTTTGAGTATAAGAGTCAGCTACCATTTTATATCAATACATGTTCTGTAAATTAATGTAAACAATTTTGTCAAAATATATTGATATGATAAATGTTATCTGGGTAAATATTTATATTAAGTATACAGGAAATATTAAAATGTCGGCATAGAGATCATGTTTTTGGACGATACTCTACTGTTTTTAATACTGACTATATAGCTTAGCTATTAGTGTTATTTGGCCAAAAAGCAAGGGAAATCTGTTTAGAAGTGGCCATTCCTATCGATGATTCGTTTGTTTGTTCATTCGGTCGTTGCATTTCTGATCCACCATTCGGTATGAGCCGGGGGTAGCGGAAGAGGAGGCCGTTTCGGCCAGACATGACCATGGTGTCGGTCTTCCTCCGACCAACCACTGTCCGGTCACCATTATTTTAAACCAATTCTAGCTGAATGTGCCCTACCCGAACCATGACAGCGTCCCTAAGCTGCATGACTGTGTGGTTCATATGGACATTGACTGTCCGTGGAGGAATGCTATTCCATTCTTCGGTACGTGCATTGGCCAATTGGCGGAGGTTATATGTAAGTCGTTAAGATTTCGAACTCTTCCGTCTAATGCATCCCACAAGTGCTTGTTTGGGGATAAATCTGGGCTATATGGAGGCCAATTATTATGGATTATATGCAACATATGATCTAGCCTGATGATGCTGAAATAATGAAAGGCACAACACGCGTCCTAAGCAATTCCAGTCCCAAATATGTCATGCTACACAACATATGCACCTGAAAGACGCCTTCCTCGACTCCGGTACACACTTTGATGATGGCCATCTAATCGAAATAATGTGAATCGAGTGTTTTCGAATGGTTAGCAAGCCTAATAAATCGATCTTTGATGCAGATGTTCAGAACTCGGTCGTTATAAGGTCTTCCCGTGGCTTTAGGATAGAAAAATAACCGAATTATAGTCAATTTATGAACTTCGAAGTGAGAAGCACCGAGAGGCATTTATAACCAAAACCAGACATTAATCCATATTGTTTAGGGAGAAAAATCGCCATATTTCGATGTCACACACTGAATCATTTCCGGTTTATTCAATAGTCCTTACGAAAATATAAGCGTCTCGACCGTCAATTACGGTAAAGGAATGTTAGTTAAATTTTACACTATGAAGCAAATTTTTAATTTACCGTTTCCCCTAGTGAAATGCTTAACCACCAGTCCGTGAATACTACAGTTCCCAGGGAAATAATGTACAACAGAAGGAAAGCCGTGGCAACTGTGAACCCACCGGCAGCATTAATATACGACTTGTACGTCCCAAACGTTACCATACCGACTCCGGCGTCCTCTTTTATGGTCAGTTTCCCTGTGATATAAATCATACATACGTATGAATATAGACATATACTTACAGAACAAATGTTTCCGATTTTTTTTTAATTCACTTGTTTCATTATTTCACGAGATTACCATGGTATTTATGTGAAGAGCAAACGTTAACAAATGTAACTTGAGCAGGGAGAAAAATAGCTTTTTGAATGAAACAAATAAAAAGTGAATTACGTTTTCAAACAATAAGTGGCAACAAAAGAATGCAAAGGCACATGTTTCGCAATGGAATGTGATTCTGGTACTTTATGTCAAACATGTGTACACCTCTGTTATTTCAACATGAAACGAGTAAGCCTCTTTAAATTGGTGTACCTTTCCATTTAGATGTGCAGCCTAATATCCACTGATTGTCAAATGTGAACTGTATTATATGCAGACGACAGACCGAACACAACAGACACTGGGCTATGCTTACAAGAATTTACAACCTCACCTTTGCTCTCTTTAGACAAGGAGGCATCACTTTTGTCTTTCTGAAGTTTCTCTCCACTCTTTCCTCGCTGGTCATCCTCACTTCTGCAGGACAGCGATTCGTCTTTTCCTTGTAATGAACAGAACTGAAATCGTCATTGTCATTTGAATTTATATGTTTATTGCAAGTATCGTCGATGAAGCTCCCAGAACACCCCGGTCGTTTGTCCTTGTAGTTTTTTTTTCACTATCTTGGAACCATGCCGTTTAATTGTTGATATCTAGAGGTATGTAATAGCTGTTGATGGTGTAAAATAAATTCACCTTTTCAAAACATCATATCTTTCTTAAATTTATTCGTAGTTCAATGACCAATACGTATTCGATCTTGAAGTGAATCAATCATTTGTGTCTTTGCAATACATGCACACTCTACCTGTGGTTGCTGTGGAGGCGCTTGTGGCATGGTAATGGCCTATCATTGAGTTATATTGACCACCATATTCCAGCATAGACTCGTGTGATCCATTCTCAACGATTCGACCTTCTTCCATGACCAGCATTTCATCACAATCCTTCAGGTACTGTCAATGAATTTCGCATTCATTATTAAAGCAACGATAATTTGAATATTTACGTCGAACCAATGGTATGTTTGATTTTGAATATATAGCAATTCATATAATCAAAGCGGAGAACGTATACCGACCAGTGAATCCGATATTAGTGTGAAGTGTGGTATATAAGATAAGATTAAAGAACTTACTTTTCTGTGCTTCATATAGGCAGTTATTCGCAAAGATATTTAACTGTTGTCTTGCAATATTTTATGGAAATGACATCCCATAATGAATTATTTCCACAGGAAAATCTGATAATGTACCTGAATATGCACGCATGGGAGTTCTTGCTTCTGTCATTTCGCATCTCATTAACGTATTAATAAAATGCTGGGTAAGTTTCACTTATTATAATTACGTTTGTGTTGCTAAACGAAACATTTGAATGGAAATTGCATTCAAAATTATGAACAGTATTGGAGCAGTTTGAAAATGCCAGGGTTGTTATATAAAGTTTTATATGTTGAAAAATGTGTGTCAATCAAAAACCTGGTTTTAATTATGACTTAAGTTATAACTGATCTACAACGAGTTATAACGTTTGCATATATGGCTTTGGATTATTTTCAATAAAATGGTCATCAGGCTGTATAATATACAAGATAATGACAATGTCTGTGCGGTATCAATACTGTCCATTCTGAAGAAGCGATAACTGTATTTCGCTGTATTTGCATTGCTGTATTAGCCACTTATCGTGGTCATAGAAGATGATGATTTTACAGGATGATAATAAATACATGATTTTTGTGGAAATGAAGTCTTCTCTTATTCTATACATGTGTGTTGAGCATCGGTAACACTGGCAAAGTGTCTAATATATAGTTTGTATTTAGATTCTGTTTCCTCAAACATTTATGATAGCGATGAACTGTACTGAGGCAACTTATAACAGGTATCTACTGAGACTAACCTGTAACTGATGAGTGACCAGAATAACAGTCTTTCCTTGTAATAATCTCTTGATGCATCTATGGAACAAATGGTGGCCAACGTGTACGTCCACTGCCGATAGAGGGTCATCAAGGAGATAGATGTCGCTTTTACTGTAGACTGCACGTGCTAAACTTATTCTTTGCTTCTGCCCACCGCTAATGTTAATTCCTCTTTCACCAATCTGTAAGTATTGATTTGTTTTAGATATCAAAGCAATAAATGATAGATATTTTCAACAAATAAAGTTTTTATTGAGACCATTTACTTCAGCACATCAGCTAAACTATCAAACTAAAGAAACACCTTCGCATTACAGTTAAACATGAAGGCAATATAATAATACACAATAGCACAAAGAAAATAAGTCAATTTGCCATAGAAACGCATGAAAGCACTCGCAAGCAATTTAGCATGTCACATACTAGCTATAAATGAAAATTACGGTTGTGTATGTACAAACTTCATACAAAAAGGGCGATGTTACACTTTTGTTATCTTTAAATCCTTATTCATGATATATTTTATTAGGGAAAGTAATGTAATGTCTTACCTCTGTTTCATCCCTGTTGGGCAACAAATCTAAGTCAGGTTCAAGACCACAGGCGTATATCACTTGTGTGTACCTAGATGAAATGCTATCTAGTTAAAACATGCTGAGAAAAAAAGAAATATCTTATTATATAGTTTGTGTCAATTTTCTGAAAAGAATGTGAACACTGTACCTAGATGGGAAATCCATATAATCACCGTTTATCAGCCATCATTTCTTGCCACAAATAACTGATCGACAATTCTCTTGAACCGCGTTTACAAATTGATGTTAGCAGAGAAAGTATCTAAGAGGCAGAAGTGACAAAATGTCATTGAAAAGTCTGCTGGTTTCAGTCATGTTTGTTTTTTTATTCTTTTTCTTTCTCTTTGTCTCTTCTGACAAAATTCTAAACGAATATTGAATCTATGCTGTTACGAAATTACACAGAAATACAGTTATTTAAGCAGCATCGTGGTTTTTTTTTTTTTTTAAACGGAAATGTATACGAAGTCAAAGTTAAAGTATTTAGCCATTACAGTTTAAAATAAATAAAACATAAATCGAAATTTACCATTTATCGTCACATTTTAAACCAACAGAGAGGACTTGTGATATTTCGAGAGTGATTCTGTGAATTAGGCATCTGGTACGCGGATTGTAAAAATATTATTCACTTTGCAAAAACAAATGCATGCTACCCTTTGTTTTCCCGACATACCAGTTATGATCGAAGGGTTGGCCAAACAGAATGTTTTCTCTAAGTGTACCATTGAAGACCCATGCCTGCTGAGCAGCATATGCTATATTTCCACGAACTGCAAGATGTCCGGTCTTCTGTGGCATCTGTTCAGCGTAACAATATATGAAGACATGTCATGCTTCTAGTTCAATCATATTTAAAATTTACGACTGCAAAATTTTAAGATGTTACGTAGTGTTATCTGTAATTATTGATTTGTCATAAGTCAAATGTTTACAAATTTGGTTAGTTTGACTTACTCGTCCAAGTATAGCTGATATCAGAGAAGATTTTCCGCAGCCGACGGATCCACAAATACCGACGACTTGTCCCTGGTAATTATAATATGCTACATGAAATATTAAAATTAGATTTGATTTCATAGTTAAGAGAGAACTGTTAATAAGACTAGTATACTGTCTACTACTTTGATAATGTACACGAGCTTTAGCCCATATGGTACTCCGTCTAGATATCGAACCCAACGCCTTGATTTTGGCCCACGGTGGGGGCGGTAGGTAAGAAAATCGGAGCAGCCGTATTCGTAAGTCGTGCCAAAAAACAGTCACATTATATGCGATCAAAGATATTGTAATTTATGTATATATGTTACATGATAAGTATATATTACATGGATATTCATTTCAATATATTAAGGAAATTCTTTTACACTGAATGATTTGAGTTCGATTGGCAAAACAAGCAGTACTAAAAGAAAAAACAAATTAAGAAAACGTGATTATTTACATTAAGTGTTATACAGTAAATCGGGTTACCTTTTTCACATTAAGATTTATACTGCCCAGGAGCTGACCGGAAATACTAGATTGTCCGTGTGAGCCTAAATAAAAGTGTAAAATAGATGAGTTCATACATATACGTTATATTAAGATATTTTCATTGTTGTATACTATATGCTAATATGCTATCAATATGGAAACATCTATTTGCTTGTCGATGTATAGAATAATTAACTATCACACTGCTTTGAGTTCATGACTTGCTGAGAACCTAAATATACTCTGCTTTCAAAAGTTAAAATCGCAATTGATATTACTAAAGAGATCTAGCCCCAGTTTTTCAAAGTCCGATCAGAGATAACTAGTGGACTCCTCCTTAACTTTGGTGTCTTTCTCCCGTTAAAAAGCGTTGAAAAGAAATATTTTGAACACAATGTAACATTTTAGTTTTCATATGGAATTAATGGACCCGTCGAAATGTATAGTTTCCTTTCTTAAATTACATATATTCATGATTAGGCTTTTTAGTTTGAATAAACGATCCTACCTTCATTTTCACTTTTCTTCGTTTTCGTTGTACGTTCATTCCTTTTCTGCGACTTGTTATCCGAATCGGTCATCAAGTTCCATTGAAATACAGCATCTTGTAACTCAATAGCGTTAGAATCGTCTAATACTTCGGAGCTAGGAACCTGGTACTCCTCTCTTAACATCAACTTCTATTTGTTGATTAAAAAAGGTGAAATATATTTCATTATCAAGAAGCCAAGTAGTAGAGATAAAGACAGATTACACAAATGCATCATTTATCTACATTTGGACATTTGTTTTTTATTCTGTGTGTAGTATTTTATGCACTTAAGATGAAGTAAACTATTCTGATCTATTGTTTCCTTTTTTCAGTCGATATGTCATTGTATGAATACGAGTGAATATGAAACAATTTTGAGTCTCACAGAAACAGCAAGGTATTTTTATTCGTATTGCCAGATTCTCAATTCACACACTTAATCTACATGGTTTGCCAGTCCGATACCTAATAAGTTTAACTAAACATTCCCTACCCAACCCATTTACTGCAGCATTCAGATTCATTACTATCCTTAAGTTTCTAGCAACGAAGATATCTTTCTCATTCTGGGAACGAAGTGGAGGTCGCTGAGGACTAGAAAAGTTAATAACGACACATTGATGTAGGATGACACATTTTGTTGCTGAATCAAAATTCCTCGACTTTTCCATGGCTGTCCATCTTAAGTGATTGGCTCACTTGCTTCAGTAGGCTATCATTACACTCATCATAATCCATAAAGCAAAAGTTTGTGCATTGTGTCAATGCTATCGGGGCTGAAACCAGTTGGTCCTGATTGTGGTCACCTTCTAATTTTTCTCTATACTATCTCTACACAGGTAGAATTCCTTCACCCAGCGGATGATAATTGCAGAAGAAGTGAAAGACTTACTAAAACCTGTAGTCACTAGTTCAGCAAACTGTTTGGTAGATTAAACCTCCTGGTCTAGACACTTTAAAAACGACACGTTCACCGTTGTTGGTTTGTGCTGCATTTGCTGTGAAGTCACAATTTCAAGGAGTTGCATATTTTTGAATAACCTTGTGCCTCACAATTGTAGGATACCGTTTACATCGAAATGAAGACCTAGTGGTTTCGTATTCGAGAAAGAAGATGATATAGAATATGATTTGTAACACCTATTGCTTGGCCGCACAAGAATGAATTTTAAAGTCAGTTTCTATTACACGTGCTTTTTATGGAACTATATATATTATAACCCCCTGCAGAAGTTGTTTTATACATCATTGCTATACCTTTATACGTTCAAATGTGACTCTCGACTCGCCAAATGAACGTGTAGCTAATGGCACCTGCGCCATGATATATCGAAGAAAATCCAATGTAGACACCAGACCGAATGCCTGATTAGCAATAGAAAATCAGAAAATATAAGAGATTACTTTACTTCAACAAAAAACATCTACTGTTGTATCTTGAAAAAATGAACATAATACAAAATGATTGAAACCGTATTCAGGAAAGAAAGGAATGCGCAAGAAAGCATTAATTTGTTTTGAAATTCAAATATTAAATTAATCCATCGTTCATGCTTCATTATATCATTAAATCATTTTTGTAATAACGAGTTTACATTCATAGGTCCTCGCACTCATAATCAGCATCAACTCAATGCAAAGCGAAAAGCATCAAACAGATAACGCTTTCGCAATAACAGCGGTATACGAAATATAACCCAGACAACATTAATCATATTTCTGTTTGAAGTAACTTACCGTGGATGCTGTGAGTTCGTTTCCGAACGCTCGATAGGTTGATATGGTAGCGACAGCCGCGATAGAGGGTGTGACTGGTACAATGGCACTGGTGATGGAATTGAGGATCGCTGCGGTTAGCAAAACACGTACCTCACTTTTCCTGATGGCTGCGAGAAATGTTTTACTATATATGTATATATATATATGTATGAAACAAACGTATTTCCTTGTGTATCGATTACAAGTGAATTTTTAGTTAATATTGGATAATGGTAGAGATAGGATAACAGAAGTGATGTGTTCTTGAAAACGTATCAACAATTTATGCTGTGATCCAAGAGTACTAGACTTAATGCGTACCTATAATTGCTGCCTTGAAAGAGTCTTCCCATCCGTACATCTTGATCATCTTCATGCTGCTATTTTTCTTATCTGAATGGTACACAAGTTGATTGATTACATCATATTTACCACCGATGAATATTTCAAGTATCAGATTTGTTGATCATGTTTGTACCATGTCTGTTGTGGATAAGTAAAAAACATTATATTCAATACATGAAATATGTTATTCATCATTTGTTAGACAATCGGAATCCTGATAAACAAGGTTAGGTATGTTGTAGTGACTTACTCTTTTGTCCGTGTGGATTAACGTTTTTCGCCTGAGCGCTGCGACAAATGTTGAGAGATTTGCCTGCAACAAAGTAAATATGATACTAATTTCATAATTCAGTATCTTGAAGGCTGTTTTCGGTAACAGAATTTGGTCTTTTAGAAAATTGCTGACCTTAATATGTATCAAACATGCGATTTTATGTTCACTTTATTAACTGGACTTTTTCTTATCGATTCCAATAAAATATCTCGTTAATCTATGCTAATATCGATGTTAGTTATTAAGCGCGTATTGTTGTATCCTTTTTTATTTATCTGTTTCAAAACAGGTAATACAGCATAGAAAACTTGTTAGATAATAGTTCCATTAAATCGCGCGGAAAAATATTACGTCATACACAATGAATTATTTCCATGTGATAAATAATGATCATTGCATCATAGTTGACGAAATAAATTTCAAAAGATCGAAATGAGTCCTACCTGTAGTTGATTGAAAAAGATGAACGTTGCCAGAGCGATGAAGCACCAGTAACCAATCAGGTAGTAGGCATATGCCGTTCCAATGATGACGTATATTGGGAAAGCCAGCAAATATACAAGCGATGAACAGGTGTTATACACCCTCATGGAGTCGGCTCCAAATATTGTAATGATCTATAAAAAGAAAGCTTTATATCAATGCAATATTCACAATCAGCAACACAATGATTTATTGCAGGAATTAATAGATATGAGCATAGTGTTTGACAGATGTATACGATGATAACTTCAAAGGGAAATGTATTTCACTGAAGGAACAAATAACTGAAAAGATGAACATGTGATCCTTGTTTTTAAGCATTTTCAATCACTCGACACCGACGCTAGCATGACGTAGGAAAATGATAAGTATAATGTAACACGGTTGTAGCTAATACAAATAATCAATTCCATTGACTGAACGAATTTAGGGACATCTAGATTTGGAAATATTGAACATAGAATCAACAGGTCGACGTGCTATTCATAAAATTATAAATTGGTTTTCGAGTTGATTTGATCAGGTCTAGTTATGCCTGCCATATATCATTTGATTTTGTCTCGGCCCTTACCTCAGATGCTACCTTGCCTTTAATGCTCTTCAGCCTGAGGATCTTCTTGTATACAACACCTAGCATACCAGCTCGGAATCGTATGCCTTCGAATATGAGACAGAAATATACATGTAGTGTTTTGGAATAGAGATTACATAACGAGTAGTTATATATATATGTGATATTTTTTTTTAATTTGCAAAAATTGTAATGAAATACATATTTGTATAATAATCATAATTTTCATGTCAATGGAACAACTTATCTGAGTACATCTTGACTAAATTAGATGACCCGACCTTACAGGAACGTTATATAAGTTTTGCCTGCCGAAATAATACGCTATTTGATTTAATACTGGAGCATATAGGCATTAGAAAGAGTCGGAACTGTCAAGCTTCCGACCGACTCGGAAACTTTAATCTTTTTGTTTTACTACTCCAGAAACTTATCGGATGTTTTTTCTTGGAGTTCAAAGGCAGCGGACAGTCGATGAATTGTACGTGCCGTAGCTATAAAAATTGAAACAAGGAACCACGTCACTGATCCAGATTAAGATTGAAGGGTCCGGAGTACTGCCGGAATACTTTTATCTAATTATTGCGTTAATGTATAAACTTATTAGCTGTAAGCTTTCAGTAATGATAATGATATTAACTTCTAACGTCACAAAAAGAAAAACATTGTTTAACAACCACAGGATTATATGGCCTATTACTACTACATAAGCTATTCACTCTTCGGTTATTCCAAGTTGGATTGACATGTTTTGTACCAACGTGTTTATTGTTAACATCATTGTTTGGGGCGTAATTATATACACTTTTGTGAAATGCTGACGATTTTTAAAAAAAAAATATGTATAGAAATATTCAACTCATTACAAATTAAACTATTACAAAACCAATCGTCAACTATTTAAAGCGAAACTTAATTTCCATGAGACCGTGATGCTCCTTTTATCCAATCAAAGCACGTTAAAGTGTTACATCAAATGAAGCATAACATGATTGTTTATACTACAACTGTGATGATTGATCGATGCCACAGAAGAAGTTGAATTTCATCAGATGTTGCAAATAATAATCAAAATACATTTGCAATTTGTTGAGATAACAAGACAATAATATGACGACGTTTTGGCGCCATGTTGAATTACGCTATGTCAACTGTTTACAATTTAATTAAGCAAACACAAATCATAGCTTTCCATAAATAATTCAGGTGACTTTGATTAACAGAATATCTCCCGGTAGATATGCATAGAGTGCAAGAAAGTTTGTTACTTAGACACAGATATGAAATAGACATGATGGTGTCTTACAATACCATGAGAAATATTTCAGTGGCAACAACAAGTGATTTTTGTATGCATTCAATCGATTTAAACGTATAAAACATAACCTTCAGCTTTTGTTTAGACCTGTGTTAAATCCATTTTAGGCTTAATGTCCTGTAAAATTCCACTAAATGATTTCGAATATTGACAATTTCATACAATACAATAAAGAAATAAGCTATCTATAGCGTGTTTTAATTTCCGAATGTGTGACGCTAATTTTGGTCCATGTGTAGCATAACTGTTTTATACAACAAATTTAAAGATCAATTGATAAATTGTGAGAGTAATAACATTCACCGCAAGTGATAAAACAGATTGAACATGGATATTGTATGATAATATAACCAAATGTTTCTTTCTTTCATTAAATTTCCCTTCGTCCAGTTGGCATTCATACGCCCATGAAGGTCAATTGAAAGCAGTTTAATGCTTAAATAAATTCAAGCTGACAATGCAACTCATGCAAAAACCTCCTAAATTTTCTTTAATAAAGTTATATATAGATATATATATAAAACATAGATAAGACATAAATATTACCTGTCTGAACCCCAAAGAACATCATAACAGCAAATGATACGGCTCTAAGAATCTGTCCGACAATATTTATTGCAACAAGTGCTATACCGTACCACAAGTCTGTAGATTCAGACTCTAAGTAGCTGACCATAAGGTTTGTCATGAAGCCCTGAAATAATTACAATATTTTTTTTGGCAAAGTTAAGCTTAAATGTGATAATCATTCAATCCACCTCTTTCAGGACATGGAATTTGAAAAAAAAAAAATACATTGTATCCGGGTCTCGCACTTACAATCTACGTCATCAAATCGCTTCGCCATGACATTCTACAACTGCCTTACCATCACAATAACACGGCAGCCCCCAATTTGGAAGTTGCTTGAGTAGTCAACTTGCAATTCTTAATATGATCATAGTAGTAAATTGTCTATTACGTGATAAAGGTATTATCTATATATCAAAATCCATCCTGGTGGCTACATTAAGCGGTTGGCATTACTGTGTGATAATTACACATGTTTCCGAAGATTTGGAAAAGTTTGTTTCAGGTCAATTGTGCACTTGTTGTACACTTTTTAAAAGTGCTGCCGATTAGACATTTTGTTTTCTCCTTCAGGTTGCATATCGGTGTACATTTCAATGCTCATTTGTCTTTACTTTGCCAGATTTAGTAATACGATATCAAACGTTTTGTACATGTAATGCATAAAATGTGTCGATAACATAGGTAGATCATGTCCTACTTAATTCATACTTACGCTCATAAAAAATGCGAGCACAGCACTGATCAAGACAAGCAATATCTTTATATAGAGGCGTGTCTGGATGAACTTGAACCAAACTCTTAAGAACGAGGATCGTTTTTCTCCGTGTGTTGCTACTTCATCTTCCCATATTTTTTGTAACCTAATTATATAGAAAAGTTATTTGAATAGGTTTTTTTATATAATTACCTCGCACATGTCTTTGCAAGTATTCATTAAATGATTCTTCTATCGCTCAAATGAAAAGTGTTTGAAACTTGAAATGTGATAAAAAAATGAAAAATCATTTGTGAAACATGCCCCCTCTGCCTCCTCATTTTCACAAGAAAAAACAAAACAAAACAAAATAAAAAACCAAGGAAGCTATTCTTCTGATATACAGAAATAAACGATACATCAATAACCTCTGATAACTCGTTCTCACAATACACAGACATTATGATAGCTACTTTAGTACACATGCATTTGCCATTCCTTCGAGAAATCATCCGATATATGGAATTAAACTAGGTATTGGATTACGAGAATTACGAGACAGTGCACTTCTCCATCTCGAATTTGAACATTCCATTTGATCACTCTCTACTTTTTCTAATCTTCAAAATTAAGCATCCATGACGAGTCCCGAAAGGACGAAATCTGGGTACCATTTATCTAATTCTTTGTCTGTATTGCAAGGTGTTATTCACTTGTGTGTTTAGACGATCCAAGCGGATAACGATACTAGGTCCTGTTTAACGCTGGTTTATCACGTTCCTATATTCAGCCCTTTTTACTTTAGTAAAATTTACATTTTCATGTAGTTATAAAGAAATAAACAGTGACAAAATAAAGTAATGATAACGTTTTAACTAAAATATATATCATAATATTTTTTCCTTATGATAAGCTATTTTACTATTGCAAAATACAGACCGACTAGACCATTATGGAGGTATTACCTGAGTGTATTGATGTCACATGACTCCCAGTCTGATATCTCCCATACATCTTCTTCCCTCAGAGCCTGGTCTCTGTGTTTGTAAAGCTTCATTATCATGGAGGACATCCATGATAACGTGATATAGGAGAATAAACCAACTTTGTTCACAGGAACTTGTCCATTTCTTGAAATATTAATGATAATAGTAAAACGAAATATTCACTCAAAGCCTGACGTTAAGTAGTTGTATAATCTGCTGTAAGGTTACTGGAAAATTAATTGGTAGCTTAAGTTGTATAGGGCAATGAAAACAGATAAACATTGGTATTTCAACGAGGGTAAATTATGAGGAAAACAATGTTTACACGGAATGCAAGGATATTAAGAATGGATCAAGTAGATGCTCCGGAAGGACCAGTGTTTTTTGCTATATCGACCGTATTGGCTTAACATAATTGCAATCCAAGTAAGTTGATACCTTGTACCTCAAATGAGAGCAAGTTTAACAACAACAAAACAATTAGATATAGTATGCACCGAACGCATTTTATCTCGTCACACGGGGGTGATGACATACTGTAAAGTGAAAAAATGACCATATGTGATCTGGAATAGTGGTTTGCTTGCGGCCTATATAGACCAGCAGCACATTTGTGTCCTAATTTTCGTATCGTAGCTGGTGAATGTTGTGAGGGAATATGCAGAGAAAATAAGGCTAGATGTTGTAGTTTAGAACACATTAGCAAACGTATAGGATGGTCCGTGATCTAAGCTCCCCTAGAAACACAAACTGTCCCCCGGTAACAATGGTCCATTCGTTACACATTATATCACCGTCTTTATGATAAAATGCGATCAGAATGGCGTCAACTAACCAGTATGATGGAAAGATATTCTACAAACCTGACGTAATGAATGTTACATATAGCTGTCAATTATTGAAGTTCACTGTATTCGAAGTAATGATTAACTGTACCAGAAATAATTGATTTAAAAAAACCAGAAGCGAGAAAAGAAGCCTAAGTTTATTCAATGTACAATGCAACAATATGACAGTCATTATAATTATGAAGCTTGCTTAACACAATGATACCGCCATTTTCTAATGTCTGATTTAACTATCTCTATGAACTTGTTAAACACGCAGTGGATGCGATGACATGGTGATGACCATTTGCAAGTAGGTATTGATCAAAATAAGTGATTGACCCATCTTCCGTTTTCAATATTATATTTTAACATGTAAGAGTTAATTTGACCTAGAATTAGTAGAAAGGTATGTTGATATGTTTCGGACGTTAAACATAGTTCAGTGTGCCTAACTGTCGTTTATAATAGCTCTATGCAATGTAATAATAAAAGAATTCAAATCAGTCAGATATGACAGCTGTAAGGTAGATTGCATAAAATACATAACATTCTGTCTGGTTACTTATTGTGAAGATTATAAAAAAAAATCTGCATATCGCTAATTATGAACGATCATTAACTACATATTTAACATTTAGATATATATAAAAGTGCATTAATTACCTTGAATCAGTTTTAACTATAACATGATCACCATTAAAACTGGGATTGGGAAAGGAAATTATTACTTTCCTGTCCTGAGTTATACTGTATGGCCGGCTCTTTGGTTGACCTTCAATGCTCATTTTAGTCAATTTTTACCTGTAAAAAGGTTGATAAGATAAATGATAGACAATTTAAGCATGGTATTATCTTCATTAGAATTTCTATATTTACTTTGTATTATCAAATAATCTTAAATTCCAGTTTATCAAAACGCATCAAGTTAGTATTGTATGGCTCTAGTGTTACCACAAAAGTTTAACGATTGCGAATTAGAAATAAAAAACGCAAGCAAAACTAACTTTGCATGATTAAAACTTCGATATATTTTACCTTCTTAAACAAACTTAACTTTAGTAGAACAATAGAAGCAAATATTAGATAAACTTGTTTTACAAACTTTTCTGTCAATTAATTTCTATGAATTGATATCACAGCTTTTAATGTTTGGTAAATATTTGGTATTTTAAAGGGTCATGTTACCACTTTATTTGGTTTATCATCAAATGTATTCTCAGCATATCTAAAATCTTACAAAGATATCACTCTTTTCGATTGAAATATTAAAATAAATCATAAAAAATAATCATTTGTCTTTAATTCTATACTGTTATAGAATAAATCAAACGTAACTAATCACAAGATAGAATTGTATGAAGAAATTAATCATTTCGATTTGATAAAAAACATCAAAGTTGATCAAAACAGTTAAAGTCGTTCTAAACTTACCATGAATTCGTCGCCTTACCGCGCCTCTCTAAGTATAACTGATTATGAATATTATAAACCAAAGCGTTGTGAAATTTGAGTACTTAGTTCATCATGTTACCAATATGACCTTGTATCTCTCCCGTTGGCCTATGTTTACCCTAACGACCTATATATTGGCGAACGGAATGAGATGAAATAAAAAAGATATTCAAACACATGTCATTTAAAAGTTCATCGTTTGCGGCGTCATGATATAAGACCTCATTCATCACCAATTATGCATTTGATTGGTCTGGTGGCGAAATGTTAACACACTCTCCTTTCACCTAGGCGTATGGATTCCCAACACGGACGTAAAAAGGTATGGCATCACTTTCCCAAGTGGGTTTACCGCGGGTGCTCCGATTTCCTTCCACAGTAAAACCTTTCGTGCGCTTCTATCAGGCGAACAGTGTGATTAATATAATGTTAAGGCTCGTTTCAAAATTGTTGTAAAATAAATAAAGTTTATACATCTTTGTATATGTGGTTATACAGTTGGCATAATATAAATAAAAAAGACGGAAACTTTTGAAAAAGTATAGGGAAAATAAGACCATGGGTTTACGTCTTTTGTTTCATGCACGATACTCACCATGTAAATTAAGGTCAATCCTAATAAGCTGTGTCACGATCGCGATATTCACAGCGACATGTAAACACTATAAAGCAGGAATGCTGCTATTACGAAATGGGAAAAGTCATCAATGGAAAGCATTAGCTCGGTAGAAAGCTGTCCATGTTGTTTGTGGGAAAAGATGGAGATAATATTCAGATGAAAAAAGGCTGCCTTGTCTTTGAATTCCAATTTAGATGGGGATATTTTGTTATTCAAAGACAAGACTTTATCAAAACATCTAAAAATGAACTTGAAGTACTTAACAAGTTTGCTGTGATTTGTTTGGATAGTTCTTCGGTAGATCTATTCCCGTATACTCCCGTTTACTCGTATACGTAAGTACCGCCATCCACCTTTTTGAAAAAGAAAACTATTATAACAAAAGAATAGAGGCGATCATTCGGTTTAGAATGGGGTAAGGTTGTGTGTAAAGTGAAAAAAGAAGTCAAAAGTTCTCATCAAACTAATATTTTAATGTCAAAGATTGGTCAAAAGCATGAAGTTCACTAAACATGTAACCCTTATTTTATAGTACTAAGAATGGAAGTAGTTTTTTATGTTCTTCTTGTTAAGTTTAGAAAACCAATATAAATGAGAAAGGTCCATGTCATTATTACCCATAAGCAATCTATTTATGTGGGAATCTGAAACGCGATTGGCCAATATTTCTTCTCTTGGCAGATTGGATTATATGTAGGCAGGGACTCGTATTCGTTATCAACGAGGATTTGACCTTTTTCATATGTCATATAGGAAAGACAATAATGTCTGCAGACAAGTATCAAGTTAATGGGATTAATATCTGGAAGCACAAGGGAATTGTTACCTTTTTAGAAATGAATAAAAGTTAAGTGAATCCAACTCAGAATGTTCTCGTTTTAGGCACTCTCTGGTCTAGATTTCCAAAGGAATCCGTATGTGCTTTGAAATTCATGCTCTAACTGATGAAAGTAGTTTCAAGATATTTAAAGCCCTTCATGATTATGCTTAAACCCACACGCGTTTTTTTTTTTTTTTTTTTTGTTTTTTTTTTTGTTTTTTGGTTTTTTTTTTTGGTTTTTTTTTTTTTTTTTGCTGAATTCTTGATCGCATTTCACTTCTAGAAAAATGCAATGCCGATGTTACTGAATACAAAAGAAGAAATTAAGAACTGGTCGAGCACAAACACACTTTTTTCCGCTTGAAAAGATTGTTCCCATTGTCAACTAACATAAAAATTATAGAGAAGTTTTAGAGTCGTTATTGTGATATCATTCAGAATATACTATAAAGAAACGAAACACAACTTCAATTTTGCGGTTTGATAAAATACAATTGATGAGCAGTGTGCCTAAGTGTGCATCGCAATACTTAATTTCGAATATTCGTCATCCGTCTTCTAATTGTCCGAGATTTTTAACAAATGAGGCCGCCATTCGGTAGCCATGAATTAGGGGACCCTACTGTACAAGTTGAAATAACTGCAGTTGTCAGACCGATCCCTAATAAAGTGTGTGCCCTCCCCAAACATCTCTACCGTCTTTATTTCTGAATGTCAAGGAGTTCATATGGACCAAATGGAGAAGGTTATTTGTGATGTATGCTCGATTCCGAGCTCTTCTGTCTAATTCATCCCACAACGGTTCGATCGGGAACGATGTCCTGGGTTGCAAGAAAATCCCAATATAACTTTAAAACGTTTGGCCTAGCGTTATCATACTGAAAGGTCAAACAGTGCCTTATAATGAAAGGCACACCATGATGCTTCAGGATCTCGTCTGGATACCGTAAGCCGTGACATTCCAAATGTCTTTAAACCATTGGAACCCCCTCCCCAACCCGATTTTTAACATTTATTGATGGATTATGTAGGGTGACCAAATATTCTGCTTTTTATAGGGCCATGTATTTCAGTACGACGAATTTAAGAATTGAAGAAGTTGCGTTTCTGAATCCTTTTAATATTTTTATATTATTTTATTTATTTTTTTATTTGATTTTTGTCCGATATGAAACTGGAGCTGTTTGATGCTCGTGATTTTTCTTGCTGGTTTCGTTGTTTTATACCTTATCATCAATTGAAAATTTGACATTACTTTCTTTGATTGATTAATAATTAAATGTTTTACGTTGTGTGGTAGTGATATGGTTAGGCTAAATCAAGTGATGGCCCTCTCATGTTCCGATGTATTATATTCTGGTGTTAGATATCCGTAATTACAACAGGAGGAAACGGCCTGTTGTCATATGTTGCATCAGCAATCTGCTTTCCTCGAGGCTTAAAAACACCATACTACATTGGAGTACTCGTAGAATATCCATTTTGACATATTGGTATTTTCTTGTTAATTTGTTGTGTTGCGTGATCTGAAATATCCACGTTACTGACAAAGCTTTGTTTACTTTCAGATAAGGCAAATATCCTTACTTTCTGAACTTCCGCATCTAATACAGGATATCGTACTTTAGTTTGGTGAAGATGCTGTAGTGAAGTTAATGAAACACCACATATCATTGTACTGCGTTGGGTGATATTAGACAATATTTACATATTAGCGTCAAATCTTTTTGTATATTCAGATGTGATAAATCTAACATTCAACAACACAGGTCATGAATTATGCATACTTTTTTGTCGTTATACTGGTAGCGTACGAATGTTTCAATCTATTATTTCACTTATTGGTAACCTGAAACATGTCTTACACACTAAGGAAAAGTAAAAACTATATCAGTCAAGATATCACAGACTTATAGAGCCGTATTTACACCAAAATGGTCTTACATTGTTAGATAAAGATCAGTTAAATCATTCAAAATTGTTGCACATCTAAACAATTTTAGTGGATTAGTAAAAATCGATGTAGAAAAAATATGTATGAAGTAACACCAGTATCTATATGAACAATTTAGATGTATACGGTAATTAAAATCAATGCATTTTATCTGAATTCATCACATTGTGCTTCTTTTTCTATTAACTTCTGGAAAGAGGCATGCTCGATATACTTGAAAGTCCTATATGTGTTTTACGAAAACTACTTTAGCAACGCCTAACGAGCTGTTTCCGTAATAGAGATTAATTCGTTTCAAATCTTAATGATATTATGTATTTTTCTTATACATAGGCTCTGCCTACATGTAGCCATGTATGCACCCTGCTGTTATAAGGATACATATGGCTGCTCTCATCATTACCATTTCAGACAGTAATGAGTTGCTGAAAATGTAGAGAGAAAATTATATTCACCTGAGGTATTATATTTATTGATGTTAATCAGAAAGCACACGGTATGCATTTATGTGAAAGTAATGAGTAAATTAAAAAAATATAGTCTTAATTACATTGGCGACCAAAAAAATGGAGATATCTATAGGAGAGCAGTTAAACAGTTCAAGAGAACATCCGCGTGACGTCATTGATTTAGAGATGTCTTGCAATGAATACGTTCTATTAATGCCTTTAATAAGTAAAAATAGATAAATAAATAGAATCAACACACGTATTATCATCATTATTATTTTATTTTTTAGTGAGTAAGGGCCTCAGCTAGTACAACATTTCCTTTTGTCGAATGGTAGATTGTCGGGCTACAGACCAAAAGGTCGCTAGTTCGAATGCCAACGTTGGCAGGGTATTTTTCATTTCACATTCTTATTACAAATTCGATTATCACTCCAATGGTAGAAGCTATTGCAGATTGTTATATGTTACTGTATAATTCCTCAACTAAGTGAAGACATGACATTAACAGTCAAACGTAATTAATCTATAAGTTAAGATTAAGATAACAATTTAACAACCCATGTGTTATGTTGACTTTGTACATCAACGAAATTGATTAATATCAAACATTGTGTGATTGGAAGGTTTGAGCCTGAAACATATTACTGAAATGTGAAGAAGAGTTTTGCAGCAAGGCCTGTGGGTTACCAATTTCTATCACCTTCCCAGCCTCCATGACAATAATGACATCACAATGTAGTACGGTCTTGAGTCTGTGAGCAATCGTAAGGACAGTACAATCGGCAAAGCTTTCCCGAATTGTCTGTTGGATCATGGCATCCGTTGTTGTGTCTATGGAGGCTGTGGCTTCGTCCAGCACCAGAATCTAAATAAATTATACAAGCTCAAGTAAATATTAATCAAATAACAATCTATAATTCAACCTCGTTAAGCAGTGACACATAGAGACAGAAGCAGCATTGATACATAACAAACTCATTTTTACCAATTTTGGTATCTAAATACGAAAACGATTCTGGTTATTAAAATTATGTTATTTTTAAAAGATCATATCAAATACGAATGACCTATTTCATATTTGAATATAAATACCTCAAATGTATTGTTACCTTGTTTTGACGTAAAATTGCGCGTGCCAGACATATAAGTTGTCGCTCGCCCACGGAGAAATTTTCACCATTTTCTTCTATGCGCAAGTCAAGATTCTGGTCAAGAAGTATCAACTTTATGGGAAAAGACAAAATTGTTTATTGATTGAAATATTGTATATTCTTATCAAAGTGTATATTTAAGAATATCAGACACAATTATTAGAGTGAAAACATCAACACAAAAAAATAAATTAGATTAGCACTCTGAATTTCTATTCCTTTCTAGTGTTACGTCTTCGCGACATCAATTTGGTTTGATTGTCCTAACAAGATGGCCAATACTCTGTATGAAGTGATATAAGATAGTAAAAGTATCTTATCAATTGTAGTAGCTTTGATGATTTATTATATATCGATACCATTGAACAATATACCTATATTAATGCCCTGCCATATCGCTGAAAGTGTTAAACACTTGTTGAGTAAATGGTAATGCTATTGGTAGCAATATGAACCGACTTCCCTCCAATCAAAATAGGGAAAAACCTGAAGCGGTTATCTTTGATATCCGATCGATATGAACCAGTGATGGACCAGTGATTTCGTTGGCATAAAATGTGGGCTACTATAACCCCTTATAACAAATTTGTGCAGTGGAGACTTTTAGAACGAAGTATGTTAATTCAGAATCTTGCCAATTTTTTGGGGGGCTTTATATTACTGTATTGCATACCTTGTCCTTCATATGGACTTGTTCCAGTGCTGCCCATATCTTATCGTCCATATATTTATTGAAGGGATCTAGATTATACCTGTAGAAATGAAAACACACCTCATAACAGCTTTAGAATCACGGATACCTTCGTACATTGTAATTATAGTGACCAGGAAAAATATGTGAAACTTCCATGATTTTGTAAACGATAATTTAAGTACCATTGCAGTAGGACACCTAAGTTTCGGACATTTTCTGATAACACTAAAATCTTAAGAAACAATTTCAATCAACTTGCCTTAATGTACCGGCAAAAAGGACAGGATCCTGTGGGATTGATGACAAACTTAATCGAAGACGTTTCCTAGATATTGTTCCGATTTCCACGTCATCAATGATTATTTCACCTTCCGATAGTTCATTTAGCCTGAACAACGCAGCAGCTAGAGATGATTTTCCTTCGCACCAATTAATAACAATAATTCGATATTATACTTAGACTTGTATTCTTTGTATACGTAATGTCTCGAATTGAAAACGATGGCCTTTGATTGCAGAGTTTCTATTTATGAATTTATTATTAAATTGCGAATAAATTCGGGAAATATGTTTTAAGTCAAATTTTGACTGCAGAACTGGTCTCATTTATTTGTCAAAAAAAAGATGATTTGTTCAAAGAAGATAAACGAAAAACATTTGATGGAAAACAGTAAATAGTTAATAGTAACAGAAAATGTCGTCAACATAATGATTTACAAACATACAAGATTTTCCACAATGCAGAATTCATATATTTTTGGAAGGTGAAAAAGTCCAATTTTGCGACTGAATATATCATCATGTGAACAATTAATGAAGTCGTATTCTGTATCTCAAATAAGAATTTCGTCTCATTCCAAAAACAACGTCTTTAATTTGTTGACATTCTTAAACTGTAAAGAATTGTAGGCAGTTCCTCGAGTATTTTTTTTTATCTATTAAACCATACCTGCGCCAGTGCGACCGACAATGCCGACCTTTTCTTTGGAGAGGATATCGAAACTGATGTTATGAAGTACAGGGTCCAGGTCCTTGCGATATTTCATCATCACGTTTGAAAAGAGTATCCTTCCCTGACTTGGCCATTCTTTGTCAATCTGCATTTTTCCAGTTTCCTTTTCTACTGTAAGGTCCTACGATATCAATAAGTATTATTTTCATTCTAAGTAGATGAAATAATCAACATGTTCAACACGATGACACATTTTCGAGAAATAACACTATAACATAGTTGTAATTCAGACTAGGAAAACTGCAGTGACGACCGTTATATCCTCACTGCACTGCAAAAACCAAAACGACGCTTGTTCCTTACCTAGATAATCTTTACAGCAATCAAAATCGTTATAAAGTCTTAAAATTTGTTTTAAAGTCTATGTGATATATATTCGTAAAATAAAACCATCATATCACCAACAACATATACCTCATATTCATGTAGACGCTCAATAGCTGTAAATCTAGCTTCAACTTCATTCAGCATACGGGCGAAGAACTGGAGGATCGAAGCCACCTGACACCAAGAAATGGAAAATAATCATACATTTGTTTGGGTTTATTTTTATTATTTTTTTTTTTAGAATGAGAACAACGAGGGTAATTGCATTATTTGCATTGATTTATTACATGGATAAACTTGAAAGATATAAACTATCGCATCATTCTTAAAGATGCTCATGAAATGTGATGAAATAAGATACTTGAATCTTATTTTTATCTATTTTTTCCTCTCAAAAGTTAAAAAAAATCGCACCAGTAACAAGGAATCGCGATTTTGTACAAAATTCGACAAAACTGAGAGAATATTAAAGGGGGTGTTATGATATAATGATTGAAATCGGGATATTTATCATGATAATGATGTATGTTATACATAAGACGTATAAATTATGTTGTGAGACAAAGGTTTAGAGGATGTGGGTACGTATCATACACTTCCATTAATTAACATGACGTCATAGAAAGACCTCTTTATGATTTTAAGATGTTTTTATCATGAGGTTCCTTATCAATGGAGGTTTCAGAACAGATGAGCATAATTTGCACAGATTAAATGTATTGATATATATCCTTTTTAAAGAACTATGAAGCAATTGTCATCTAATGATATATTTGTCTATGTTAAGTACATGTATTATACGAAACATGTTAAGAACGGAGTAAATGATAAATGCTACATGTACATAGTCATCTACCTTGAAAGACATAGAGAGGGACAAAGCTGCCAAAGCAGGGGATATAGATCCCTTAGTGAACAACACGATGATAGCTGTGATGGTGGCAATAACACCTCCCCCAATGTCCATTCTTAGACCCATCCATCTCATACTTGCTTCGAACAACAACAATCCCATGGAAGTCGAGTCCGAGTGTTTGCAACATCTGTTATAAACAGGCATTATCAAGATATATATATAGAGTGTGTTTTCTATACGTTCAGGAGTAAATTATGATACCGTGTCTTATTATTCGATTTCTGAATACGGATGGTATCCTTTTTAAATATTAATGACAGAATGAAGAATGAAATAGTGCATTCAACCCATTTTGCTGATTCAGATTATATTGTGTGACACAAACGCACTATTGATTCAATAATAATAGTCATCTGTTCTTACCCGTTCATGAAATCGTCTTCCTGTGAATAAGCGATGATGGTGGCGAGTCCATTGCATGACGTGGTCACATGATTTATAAGTGGTGACCGTAAGACGTTTTCAAGCCGTTTGAAATTTCGGATTGATACGGATGATAATATTTTGACTACGTAGACGTATAATCCAATCGGAACAATCGCGATGAGAAACCAAGGGAAATTGTAGGCTGTTGTGGCAATGGAGACAATTATAAGGATCATGACTTGAATAAGGTTATCTATCAAATTTGGGATGAATATATCCGCTGTAATAAAAAAGGAAGAATTCGATTATGCAAGACTTGTTACTGTAGTTATTACATAAAAGGACACTCAAGAAAGTAGCACCTAAATACAAGCAATGAGTTTAACTGTATCATTCAGCTAATGTTACTTCTTCGGCTTGTAGTTGATGCCAATAACCAAAGTGTTGAAACCTAAGAGGTGTCTGCAGATATCAAAAGAGTGAGAAAAAGATGCCAAAATTCAGAAGGACACATGCACTTCCCCCTTAATCCAGTCATGCTGTTTCAACCCTGGAACCGTCATTCAAGACAACTTTAACAATTTATAATAAGGATGAAAATAAACTTTATGGACGAGAATGATTTTATATTTCAAATGTCATGCTTGATATCAACATATTCAAGTATAGTTTATTAAATATGAAGAGATATATGATGTTAAAAACACAGCAAATGTTTAAATTATAACACATTCAAAAAATAATGTTAATGATAAGTTGAATAGTCCTTAACAAAAGTAAAAGACATCTTTGATCTGATTGATAGGGATTGAGTTAAAAACTATATTTAAGTGGATAGCATGGACTGGTAAGGAGAATATCATATATAATCCGTATTCAGATATTAATTTGGGTCATGATAACAAAAACCTCAAAATCAAGTCACTAGATACACTAACCATCTTCCACGTCTCGTGAGAATCGGTTAAGGATTCTACCCGTTGGGTTGGCGTCAAAGTACTTCATTGGGGCACTCATAACTCTGCCAAGAGCATTGCTGTGTAATTTGGCAGAAGCTCTTATCATCACCTGCATCATTAATAGTGTTTTAGCTAGCTTATATCATACTGTTTACGTGTTGAATTTCTCACACAAAAATCTATGGTGATTTCATCATTTGTACCTTGTTCATACAATAATTCACAGTCCCAAAATTATGTTGAAGCACATGTAGAATTCGGAGGGAAGTGTATTATCACAAACGTTTTCCACTATAGTATCGATAAAAGAAAATGAGCATTTCAACTTACTCGACTACCATAATATACAAATTCAAAATTTTTACGAGAAAAACATGACTTACCAAACCTAAAATCAGACCTTTCAACAACGCTAGTACAACTATTGCTAAAGTTGTATATATATAGATATCCAAATACCAGTCCCTTTTCGCTAAGTTGTCTTCAGTCTCCGGGTCCATGGAAGAGCCTACGTGTATTTGTGCTGATGACAACGTGAAATTCTCACCTCCTGAGAAATTAGTATCTTTTGCATTGGTTTTGACAGGAGACGTAGTCAACACTACTGAAGTCTACAAATATTGCGAAACGCCAAATTGGTTATTCATCATATTACAAAAAGACGGGGAAAACTAATTATGAAACTGGTAGTTGTAACTATTATCATTGAATTATAAGTAGCAGTAACAGCAGCAGCAGTAGTTATGTAGAAATAATAGTGTTTTCGATATTCACGGGGATACGATCATTTTCGTTCCCTGCATCCCTGGAACATTGAACACTGATTGGTGCTAGGAGAAAAAAAGAACTGACCAATCACAGACTGATACGCACCTTTTTAAGATTACAAAAGAGTGAAAACCAACATCAAAGTCTTACAATACACCAATATGCGACCTGGAAAATCGTTTGATGTACATCAGAAGATTAAACTAGTCGTTTTCGTCATGTCACTAAGGTTTCGTACATAACACTTTCAATGTTAACATAATATGCTCCAGAGGTGCTGAGCGCAAAAAATTATTCTAACCCCTGGAGTATCGATGATGTAGTGGTAGTAGTAGTAGTAGTACTTTATATAGTAAATGTAATAGTAGAAGTACTAGCAAATGTAGTAGTAGTTATAGTAGTAGTAGTAGTAGTAGTAGTAGTAGTAGTAGTAGAAGTAGTAATGGTAAATGGTTTAGTAGTAATATTACTTGTTTTACTAGACCGTTATCTTCCTAAAAATGTTTTTTGCGTATCAGAACGAAGTTTATAGTTTGTTTGGAAGTGTTCTGTTTTAATCAAATAAAGTGATATAACGAAAATAAGAGTAGATTTCTTCTGAGCATGATCATTTAGAAACTGACAACTCAAACGCATAGTTAATCAATATGGCGATTTAAGCATTCAGATGGCTGGAATGTTACTTTGAATAAAGTACATTTTTGCAGAAGAAAACTTTATGCAATATCCCTCTGTGGTCTGATCATCTAATTTTATCTTGATACGCTAAGCTAAGTTGGTTCTTGTCGCTACGGTCATTTTCATACAAATTGAATTGTGATATTTAACAAATAAAGAAGTGTATACATAGCAGTAGAAGCAGCAGCAGAAATATTTTCAAAGTTTATAAGTTATGTTGGGAATAATTTTCGTAATTGTAATGAGATATGATGACATTACATTTTTATGAAATCAGATGCGTAACCTACTGTCTGTTCGATCCAAATTCCAAGCCACCATTCACTGAAGGTAATTGATGAAATAGACAAGAAATACAACAGTAACACCAATGCTGTCACTATTTTGCCTCCAGCAGCATTGATATAGCTCATGTATGTCTTAAGACTAATGTCGCCAGCCATTGATGTCTCTCTATCGGTCAGAATCCCTGTTCAACATAGGAAACGTTCTATTGATCATGATCAATATAATGATATACAGCAATAAACAACGAACGGAAATGAAAGAGTAAATACTTTTCTTTCTTTACTTCAGAGTGGTTTCTCTGAACTTACCTTTTTCGTAATTATCATTTTTATTGACAGCATCTGGTGAATGACTATGTATCTGATTTGTTGTGGTATCTTTTGTTTCTATAATTTCATCTTTTTCTAAAGATTGATCAGCTGTAAGGTAATAATTAAAGAATAAGAATAACTAAATATGAAATCACACGACGTTTTAGATTAAGAGTAAAAAGGATGATGAATGGTGAATTTAATGTAATTAATTTTTCGTTATAACTGTATATCACTTTCTACTTAACATATAGATATAATGTCTATTAATTAAGGTTTCCATCACTAAATTGGCCTAGATTTACAAAACGCTTAATAAATCTTAATTCATCATTCTGCACTTATGTAGATATTTCTTAATTTGTATTGAAAGCTTTGGCTATTATCTTCAGGTTTCCGTACAACTGTTCATTCGAAGAAGCTTTTGTATTACTGGCAAAATTGCCGAATGTTCGTAAAGGCAGACTTAACGTGTTAAGAAGATAAGCAATATTACTCATTGAAATAAAGAAGCAAGAACGTGGTGCCATTACCCTTTGTGTCGATACAGTCCGTTTTGGAAGTATATTGTTCCATTAGTTTGGTATACTGTCCCTCAAGGGTCAATAGAGACTCATGTGATCCATGTTCAGCTATCTCACCATCATCCATAACGTAAATTTCATCACAGTGTTTTAGATACTAAACAGTAAAGAGAATACATGACTACACCAAGAAATTCATTATTCGGATTGGTATTTTGTGATTCGATAAAATTTGGTGCATTTTTTTTTTTTTTTTTTTTTTTTTACTTTTCAATAATTCAACTTTATTCCGGTATTTCCAGTTTGGTGCCATATGAATCTTTATCAACATACTTATTAATGCATTACAAATGAAATTAGATTTTTAAATATGACATAAATGTCGAGGTGTTGCTACATATGTTACGAATAACAGCTCAACGAATCAAATTTAATCTTGAGATTGAACGTACTTCAATGGAAAGTATGTGGACAGGATAGCCATTTAAATAACAAATCATTTTCCAGATAGAAGTCTGACAAATTACTATATTTCACGTTGATAATGCAGCATTTGGACAACATTGAACAGTTACTATAAAAATGAAGCAATTGCATATTTGCTAAAGAGGCCGAATTATTACATCAATTGTTTTAAATACTATTTATAAATACAAAAGTACAAATACAATTGACCTGCGAACCATGTTTGAGCATTTATTACTCTAGATATTTTAAGAGTGTTATGTACTTACTTTATCTTTAATGGAAAAAGAGTTTTATTATCTGTGACATGAGTTAAAAAACGTAATTATTATTCGTAAACACGTCCACTGTATATGACCCATATTGATAAACTGTGCCTCATTTCTATCTATACCTAATTGCGATATACCAATTTGACATCTTAATGCGTAACAGACTTGTTTCAGATGCCCTGCTCCGTGCTTATCATATGATTAAAGTAACACTGTCGCTGTGTAACAATATATACATTGTAATATGTTGTGCTTACGCATCGATTGCATGATCATGATAATTTTAAGTTCACCTGGAGTTGATGAGTCACCAATACAACTGTTTTATCCTTCAAAAGAGTATCAATACATTTATGAAACAAGTGTCTTCCGACATGAACGTCAACGGCGGAAAGCGGGTCGTCAAGGAGATAGATGTCGCTTTTACTGTAGACAGCACGAGCTAGACTCACTCGTTGCTTCTGACCACCACTGAGATTTATTCCGTTATCTCCAATCTGAAAAGAAAATGTGATAAATAATGTTTGTCTTTCGATTTCTCTTAAACGAAGTAACGTGGAACACATATATAATAATTTAAAAGATAAATGTGAATATTCCTAAATATATATTAATTTAAAAGATAAATGTTAATATTCCTAAATATATATAAATCTAAAAGATAAATGTGGATATTCCTAAATATATATTAATTTAAAAGATAAATGTGAATATTCCTAAATATATATAAATTTAAAAGATAAATGTGGATATTCCTAAATATATATTGATTTAAAAGATAAATGCGAATATTCCTATGTAAAATAAAATAATACATTAATTGATTTTAATTGAATGAAGTTTCATTCTTAATTTAATATCCGATGTTATTCTACGTTTTTTAACTCTGATATCTACATATCGTTATATTGCACGATGGCCCGAAAACAAAATCATTATATTTGCTTGTTAGCATTTACTTACCTCAGTCATGTCCCCATTGGCAAGTATGCGGATATCTGGATCCAAACTGCAGGCGTGCAAAACCGTAGTGTACCTGTATTGATTTTGGCTATACATCATTTACCTCTATAGTTGGCTTATTGACAAATTCGGTTATCAGATTTGTTCGTTCAAAGCATTTAAAATTCATTTGAGCAAAAACGAAATGTGCATTACAGACAGCCTTGTGTAGAAAATACTATTTCTTTTGGGATTTGGAAGGTATGCGTCATTATTATGAAACTAAGTTCAATCGGTGCAGGTATTGTCTTTACTTTGTTGTTGTTACTGTTGTTTTTATCACATGAGTAGATAATATGGCATTATATATTACTAGACGGAACATATAACACCAAACACGTAATCATTACATAAATTTAGTGGCATTTCTAAAAGCGTACCAATCTTTTTCAAAAGGTCTTCCAAAGAGGATATTCTCCCTCAGTGTTCCGTTAAATATCCAGGCCTGCTGTGCCGCATATGCAACTGTACCATCAACAGCAAGATGGCCAGTAATCAAGGGCATCTACAATCAATAGAAAAATATTTAATTGATATTATTTGATGTTAAGATCTTCCTATTGTTTCAAAGTTTTGTAAAACAAATTGGGAATTAGAAAGTTTCAGAAAATGAACATTGGCCATAGTTATAGGCAGTGTTTAAGTTTCTTAAGGCTATATGATGTAATTTTTTCTCTAAATTGTAAATTTGTATTCGAGGAAATTTTTCACGTGCATCTTTTTACAATTATAGAAATATTGGTGAACTTGTAGTTAATGAGATTTGTTGTTACCTGCATGACACGGTTCAAGACTTGTACGTGTATTTGCCGTTCCTTTGAAACATGTTTTTGAGTTTTAAGGTGACTGCACATCATTTCATATCTAATTTTAAATTGCTCGAAAAGGATTTGAACAATAGGTGTTTTTTGAATGAAGTTTTATATTACCCTCCCAATCAGCGCTTGCAACAAGGAGGATTTACCACAACCAACAGTACCACAAATTCCGATATGTAGCCCCTGAAAAATGTTAACGAAGTTTAAACAGAGCAAAATCTCAAAATATTAAATATTTGATTCAAATAATAATTTTGTACAAAAAGGACATATACTTTCAGGAAAGGCTTCCTTAATCTAACTGTTCCTTCATCTTAGATGTGGTAGGTACGTGATTGTAAATTGAAGTTTTTTTGTCTAAAGATAAATCATTGTTGTAATTACTGATATATCCAAATTTCATTATTACTTTTCTTTCCTTTCTGACAGCAATATTGATGCTCTGTAGTGCCAATGATGCTATCGACGAACGATGGTTCAATTCTAAGTGAAATAGCAAATAAAGTTGTAAACGAAAGAAAAACATCAAAATTAATGAAAATTCAACAAACATGTAAATAGTTAATATGATTATTTTACGTTCAACACATTACAGCGGAAAAAACTAAATCGTAGCATTAGTTGAACATCTTCGCATAATTTGTCTTTTCTTTATAAATTATTCATATGATTTCAGTATATAAAGTGCGACACTCATTTGATATATAAGATTTTCAAGTACAATTCTTTAACAATAGGAAATGTGAAAGGGTCTAAACGCGGTTCATTTGCAGAAAACGTACATCAATTACGAAAACAAGTGACCGTGTTATTGCTGAACATATCAATTGAGTGTAGTAATAATCGTTATTGTTCTTTGTTCATATTGCAATGATATTTTCACTCTTATTACATAGCAAAAACAATTCAAACATACAATAGCTAGATAATGAAATATGAATTTCATACCTTCTTTATTCTTCTGTTTTTGTTTTTCACTAAGGTTATTATTAGTACCGAATTCCCACATGAATACTGCATTTCGTATTTCAATGGCATTCTTCGATACAGTAACATTGCGACTTGGCGGCGTGAATTCTTCCTCTAACATAAAGCGCTGAGAAAATAAACAACAATATCGGTTTAACGTTTTTCAATGCGTTAGAAAGAAAAACGAGATTTCTTTAAAAAATCATATATAATATCTTGAAAGCTTCTTGTTTCTTGTAATTAGATAGCCATCATTTAATGTTGCAAAAGTAAAATATATACGCAAACTGGTTTTCCTTATGGTAAATCGATGGAAATAGTTATTAAGGCAAAAACTGGTATTGTAATTGTATTTGCTTAAAGTGATAAACTCAATGTACCTGTAGCGTCATTTGCAACAAATTCTACACGCTACATAGTTAACCAAAACTGTACACATTGGTATATCGCTGGTTAATTATCGCATGAAAAATTGCTTCATCTTAGTAAATGCTTGATATTGCTTTAATAAAACCAATACATATGATCAGATATCAAAGTTGACTACGGATGATGATTGACTTGAAAAAAGGAATTATAAGAGACAACTACAATGTAAACAATTATGGAAGAGAATAACTAGAATTGTCCGATTTTATCTCCTTTTAACACATGCCTTTATTCTTTCAAAGCTGATCCTGGTTTCTCCAAATATACGAGCGGCGTACGGAACGAAGGAGACTATGATTCGCATAAAGTTGAGAGTGGCAACAACAGAGAAAGCCTACAACAGAAATGTTACATTTAATCGTCGTTGATCAGTTTGATGAAACGCCTATTATACACTTTTAACATTCGGTTGCTAGGCGATTCATTACTTTAAACATTTTATTAACTTGATAACGTGAATTTATGTGTAGATTAACATGGCGGGAGTGGTCGATGAATCTTAAAACGCTTTCACTTCTGAAATACATCTTTCTTTTATTCTTGAACGTTTTCATTTATTACAATTTAAACAAATATACACATATATATAGTATTTTTCAATTTCCATCTTTATTTTATAAATGCGTTGCTTAGCAACAATCAAACCAAACCTTGCTTTTTGTACATGTTATGATAGGAAATTAACACCATATTAAAAGAGAAAAATAGTTTTTTGTCTTTTGCTGTTAATAATTCCAGTAGTGAATAAATGAAATTAAATAAAAAATAACTTACTGTTGAGGCTGTTAGTTCATTCCCTGCATTAACATACATAGATATTGTGGCTACCGCAGCAAGTGAAGGAGTTACTGGTATGATGGCATTGCAAATCAAATTCAATATTGTCGAATGCAACAATGGTTTAATTTCCGTGTCCCTAAGACCTATGGAAGAAACGTGTCAATAGTATTTGAAATTAACATGTATTATTTACTCCGTTTGTATATAATGGAAATTTCCTTTTCTTTAACTTAATAACTTCAAGTTGTAGTAAATCTGTTCATATCTTTTCATGCATTTTATGATGACACCTGATAAGACAGCTGGCTCTGAAGGTCAAAGGATTGTAATTGTTTGCTTTATCAATTATCATTTCATTGTTACATTAAATATTTCTTTGTCCTCATGTTGTTATGTGCATATGAATATTTGATAAGATGTTTAGATTTTAGAAAATGTCTACTACAATCGTTTTAGAGTCATTAGATTTTTGAAGAACTATTGAAAACAAACGAACGAATAAAACGTTCATGCAAAATTAGACATAAACGGTTTTATACATTACGCTTAAGGAATAAATTCGAAACTAATAAAAGAAATATCGAGATAATAACGGAATATTTTCAATTAGTACTTAAAGTCGAGAAACTATGTCGAATAAGAAAAAATGATTTAGACTGATACTATTTAAAAAGTGAATGGAGAATAAGACCAGTTGCCCCGGGAGGATACGCGTCCTTACCCAATATAGATTGTTTAAACGATTCCTCCCATGCATACATTTTTATCAACTTCATGCTGGAAAGAACTTCATTCATCTTCCGTATCTGAAGAAAGATAAAATATGCAGTGGAACCCAAATTAATCAAACAACGACGGTTCCAATAGCCCTATATATCGCACTGGTTGGTCCTGACCGCGTCTTTATCATTCAACCACGGGTTCCTCGAACCAATATTCTTCGACTCATATCACCTACCCCGTTCCCTTCGATGCTTACAATATAGCCACATTTATCCACTGAGCAGTTGCCATGGTCACGACACTTTACCTGTGTCACATAACTCACTTTCGTGATTTTGCTCCAATTGGGAAATTTGAAATAATTACGGTGTATTTTTATATATTGTATAAAATTCATTATTTAAATTCCTTTTCCTTTCGGTCATTTTCAATTCAAAATCATTTTTTGAATGCGTATTCTTTGTTTCCTTTGAATATGACAATAATCCATGAACTGTTTTACCCATTTTGCTACGTTTGCAGTGTATGAAAACCATCAGCGCAGTCGAGAGCATAACCAATTTCATACAGGTATTGTGTTTTTAGATATCCAAAACAGATCATAAAAAAGTGGACCTGTTTTCCCTTAGTATACATACTTCAAAAGATCAATGCTAGTAAGCAGACGTTTATAAATATTCAATACTCGATTTTAACAGAACAATACATTCCCTTCCTTATTTACTAGCAACATGAGAAAACATACCCTTAAATCTGTCCATACTAAGGTTCGTCTTCGGAATAGGGAGATGAGTTCAATTAACACAGTCTGCAAATATAGATGTAGTGTTGCAGAAGAAAGATACAGGTTCAATCAATGCCACAATTAGATGTATGATCGCGGAATAGGGATATGAGGTCAATGACCGACACAGCCTACAAAATAGATGTACGATTATGGAACACGAAAATGAGTTAAATGGATACAGCATAAATAGGTTTGGTAAAGAACAACGATTCTTAGGATATGGTAGATTGATAATACGCATTGAACAATTTGATCACAAACATTGATTGGTATGATTAGAGAAAAATATAATTTACAACATGAACATTTTTATGTTTCAGCTACAATTGATAGTCTATTTATTTTGTTGGTAACATCTGGTATATTTTACAATTTATGTGGACAAATAAGGACACGATTGTGGCAACCTGTGTCTGCGGTTTCACATAGAAAAATATCCTTTTAATGATAAAATATACTTGCAAAGACTTCTATATAGGATCCTATGTAACGATACTAAGTATTTGTCTTTTAGCCAACAGACGAAAATTTTTATAAAGAAGAAATGTAACGAGTTTCATAACTAAGTTTTTAACTGTAAAATTGAAACGAAATAAATATTTGAATAGCTTTGTACAAATCAGTATATTACAGAATGATAAAGTATTGTAAAATATTTCAAATAAAGAAAAAAATTCTAGATATTCGAAAAATGACTTCCTTACCTGAATAATGAAGAATACAATAAATGTTGCAAATGTTATAAAGCACCATAGTCCTATGAGGTAGTAGATATACACAGTTCCAACCACAAGGAAAACAGGCATTGCGAGGACATACACAAATAACTGACAGTTCATATACACCCGCAAAGAATCTGATCCAAATATAGTTACAACCTGTAATGAATATGAAATTAATTTTAAGATGTCATTGCTTTGCAACTTAGACAGTTCATATCTCATAAGGCACACAAGTTTTATTTCTGTACTTTGAAAATAGCAACTTAACTTAAATGAGTATATCAATAAACCTTTTTCAATTTTTTTCTTCTTCTTCTTTTCATATTTTGTTTTAGTTAAAGCTACACATTTAAGAAATACAAAGTAAAATCACTCGCAATGTCGCTATGCTACGAAATTGTAGGCCTTCATACTTCATTCAATAAAAGTGGTGGGAACGGTGAAAGGAAATTACCAGTGTACAGTAAGATCGTTTATTATTATTTTTTTAATTTCGTATATTTCGAATATTACGTTTTAACGAAATAGCATTTTGTGTCATCAAAATGAATGCCATTTCATGTTATCGAAATATTATTTTCTTTTTTCTTTCAAAATACAATTTTCTTATTTGAAATGATATTTCGTTTTGTATCATTGTTGATATAAGCATGGGATTGATATTATGAATGTAACAAATTTCTGAACATAAAGAATCTAGAGTAATGCATGGAAATCAATAGATGTAACAAAATAGACAACAATAAAGATATCAAAGTATGGAAAGACGTTCAAAATCAATGACCGAAGACCTTAACTCATAAGATACTTTTGCCCAATTATATCTGCCTTTCTAATTTTTTTTACAAGATTCGTCCATACGGAGTGTGTATACACATATATCTTGATTGATTTCCTTGCAAAGTAATTTTGCTCTATGCATACCATAGATGTCCATGACGTGTTTGAACTTGGGTGTAAATATAGTAAATAGAAACCTTGTTGAATCAATATAAACATAGTTCCTATTTCAGGATTTTTTGTTGCCCACATTTGACAAGAAATCGCCATGGTCTACAATGCAATATGTTAACTCCGTATTTTTATATTAAACACGCCAAGCCTTATAGAGTCCGAAATATGATACAATTGTTATATAGTGTAATATTTGTGATATCTTTGTCAAAGGAATTTTATTTTGTAAATGGATTAGAACTTTTCATGCAATGTTATGATAAAAGCATAGCTAATTCGGTTATAGATATGTACGAATGCAAATAACTATAAGAACCTTTGATTTCCGTCGGTATTGTGTTACATCTACTTAAATGAAACATGTTGACTTTGGACTTCACCTATGGTCAATTCCGATAAACTTACCTCAGAAGTAACCTTCCCATTCAGGTTTTTTAACTTCATCAGTTTTCTGTACACCATCCCTAGGACTCCTGAACGAAACCTTGAGCCTATTTGTAAAAGAAAAAAACAGAAAATTGCTTCCAATTACGTAAGTAGACAGAAATGTATGATACGTCTTAATAACACACGTAATGAGAACCATTTACAACTCACCCGTTTGTGATCCATAAAACAGAAGAGTTGTAAATATACAACACCTTAGAAGTTGTCCAACAAGGCAAATTATCACCAAACCAACAGCATAAGGTATGGATGTTTCTGGTTGTTCTAAATAGGCTGCAATTACATCAGTCAAATAACCCTAAAAGGGAAATATATATCACATATTGAGACGTATTTAGATAGCAGGAATTAATAATACATGTGATGTTTTCAGTTATTCCCCTTAGAAAAGCATATCGTATATTCCTTACAGTTAGCTTCGTTTCTATAAATTTCTATTATGTGTTTTAAAGTTTGAAAATATTTTGTCAAATTATAAAATGTGTACTCCATTTTGCAGCTAGATAAGCAGCGATGATTTAGTGTGTGAAAAAAAAAAATTTCCACAGCTTTAAAAAAACGAAAATTGTGATGTAGATCGATGAATGAAGGTTGACAAAGGAGTTAATCATAAATTGAAGTCAAAGAAGGTTCATACTTTGGCTTTGATACTGACCGTAACTAGCAATGCTATAACGGCATGAAAGCAGACAGCTATGCAGGCAATAAGGAGCCGAACCCAAATGAATTTCAGCCACAATCTAAAAACTGAACATTTTTTCTGGCCATACGTCTGTAGCTCGTTGATCCACATTGGTTCCAATCTGACGAAAATATATCAATGAAAAAAATGAGTAAAAAAATAAAGAGCAAAATGAAAGAAGAAAAAAAAGAAAGAAAAATAAAAGTAGAAAGAAAGAAAAACTATCAATTAACAATAAATGTTCATGTAACCTGGCGGTATCCAAAGATTACATAATCCAATGTTGCCGGTTTTCAGCTTTTTATGACCTGGATATAAGACCCGTTTTAGTTTGCATCTAAGCGACCGCTGTTCGAATCCTCGAACTAATGTTATTAGGTATGGGGTTCTCTATTTCAAGCACGTTAATACACACCGATTCGTTTCTCCGGGTCTCAACATACAATTCGTTCGCGGAGAGGGTGCGTCGAACTGCAAACTCAAGATCTTCAGTGGGGCTACGTAGGACACCGCCGGTCTAAATGGATTGAGTTGTTACTATCCCTTACAGAATTATTTTCGGTGCCATTATAACTTGCTCACCATTTGTAATATTGAAGTAATTAGAAGGTCTTACGTACTTATCAATAACGCAGAACAAAATGCGATGTTTTAGATTCAGTAGTTTGTCATATATCTTGTATTATACTCAGTGGCTCGAAGAAAATTCCATGTACATTTTTGTTCCAAGTACACATCTCATTATTGAATCATGTATAAACACGAGTGGTAGTTTCAGCATGACAAGTTTGATATGTTTAACAAGTTCTAAAAGGACGAAACAAGTCTATTGTACAGTTTAACTGTTTGTTTCTACTGTATCTAACTCTAAAGATACTATTGACTGCTGTGTGTATGTTTGGTACAACCTTACCAAAATGGCCAGTCAGATCACAATACACAGAACGAAAGTAACTCTCACTTTATTTTAACTGATCTGTCATTACCAGTCTTAGAGTATTATACATATTGTACTTCTGTAAAATTAATTTGAAAAATAAAATCGTGGCAGACATCCAACTATATTATCTAACGGTGTTGTCTTAATAGGCAGATAGACGGTACGGCATAATTAAACTGATATAAATAAGATATGAGATAATATGTAAGAGCTAACATATTTATTGTTTCTTGGAAAATATCAGTTACATGGGATTGAAACATTTTCCACTCTTGCTATCCATTCATGAAAATAAATCCAACTCACTCAAGGAAATATAAATATTCTTTATCCAGAAACAAGCAATATTTAGTAGTTTTGGAAGTACCTTTCTGTGTTGACGGCACACGACTCCAATTCTGAACACGACCACACATCATCTTCTCTGATCTCCTTGTTCCTGTCCTTAAACAGCTGCAGGATCATTGGGGTAAGCCATCCTAATGACAAGTAGGACAAATATCCCGCGTCATTTACAGGAACTTCTCCGTTACTGAAAATGTAGATAGCGACTTAATCAGCTGAGAGAAGCAATTGTGCTGGGTTTTTTTTTTCTCAAAAAAGAAAACAGTATGTAAGTGTGAATTATTTCCTACGTTGTACCATGCGTTCGGTGATATTACAATAGTCAATTTTCTTATTGTGAATGCATCTGTCCCGAAGTAGTGGAATGTCTATGATAAATTTTATAGTGTGCAGATTGTTAATAGTTGGCTACAAAAAGGACATAATCATTGACGTGTTTTCACTAACAACAATATCCTGCTAATTCGGCTGTGTAGCAGTTTTTGTCAATTATTTTCTGTGTGAATTAAACTCTGAAAAGGAAACCAGTAAGGTATACAAGTAACGACATTATAATCAATGTGATAAGTCTTCTATCGGCATGATATACAACATTATGGATAGCCTACCATATAAAATCTACACAATCTTTTCAAAGAGATAACAGGATTAAGACGCCGTAAGATTTTACATACGCTTATGCTTGACTAACTCACATAGAATGTTGAAAAGTATAAACAGAGAAAATTTTGTAGATTGTCTATAAAAATATATACTTTACATATGTTTATCGTGAAGTAGTGTCTGTTTCTCTGTATCCGTATGTATTAGCCTGTCTACACGTCTCCAGAACCAGTTCATGGTAAATTCCTGATATGTATGTTTCACATCTGAATACCGCAGACGTAGTTATTTTTCATATTTCTTTTTTATGTTATAAATATGGGATTCATTTCCACTGGTGATATTTTGCGCATAACAGGGACTAGCGGGATACTTGTTGGCATTTAATTTGTCTTTTTATTTGAATCGAGTCTTTTTTTTTATTGAAATCAAGTGAAGGTGTTAATATACGTAATTAAAATATTTGTTGAATACCATTAAGGTCACACCTGTCGTTTATGAATTGCTCTGTTGGTAGCAGCTTGCAAACACTAATTAAAAGATTATTCTTTTCGGTTCATATTTACATATTCTAAGATAAAACGTCCATATAACATTTCTACGGTAACATTTCGTAGCATGAGATGATGGTATGCAAAAGAAAACCATAATATATGACACTGGTAAAGAACAAAATGAAGAAATTTGAGTGTATATTTGCTTCTTTTTTGCATATATATCAATAGTTAAGCACAACATGGGTAAATCATATTATCAGCAACACACTATGGTAGTTTATGCCTGACATTTGGTGTCTTGGTGGCTTTTCGCTTTGACGGCTTTTCGTCTTTTTGCCTGGCGTCTTTTTGCGGGCGGCAAAGCGGAAAGACGAAATGTCAGGTGTAAGCCAACATATCTAAATGAAACACAACAGCCGACTAAAAGGGTATTCGTATAGCTAGATCATTTGAGCGGAAGACCTGTAAACCATAGGTCCAGGGTTCGAATCCTAATTACATTTGTAGTGTAAGATTTATCATGCATCATTGACACAATTAGCACATTAAGTTCACGCCAATAGCCTACCATATAAACACTAGTGGCATGCAGTTAACTCTAACAGCACAACGTATTGCACCCTTTAACTAACAGTGTATGCCTATATTTAGAGAAGCGTACCATGTTTTCATAGTGGACGATTGAACTTTTTCTTGTATAATTCCGTATGTTTATTTGCAGGTAATAATGGTCCATGTATATTGCATGATAAGTTGGAAAACTATCTTAACTTAATTAACATTTACATTTAGAATAAAAGAAAAGAGTTTTGTGAAATCTCTCCTGATGAAACGTTGCTTTCACTCAAAACACTCTCCTAATCTACTGTTACCTATTTTCGATGACTTCCTATAATGCATTTGTTCATGCTTCTCATATTTGGTCAGTTCAGAACTCGTGGGAGACATACATCTTTAATGGTTCATGATGTATCTTATACATTTTGCCCTAGATCTCTCTACATGTTTAACTAATTTATATAATTATACCAATGATATTAAAGAATAAATGGTTATTCAAGTCATCCAGGTTAACGAAGTTATTCAAAGTGATCTTCTGTCATTTTATGCTATATTAAGGCATTAACTCTGTAAATATGTTTCTTTTCCAATTGTCTGATAACGTGTCGGTATGCCTTCAACATAAAATGCTTTCGTTAAAAAATTGCAGCTATAAACCTCTGTGATCTGACCTTTTTGTGGGCCAATCTTATTTTTTACTGGGTTTAGAAACATATTTATTTTCAGGATAGATTTATTTTACAGGTCAGCTTGTTTTCGAGTTTTTAACATTCAAAGTAAACATTAAACATATTAGATTTACCATGATTCAGCGTATAAAGTGTCAGATATATATATATAGATAATGGTATATTGTTTGCACGATTTGTTTCAATTACACTAAAAAATGTAATTACTCTTAAAGATAAAACATACCTTTTCTTTGAATTCGTACGCCGTGTCTCTGCATTTTCTGTGAGAACGTATTTATCAAAAGCCGTCCAAAGACATCTCATGATGATTCTTTTGCATATAATGAAAACACTTACAATATCGAACTATTTAAGTAATTAGCAAGAACAGATGGTATTCCTTTCAATTGTTTAATAGAAGATTCCTAATATCAATAAATGTAAATATAATTTCATTTTGTACTCAACGCTTTGCATAATGACAAGACAGTATCTTTGAATTGAATTCGTAAAGTTAAGTAGACAAACCGATCGGTGTTATACACAAACTAAGCGAGTTCCTTTCAATCATTTATTGTTATACAAATGTACAGTTCATAGATGTTTTAATGGGAAATAGTTGTTATTTACATGTACCACAGACATAATGGATTGACGGCCGTGCCATTTCTCACCTATCATTAAACGTACAGGAGCATTGTAAAAAAAGTCTACATGAATTCTACATCAAGGTCACTAGGTTTTTTGTTTGTTTTTTGTTTGGTTTTTTTTTTCGTTGTGTTTAAGTTTGAAGGTATTTTCTTGTTATTTGAAATAATTCACATCTTGCCAAATTATCTACCTGTTGTCAAACTGAAAAGTTGAAATCAAATTAAAACAATCAGTAAGAGAAATCCTCCATTACAGTTCATTTTAACAAGTATATTTACAATCCTTTATATGATAACGCTATTTCAATAATACTAATTGTCAAACTAATCAACATATTCACAAAATATCGATTGTGATTGCGCCATGTATAATGTAAATGTAAATTACGTAGATTTCAATCATCGTTAAGTTATCAGTGAATAATTATCTTGTTGGTGCAACATATGGTAAGGAGTGACACTTGATTATCAAAGGGAAAATGCATGACAATGTACTTGATTATCATTACCATTTAATACTGGACACATGGATGAAACGATTACATATCATATGAAAAATTAGTGTTCTTGATAAATCCATAGAAGTTGGGAGTTTTGCTCAGTGCTGCAATTTTCCATAGTCGCAGCAACAGACGTTGATTTCAAGCGATTTCAATGTTCTTTTCACAACTAGGAATGATTTATTTCATGCATTTTTTTTAAATCACATACGTATATTACAATACAATTCAGATAAAATGGTTTCCTGTGACGCAGTTAATCAAGGCAAGATATTTAGGTGATATGTAGTGGCTATGTTTTTATGATGTGGCCATCTTATGGCTTTCTCTACCACATGAATTATTGTTAAACATACGACATCGACACGACAAGAGAAATACCCACATGTCAACAAAATACGGCGACTTCTGAAAAAGGACAAGGAGAATAAGACCATTGTTCTGAAAGAGTAAACGTATTCTACTTCATCGACGACATCCGATGTGTAAATCTTGGCCAATCAATTAAGAAATGTCAGATTGTCAAATAGGAAAAAGGTATACGAAAACCAAAATACAATTGACCCATTTGTTAGCCTAAATGAGGTCTCCAAAATAAACTTTACAAAGCCATTTGTTGTAAACCTACCATACGTGCCCACAATGTAGCCAGATAGATGTAACTGACAGGTCTCAAAATTTACAAATCATCTATCTCGCTATTCTTGGAACACATATTAATGATTATGCCATTGGCGGCCTATCGTTAAAAGTACGCTCCAATTCTAAAAACAAATCTACAGAGACATGCATGGGTCATCAATTGATATTTCCATGACATGTCACAGGTCATGCGGCAGCGTTGTGGGAAATGATCTTAATTCTGAAATATGAAGACGTATTTTATAGCAAGGTATGTGGATTGCCGGTTTCTGTTACCCTGTCCGGCTTCCATAACTAAAATACAGTCACAATGTAGAACGGTGGACAATCTGTGTGCGATCGTCAGAACGGCACAATCGGAGAAGCTATCTCTGTTCGTCTTCTGAATCAATGCATATGTGGATGTATCAAGGGACGCTGTGGCTTCGTCCAGGATCAGAATCTAAGTGCACAGGAGCCACAAAGTAGGATGAAAGTGATATTAGTATTATTTACATGAATTTAGGTACATAGAGGCAATCTCACGAGAAAGCATTATATATTGAATATATTTCATGTGTACGATAGCATTAAATGACACTACGTCTTGTTTTTGTTAAAATTATATGAATTTCATCGCTCCATCGTTCGGTATAGAATTGTAACAACTCAATTGAAAATATATGATATATAGAACAAGTATACTATATGCCTTGGGAGGCAGGCGTAACGTACTAAATGCCCAGAGAAAATATTCGTTTCCATAGCTTTAACAATATGCAAAGACCAAGTCCAATTGAGCCCAACAGTAATGGGTTCATCATAAACAGTCATTCCACTCTGTCTCTAGGAAAGGATGGGACTGAAAAGGACATCAATTTCTCTGTACGAACATGTTTCCCTTTGGGGCAGTTTCAACATAGATGATGATGAATGCATGACCTTGTCATTGGGAATCACACCTTAGAGTTTAAGAACAATGGCCACTCAACCAGTCGGATATTGATTGTAAGCTACAGCACACGAGTCAATATATATCATTCTGTAATGATTGTATTAAACTCACGATCAACACCGTGTTTTCTTTCACTTTGAATTCAGGTCCTTACGATGTCCCAAATGTGGGACACTGAATGATAGGACGGACCTCTTTCTTAACTTATTATACACATAGGAGGCTGTAGACAGGATACATGCTGTAGAGTCTCCACGTCGAGTAGTACACCATTGTGGCTGCATTGTAAAACAATTAAACAGTAACTGTTGTTAAGCAGTTTAAACATTTATTCATCCCACAACTATTACCACTGCCGAAAACAACCATCAACCAATGTAATAGATTCAAAATTACAGTGGACATTTAAATGGCTGATTTTCATTTTTTCGGACTCAAATAAAACGAAGGATTATTGTTGAGATAAAGTTGATTTTCTGATTTTCCACCACATAATTCCCGTGTGCATCTTTCTTGTTCAGATTTGATGCATAAAAACAGTTTTGTAAGAACATTCTTGATAACAACATAAAATGATAGCTACCATATAGCGCAGCCTATTGAAAATTACATCGTCGTGAAATATCCTCTGTATTCAATGGGGTAAGCATTTATGACCTTTTTATTTGACATTTACTATCTATGTATATGGGAGACTGGGTATATATTATCCTAGGTTAATGCATATATTAATAAGGATATATCTATTTGATATGCATACGTTTATGTATGTAATATAAAAGCACACTCTTCATGCATAGTTATTGTGCAACAGATGAATTATTCAAAAGTAATAATTTACAGCGTTGCACCGTTCTGTCGCCGATGTAACAGACCCAGGTTTAACATATACCACTATAGTAAGAATGTCGCACTTGGACAGTGTCATTTCGCCTGGTGCCAATGTCGTCCACATACAAAAAAGAGTCAGCTCAACGAAGTCAAAAATATAACTGAATGACTCTAAGAGGATCAACATTGAACACTTATCTAAGTCATATACGACAAGGAGACTTTGAACCTGCATTTGCTACTTTATATATGGACGAGCTATGACTTTTTTGCTCAAGTATACATATAAGCAAAAGATTTAGTGATTTAATATTGTGTTTGAATTCTGATTCCTTGAACATATAGAAATTTTCCTCGTCTTTCCGAAAAGGGGCAATTACAAACTCCCATACCACACCTTACAATACGTTAATGTATTGGGAAGGCAATTTGACAGAAGATTAAACATTCGTCCATTTGCAAATTAAAACGCAGTCATTAGCACTCTTTTCTTTATAGAGGAAACTCATTTCGAAAGCTCGCAATTACAGTCTACAATGGTTCCTTGTGTGAAAGGTAAATATCTGGTATATATGTATGCCATTAAGTAAAAAGAAATCGAAAGCATCATGCATATCATAGCTGATAGGGTATTTCATTTGCTTGGTACCGAAGAAAAACACTAGTAAGAATTTAAGAATGACGACAGATTTACAATAATTTTCAAGTCGTAATAAAAGGTATGAATTTTTATCACAATATGTATTGATTTTTTAATGTTAATAAATACTCAAAAATATAAACAGATAAATATACACACGCAATGGAAATTAATTCAAGCAAATGCTGTCCAAGGTACTATATCTAAACCAAGTATGGACAGTGAGACTTGTGAAAAGCAGCCTTAAAAAATCAATTGGTTTTGAAATTAATAAATGTTTCGATTCTAATGCATGCATATAGGTTACAAGTCATTTAATTCCTTAACAAAAAATCCTTATTATGAACGGAAAACATACGTTAATTGGTTAAGACAAACGGATAGATTGTGTTCCAGTCTAGTACTATCTGGCAATTACGTTCAACGAATGAGCGCATTTTTGTGCAAAAATATCTATACATCAAAGCCTTATCTATTGACAAGTAACTTTTTGAGTGGGATCCTGAGCCAAAACTCATGATTCTATAATGAATGACGCCATACCTACATGTACTGCAAATGCGAGAAATATGAAATGGAACGTTGCCAACTATAAGAAGTCGAGGGGAAATTTGATTATCGCCATAATGATTTCGATGAGAAATATTCTATATCTTTGTGTGATATGGACATGGACATGTTTGATGCTCGGTACTTTGGCTGTTGGTTCCATTGTTGATTACGTTGCTCGTTTGAGAACGTGACATTACTTATTGGATTGCCCAAAGGTTTACGTGGTGGGTGTCGTCGATGCAGCAGAAGACGCTTACTCTTCTGAAACACCTGATACTAGTCTTCTAGTACCTTTTCAGATGTCTCCGCGTAATTTTGTCTTTTGTTTTATTTTGCCCTAGTGATTGTGTTTATTTATTTATTTATTTATTTGTATTTTCTGAGTGTTTCTTGTAATTTCAATTGTTAAAGGAAGATTTAACCTTTGAATGTTGAGGTCAGTTTACGAGGTTAAAAAGTCTACCGATTTGCAAAATCGATATGACAATATTAGATATGCTTCTGAAAGGACGATGCAAATTACTTTCAAAGAGGATACCAACTGCAGCAAACGCTGCTTTCACTGTGTCTCTTCGATCGGGCATTCGTAAGGTTGTAACCTTCACTAGTTCTATCAGCATTTCCGAAACCAAAAAAAAAAAAAAAAACGATCAAAAGGCTTGTCATGGCAATAATTTTGTGACAAATAGGCAATGACAAATCCTATGGTTTATCTCGTATGGAGTTTATTGTATATAATGTCGGAACATTATATTACTATGATGGATCCATGTCATACTGTGGAATAAGGAAATGTTATGACTCTTAATTTTAAAGTCAAAGTAACCACCGAGAGTCTACCTAAACATGATTTCGTCTCGTCTATGCATTGAAAATGTACCAATACGATTTTTGCCGAAATTAAGTTATGAATGTAACACTGTTTATTTGTTAAAACATTTTATTCAGCTGTAAATACTAAATTGTATACTGCTTGATACATCACAGCGGAAATATTTACGTCCATAGAACGTTTTGTTTGTTCATTTACCCAAGAATGAAAGACTGATGATATACTTCAAGTTAGAGAAATAACTGGCTATTACATTTGGACATCATGCACACTTGTAAGTGCATTTTTTTCTTTTCTTTTCACATGTCCATTTGGCAAGTATGTTGCCGTCACGTTTGAAAAAAGGCGATGTTTGTAGAAATCTCTGATGAAAAGACAATAAAAACAAGAAAATGTCCTAGAACGTTTTAATATTGATGATGCGTTTTACATTTTATACAAAACCCAAATTGATAATAATTAAAAATTCGATGAATTGATGAATATCAAGCATTGTCTGATAGAATCTTTTGAGCCTGAATCATACTGTTAAAATGTGAAGACGTTTTTCGTAGCAAAGCCTGTGGATTGCCAATTTCAATCACCTGCCCAGCCTCCATGACGATAATTACGTCACAATGCAATACAGTATTCAGTCTGTGGGCGATCGTGAGAACGGTGCAATCGCAGAAGCTGTCTCGGATCGTCTGCTGAATCATGGCGTCTGTGGATGTGTCGATAGAGGCTGTGGCTTCATCCAAAACCAGAATCTGGAATGCATTATGGTTTTCTTTTGACATCATAAATGAACTAACACAAAAACAGCCGCCTACAGAGTTATTGCAAGAACCGAATTTTGATTCACGCCAAACACGTGATTTTTCGGATGTTGTTAGACCTTGAAATTGCCGGCCTTTGGAATTGATAGCTTGAAGCTAGGACATTTCGGGGGTATTGTCACAGTTCAGTCCATCGCCTCAGAGGTTCAACAAGTCAAGATTCAAAATTACTTAAAACTTTATTACATGCTTTTAATACATACGAATTATACTAGGATGGTCATACTGGATCGCCTGAGCTAACGATTATAACCTTGAAAAGATCACATCTACAAACGAAATTTGCGGAGGAAGAAACTAAACATGAAACCATCTCCAGATATGGCTAACTCGAAATACAGCATATAAAACCATGCATGGCGGTTAGAGAAGTTATAACAAAACCTAGCGGGTGATGCATATATATAATCGTATTTGACCTTATTACAACTAATTACTGAAGGTTTCTTGCAAGTTCAATATGTGTTAATAGTACGTGATAAAAATCAAGAATCTTTAACTCAAAGATAGCGTAGTTACTTCACCAACATTTCTGTTTCTAAGCATAAAGCTAAAGCATATGAAACCAGTTTGGTTTGTATTTGGCGATATAGTTTCCTAAAACATTGATACCTCATATGTATATAACTCCAATTTACCACATATTCTCATTCAAGTTTTATCAATTTCATTTTGATACTGTTAAACCACTCATCACTTTTAGTTTTAGGAGAAAAAAAATTGTGAAAGAGATATGTACAGCGACTTTTAGCTTCCTCGATTCAGATCAATTGAAATGTGCTAATGCAGAGATTATTTTCTGCAAAAGAAATTAGAAAGTTATATTATTTAAAACGAGTTTGATTTCCAGAATTGGCCTATATTTCCATGTCAAGTATGGAACAGACTTTTAACTTCAGGTCTTAAATTGCTTTTTTATTTCAGGTTTCTCCCTTGTCAATAAATTAGATTCATAATTTGCCTAATTTGATTAGTTTTTAACTTCAAGTAAACGATCGGTACTTTTTAGCATCCAATGTCGACTAAGTATGTCCTGACCGACCTACAAGACACTGATGTTAGTTAACGGTTAACAAAGAAAAAGGTGGAAACTCCTATTTAATATGTATACCGTTTATTAAGACAACTACACAATATATACGTCTAAAAGCGCTCAAACCAGTACAAGTGTTTTGTGTAGGCTTTCATACTTGATGCTGTTTCATACAGAATTCTAGTTCTGAAAAGGTCCATTTGTGCTTAATTATATTTTTATATCACTATTTGTACCATCGTCAGTAAAGACGAAAAGTACACAATTTATGCTTATGTATCATAAAACTTTTCGATTCCCTGAAATTCTACCAACCTTGTTCTGACGCAAGATTGCGCGTGCCAAACATATGAGTTGTCGTTCCCCGACAGAGAAGTTTTCCCCGTTTTCCTGTATCTGTGTGTCAAGGGTTTGGCCGAGAAGTTTCATCTAGATAAAAAAAAAAGGAGAAATATATCGGTTTCTTTATTGCTGAAAACCATATTTGTGTACTTTGAAAAAATAACAATATGAATTATTGTTGTAGATTTCCATAATTCATATATATATATTAGTGAAATAAAAGTAGAAATAAAATAGTATGGTCAATTTCTTAATAGAATGAGATGGACATCGTTGATAAGTAGAATACGCAAGCAGGATTAAAATGTCAATGATAATTTGTATCCAATTTGAAATTGATCAAATTCGTGCAATATTTCTATAACATTTAATGGTATATAGATCACACGTACCTTTTCCTTTATATGGGCTTGATCTAGTGCTGCCCAAAGCTTTTCATCTGTATACTTGCCAAAAGGATCTAGATTATACCTGTGGAGATACACCATGCCATTGTTATGTTATAAGAACGATAAAATAGTGAGAGTAACAGACCAGTAGGTGACACAATGGATAAAGAATTCAACTTTCACTACTAGGATCCGATTTCAGTTGGGACAAAGAAAAAACGACATGTATTCAAGTTGCCTCTTACATGAGCCTATTTGTTCTACATTAAATTCGACTTAGATATCAAAATGAGGTATATTGATTTTTCAAATTCCACTGCCTGTAAGTATTGCTGAAAGCTAACGACATCTCATGAAAATTGCTTCAACAGTGAAAACAAATTATTGTAGTTACATACAGCAATGGTTGTCAAATAGTACAGAATCTGAGAACTGACAAAACGGACGGAAAAATATTATGTCGAACTTATATGGAATATTCATTCACTGCATACTTACCTCAATGTACCAGCGAACAACACAGGGTCTTGCGGAATTGATGACAGCTTTGAGCGCAGGAGTTTCTTAGATATAGTTCTAATGTCAATGTCATCAATGTACACGTGACCCTCCGATAGATCCGACAATCGAAATAATGCGGCAGTCAAGGAGGATTTCCCTAATAATGTAAAACTACGCATGTCTTTAACTAGCATTTGAAGCAATGTAATCTACAGAGTTGAAGTCGAACAGACGTGCTAACATCCCTTACCGGTCATAAAAGATTTAGAACATACGTCAATAACCTTATTTGACAAACGGTATGAATCTCATCACAAGCAAACTGTATTTTACTCCTCAATATCAAGCAATCGGTTTTACTGCTTACATTATGAATACATGTACTTCGATGTACAGCATAAGTCTCATGAAGTCGCCTTAAAGTTCAACTATCTACACTATCTGATTTGTATATCTGAAACTATGTTCTTAAAAAGGAATAATTTAAACAATTTAAAACATTACAGTTTGGGGAACAAAGACACATGAATAAAGGATTGCACTTTAAATATAAACAAATTCAACGGAAACACGTAATGGAATATCAAAGACTACCATAACATAAAAATCGCGTAATCATTTAAAAAATAATATTTACAATTTTAGAATTTCGTCAGCGGTAATATTAAATTAAACTTTGAATCTGAATTAACGATGCAGATAGAGTTTGAGATACACTAAACAATACAAGTAGCAATCTTTCTTCTACTTCTCATTTCCTTTTTTGTTAATAAGTAAGCGATGTGAATTTGTTTCTCAACAAAATGAGGTCATTGGCTGGAAACCTGTTTTACTGCTTACATTATGAATACATGTACTTCGATGTACAGCATAAGTCTCATGAAGTCGCCTTAAAGTTCAACTATCTACACTATCTGATTTGCATATCTGAAACTATGTTCTTAAAAATGAATAATTTAAACAATTTAAAACATTACAGTTTGGGGAACAAAGACACATGAATTATGGATTGCACTTTAAATATAAACAAATTCAACGGAAACACACAATGGAATATCAAAGACTACCATAACATAAAAATCGCGTAATCATTTAAAAAATAATATTTACAATTTTAGAATTTCGTCAGCGGTAATATTAAATTAAACTTTGAATCTGAATTAACGATGCAGATAGAGTTTGAGGTACACTAAACAATACAAGTAGCAATCTTTCTTCTACTTCTCATTTCCTTTTTTGTTAATAAGTAAGCGATGTGAATTTGTTTCTCAACAAAATGAGGTCATTGGCTGGAAACCTGTCTTACCTGCCCCCGTACGTCCGACAATGCCAACCTTTTGTTTGGGTAAAATATCAAAACTTATGTTTTTAAGTACCGGATCCATGTCGCGTCTATATTTCATCAATACATTTGAAAATTTTATTCTTCCTTTGGTTGCCCATTTTTCTTCTATCCGAGAATCTCCAGTTTCCTTTTCTACTTCTAGGCTCTAAAATGACAAGATGCTCGTTATATTTAGGTGTTGACAGAGGCGCCTCCTTTAAAAAGATAATTGTTATGTAGAAATATGTCCACCAACATATCTTTAAAAATACATTTTAACATCATTAGAAGGAAATATTATTATTTAAGATAAACTTTAGTATATATCAAAACAGGGCGGTCGAAATGCTCCTTTGCATGCACACGTATACAGGATAAACGAAATACCAAAGATATTGGAAGTTAAAAGTATCATAAACGTCGAGAAGATTCGTAAAGGTATTTATATTTGTTTTATTTAATGATATGCTTTATTCTGACTGCGGTAAACGACAAAGACAGAATAGGTTATCTGGAAGGAAAATCTTATCAAGTGTCTTTACTTCATACTCATATAACCGTTCAATAGATGTAAATCTGGCCTCCACTTCATTCACCATGCGGGTGCTGAATTGGACAATTGTGGTCAACTAAAATTACATAATCATAAAACATTTTAGACAAAAAATGCTCGTTAATGAAATAGATGCATATTTTAAAGTTGAATCAGTCACGCACTTAACAAGCAAAAGAAAGGCGGAAACTGGCGGTCGAATTGATATATAAGCATGAATTTGGAAATATGTTCCCTTGTAATCCCTGATACAAGAATGGAATTGAAAGAATATTTCAGGCGGTGATACTTTTATGACAGGTACAAAAAGAGAATAACAAGATATCGTCAAAAGTGCACTTGAAAATATATAAAAAGATTTATCGGATAATTGGAAACAGCTACTGAATATTAAAGGCCTTCTACATATTGGAAAACTCATATTAGGGATATTGAAATCATCACGTTGAACGTCATAAAAGATACATTCATCAGTCTGAAAATATCCTTTGTGGCGATACTTTAACAGATTTTTTTCGGGTTTAACAACATTGGATAACATATTAAAACTAAATCAGATAGAAAATTATTTCAGAAACTGCAGATTTGTAAACGATTTAAAATGATACTAACATTAATAGACATGGTCAGTGACAGAGCAGCTAAAGCTGGCGAGAGAGTGCCTTTGGTGGCCAGAACAATCACAGTGGTAACGATTGCTAGAATAGAGCCTCCAAGATCAATTCTTAGACCCATCCATCTGACACACGATTCAAACAGGAATAATCCCACCGAGGTGTTGTCCGAATACTCTTTACATCTGCGATTGGGAGATATAAAGATATACATTTCAATTACGACATAAATACTCATTGCTACATGTGCTACATCGATAATACGAAGCATACTCTCAGGATATTAAGTTCAATCAAGAATAGAGAATTCACATTTGTTTGGTCTTTGCTTATGTCTTAACAAAGCAGGCAAAATTTTGGACAAAGCTTGTTGAAATGTTTTCTTATGCGATATTTATCTATAATGAATTAATCGAATCATGCTCATTTCAAATTTAACAACATTATACTTCTGATATGCATATTTAAGAAACACGTGCGATACTAGAGTTTGTAATATGAGACTTTATATATCGATTAAAATTCTATTTAACAAGCGTTATAAAAATATGATTTGTTGGAATTCTTGAACTTAAACTAAACACAACGCATTTATGTTCAGATATCTATTTTTCAAACATAACGTATATGGCTATTATTCCACAAGAGTGGAAGGTAGAAATTTAGCAGCATTAAATAACTAAATTATGTTTGGAAATATAGAATGTACAAAGCTTCATCGAGGTCAAGCTTACCTTTCCATAAAATTATTTTCCTGTGCGAATGAAACAATGGTACTCAAGCCGTTGCAAGATGTGTTAACATGGCTTAAAAGTGGCGACCTTACGACATTTTCTAGTCTTTTAAGATTTCGGATTGGCACAGTTGCTATAGTTTTGACAATATAGACAAACACTACTACAGGAATAACCACAATGAGATAGCTAGGAAAATTGTAGGCAGTAGAGACAAGGGAGGCAATTATAAGGAACAGGGCTTGTAGTAGATTATCCGTCAAATTTGGGATGAATATGTCAGCTGCAAAAGAATTAAAAACAGATCAACATCAGACTTTATCGTCATACGTTATACAATATTGATATAGCATTACATCGGTAGCCCATTAGTTCCAAAGCAATACATTTTTTGTTTAAAGGATGACTTAAACATACACTATATCATTACGTTAATTGACGATTATCAGGCCAGGTTCCAAAATCACTGTTTTGTCATTAGTAATCCTAAGAACATTTGTCATAAAATCATTTACATCATAAATTGATATCTGATTCTTTGTCACCTGGAAAATGTACTGACCATCTTCTACATCCCTCGAAAAACGATTAAGAATTCTGCCTGTTGGATTGACGTCAAAGTACTGCATTGGTGCACTCATCACTCTCCCTACGACCGTATTGTGTAGGTTAACAGACGCTCTTATCATAACCTGAATGATGCATAAAAGTATGCATTTTAGAAGTGTTATGTTTCTTCATACGTGTATGTTACATAATTTAATCGTTGCTGTAATGTAGAAGAGACATAATCATTAGCACATCCACATGTCTGATATTAAATATAAGACAAACATCAGTTCAAAAAACGTAAGATGCAATCGAAGTATTATTTTCGATAAAAGTAAATCTTAGCAATAGGACGTCATTCGGATATTACTATAAAACCATTTCCGAGAACCTAATATATAAGATAAATGAAATGAGAGTTAATTAAGGTATGCTTACGTTTTAGTTATTGTTTGTAATGAGACCATAACAAACATGCTTTATAGGTAATGGTTATACATTTGTTTAGAGGTTTTTTGTTTGATATCTCAGTAAATACTACTTACCACTGCCGATACCACACCTTTCACTACAGCTAGTCCAGCTATCCCTGCAGTCGTGGCAATATAAACAATCAAGTACCAGTCCGTATCCTCCATCGACTCTTCTATTTCGAAATAGAGTGATATGTTCGAAGGTGGTGTTGTTGGTGTTGAGACACTTTCAGACAATGAGAAATTGGCATCTGTTGTATTACATTCCACAAGAAATATCCCTTGCACGTCGGTTGTCTGAAAGTAGATTCAATAAGTATTACGACACCAGTTTAATCTTACTTAAAATACACATAAACGCAGAAGTAGTAGAAGCAGTGTTAAACGTAGCAGTAGTAGTGGGAAAAGTAGTAGTAGCAGCAGCAGCAGTAGTAGTAGTAGTAGTAGTAGTAGTAGTAGTAGTAGTAGTAGCAGTAGTGGCAGTAGTAGTGGCAGTAGTAGTAGTAGTAGTAGTAGTAGTAGTAGTAGTAGTAGTAGTAGTAGTAGTAGTAGTAGTGTAGTAGTAGTAGCGGGAGTAGTGAGAGTAGTAGTAGTAGTAGTAGTAGTAGTAGTAGTAGTAGTAGTAGTAGTAGTGGTGGTGGTGGTGGTGGTGGTGGTGGTGGTGGTGGTGGTGGTGGTGGTGGTGGTGGTGGTGGTAGTAGTAGTAGTAGTAGTAGTAGTAGTGGTGATGGTAGTAGTGGTAGTAGTAGTGGTGGTGGTGGTTGTAGTAATAGTGGTAGTAATTGTAGTAGTAGTAGTGGTAGTAGTAGTAATAGTAGTAGTAGCAGCAGCAGCAGTAGTAGTAGTAGTAGTAGTAGTAGTAGTAGTAGTAGTAGTAGTAGTAGTAGTAGTAGTAGTAGTAGCAGTAGTAGTAGTGATAGTAGTAGTAGTTGTAGTAGTAGTAGTAGCAGTAGTAGTAGTAGTAGTATCAGTTTTAGTAGTAGTAGTAGTAGTAGTAGTAGTAGTAGTAGTAGTAGTAGTAGTAGTAGTAGTAGTAGTAGTAGTAGTAGTAGCAGTAGTAGTAGCAGTAGTAGTAGAAGTAGTAGTAGTAGCAGCAGTAGCAGAAGTAGTAGTAATATCAGTTTTAGTAGTAGTAGTAGTAGTGGTGGTGGTGGTGGTGGTGGTGGTGGTGGTGGTGGTGGTAGTAGTAGAAGTAGTAGTAGTATCAGTTTTAGTAGTAGTAGTAGTAGTAGTAGTAGTAGTAGTAGTAGTAGTAGTAGTAGTGGTGGTGGTGGTGGTGGTGGTGGTGGTGGTGGTGGTGGTGGTGGTGGTAGTTGTAGTAATAGTGGTAGTAATTGTAGTAGTAGTAGTAGTGGTAGTAGTAGTAATAGTAGTAGTAGCAGCAGCAGTAGTAGTAGTAGTATTAGTAGTAGTAGTAGCAGCAGCAGTAGAAGTAGTAGTAATAGTATCAGTTTTAGTAGTAGTAGTAGTAGTAGTAGTAGTAGTAGTGGTGGTGGTGGTGGTGGTGGTGGTGGTGGTGGTAGGTGTAGTAATAGTGGTAGTAATTGTAGTAGTAGTAGTAGTGGTAGTAGTAGTAGTATTTGCAGTAGTAGTAGAAGTAATAATAGCAGTAGTAGTTGTGGTGGTGGTGGTAGTAGTAGTAGTAGTAGTGGTGGTGGTGGTGGTGGTGGTTGTGGGGGTAGTGGTAGTAGTAGTGGTGGTGGTGGTAGTAGTAGTAGTTGTTGTAGTAATAGTGGTAGTATGTAGTCACTGTATTTGTGGAAAGGTTAGTGTTCACGATGAGGTAGCTGATGCATTTTAGTTGTTGAAATCATATTATATTCGAACTCAACATACTGTTCTTTGAATCCAAATTCCAAGCCACCATTCACTGAATGCGACCGCAGATATGACAAGAACATAGAGCAACAACACAAAGGCTGCCACTGCCTTGCCTCCTGCTTCTCGAATGTAGTTTAAATAAGCGTCCACGCTGATATCGCCAGCTTTTGATGTTTCTCTATCCGTCAGAATACCTGCAGAACACAAAATGGTGATATATATGATATATATATTTATTTTTATATATGTTAAGCAATCTATACTTGTTTCTAATTACAACTTCACCAATGAACACAAGGGATATGTATATGCAAAATCGACTTTGTTGCGGACTTCTGGGCACTAATGGCATTACGAATACCTGATGGTAACTACAAAAGCAGAGAGATTATGAATGTATTCCTATAAAACTTCAGCACTGAATAACAACTGATAAAATTTCAACACACATACCTTTTTCATATCTGTTGTAATAGTTTTTCGATTCATTATAAACTGCCCTTTGCTCTTTCATGGTTGTATCAAACGATTTATCCGGATCTGTTCTGCCTTCATCTGGTGTTTTCTCGTCTGTAATTAACAATCCATATTGAATAAAAATAAGATATGTATGTAACAGAACATCGACAATCTTATTAATTCATTTTCATAGGAGCTTCAAACATTGAAGATAATTGGTATTGTAACTCGACGACAAACGCTACATACACAGCTGTGGTGTGGTGGGATTCCGTAAGCTTGAACATTGAGATGTGGAAACTATGAAAGAATTGGCAATCGAGGAACGCCTAATTCGTCAGTTATCTAAAATTCTATAATCATTATATTTCGCGTCAAGTTTGGGATAAACCGCATTGATATTTTATTTAGATGACTAACAAGCACAGCAATCGTTAGTGGAAACTATGTATCGATGATTTCATGAACAAGCGATCCGTTGTGTTGCTAGCCATAATATTTTATACTAATTGATATAGTTTAACATGTGCATGCACTAGTCACACCTGAAACACAACCCGTAAAAAGCCTCGTTTAATATATCTTACAATATCTTACATTGCACTGCCTTCAAGGTAAAAACTTTTTCATTTCATATTACCAATATCGGTGCTGTCCTCGTTGCAATTAAATTGTTTCATCAGTTTTGTGTAATGTCCGTTTTTGGTAAACAGGCTCTCATGGGTTCCATACTCAATTATTTGACCATCGTCCATAACATATATTTCATCGCAGTGTTTTAAATACTGAAAAATACAATTATTATATAACCATTTAAGTTACAAATATGTTTTGTCGTCAACGTTTAGTAGAGAGATACATTCCTTATTTGTTTTTATAAATATACGAATTTTACTAGTTAATTAATACAGTATTTGAAAAGAAGAATAAAATGTCATTTTTTATGAATCTCAAATGAGTTTTCATAATCGTATACAATAAAACAAAGCAATTAAATTGACAAAAATGTATTTTTAATATATTATGTTGTCTTTGATTGAGTGCTTTGATAAATATCATTATGAAGTTTTGATCGTGAGGGATGAGTTTACCTGAAGTTGGTGAGTTACCAACACCACGGTCTTATTCTTCAACACTTTATCAATACAGCGGTGAAACAAATGCTGTCCGACCTGAACGTCAACTGCGGAGAGCGGGTCGTCAAGGAGGTAAATGTCTTTTTTACTATAAACAGCTCGTGCCAGGCTCACACGTTGTTTCTGACCTCCACTAATGTTTATTCCCCTATCACCAATCTAACACAACATGAATATAGTCTCACACGCTGTTTCTGGTCTTAACTAAGATTTATCCCCTTTATTGCCAATATAAAACAGATTATGAACAAAGAGAAATAACCACCATTACATTTTACGGTTTTGGTTGTCATGGGAATGTTTCACATGAATGGGAACGAGTTCGAATCGTACTTGTAGATATAATTTTTTTTTATTCAGAAAACAGCATTGACGTTGGAAAGGAATGGTACATTTATTTTTAATATAAGTATATCCTTTATACAACGTTTCCGGTTGTGATTAGAATACATTCAAATCTTAACATAGTTTTGAGCATCGGATTATACAAATCTTAGAAATGAAATTGATATTACTGGATAGCCCAGAAGTTATCGCATTTAGTACAGTGATGCTAAATATTTTGGTGTATTGTGTTCGGGGTCTGAAGATGTAGATAGAATGGATGTTACAATCTGTACTTTCGTTTCAGAAAATGAAATTAATCATTCTTACAGTCATTAAACCAACTAATGTGCTTCTGTAATTGTGTTGTCAACGTGCTGGAAAAACGCCTATATGTAGTACATTTGAAATTGCAATGTTAGTATTTCCTTTTACCTCTGTCATGTCACCATTTGCAAGTATTTTGAGATCTGGATCCAAACTGCAGGCGTGCAAAACCTTATTGTACCTACACAGAAATTGATCAACAATCAGATATATATAAACAATATTGTATAACAACTTTCACTGGTAGGTTAAGATATTTGGTCATTTTAAAATTGGACCATTGCCAGGTGGTGCTTAACATATGATATACTGAATAGTTGATAATTTAACTTATTTATCAAATTCAATAAAACATATTAGGAATGATGTCAATAAAATGTGATCTCGAAAAGAAATTCTAAAGAAATATGAAAGTCGGGAAAAAAAAGAAAAAAAAAAACTTTGTCGATGACATACCATTCTCGTTTATAGGGTCTTCCGAAAAGAACATTTTCTCGTAATGTTCCGTTAAATATCCAGGCCTGTTGGGCAGCATACGCCACGGAACCAGCAACAGCAAGATGACCAGAAAGCAGAGGCATCTGTCGTTAAAGGAAACGATGGAGGAGAATAGGCGTTTGATGTTCGTTGTCACGTTCAGACATGTACATTTATTTCAAAATCATTTCATTTAATGGATGGAAATTGCACTCATTAAATTTGGACTTGTGATCAAGAATGATTTTGTAAAAACCTGATTTACTCGGGACGGGGTAGTTATTGTCCATTCGTGTTCATTACAACATTTTAACAAAGGTTTTGCTTTCAATTGCTGTCTTTAACTACTTCTTGTTACTGTTGCACGTTATGTATAATTTGTCATTTTAAGCAGGTTTCATTCGACCTATGATACCTTGAAACATATGGATCACATTCAGGTTGGGCATAATATACATTATGAATATAGAATGCCCTGATTACTCAAAACATAGCATGTGGAAATTGGTTTGATTATACCTCATTAAAGAACTGTTTTCTAACAAATATGAAGCTTAAATATTTTTTCTTTTCTTACCCTCCCAATCAATGCTTGCAACAAGGACGATTTTCCACTGCCGACGGCTCCGCATATTCCAATGTGTTTACCCTGAATACGAAAGATGCATTCCAATTGGTTGTAATAACATAAATAGTAGGAAATCATGAAGGGAATACGTATAACATCAAGATTGAATGTTATAAACAATAATATTAGTAATTATTTGGTGACATTTCGATGACTACACGTTCATGCTCTGTAATCTATTGACGTTACCAACCTAGAAATATATCCAGTTGTATCATATAGCTATATAAACGGCAATTAGTAACAGCTGCATTGTATTATTCCATTTTAGGTTAAAAGAATTGTGGTATTCAAAAGTATAAAATGCAATACACACTTTCGACTAAAAGTGAGATTTTTGCATATGTTGTATGTTGAAAAGTGTCACTTGTTTACAGAGATATCTTGGTAATTAGCAGTGAATGGCTAACAAATAAAATGCAGAAAATATTCGCAGTTATGATAAACTGAAGCCAAATCACAATGGTAGTTATGCATATTTGATATTTGTTAGCTATCTTCACTATTATCACCTTTGTAACTGTCATGCTGATGTTCCGGAATACTAGTAATTGAGTAGAGGTTAGGTCAATCGGTTCTATACAAAACAAAGAGGAATTAACAATTAATTTACAAACATCTTACATCAGAGGAAACATATCGTACAAAAAATGAAAAACTTCGAATTACATTTTGTAACGCATTGTATGGATGTTGTAGGAAGAGGCTACATACCATTACATAGCATTGTAAAATTCATATGCATTACCAAAGCCTTCAGATTAGTTCATAAAACTATTACAGAACATACCAGTGGTATCCTCAAACATGGGGTTATCCTGTGACGTGTTATTGTTCTCAGTACCCCACATTAAAACGGTATCCCGGAGCTCAATATCATTGTTTGGATTGACGACTTTTCGATTTGGCGGCTCGAATTCATCTTCCAGCATAAACCGCTAATTTGTTGATAAAACACGAACAGATAAAAGCATTGGTCGTCAGTCTTTACTTTTTTCGTGAGTGTAAGTGATATTTTTTTTTATTAGTTTTGTTCAGTTTTTGCAATAGTTCCACATTAATATTTTTATCATTTTTCTAATGAATAGTTTTTGTTGCTGTTTTTGAACAGAGGAATTTTGCATAACATATCGAAACATTGCTTCAGGTCAACTTATTACAAATAATGTAATTTATTCGATGAAATAAACAATTGCACTTCTAAAGAGGATAAGTAAAAACAGCGTTTCATAAAAATCATCATCAATGGTTGGGTACTACCTTTATTCTCTCAAAACTGATCATTGTTTCTCCAAATATACGACCAGCGTACGGAACATAAGCAACAACAATCCTCAGAAACGCAAGGGTGGCAACGATAGAAAAGCCCTGTAACACAGACGATACTATAACTAATAAAGCGATTTCTTCAAAGTATATAATATATATAAACTCTCTCTCTCTCTCTCTCTCTCTCTCTCTCTCTCTCTCTCTCTCTCTCTCTCTCTCTCTCTCTCTCTCTCTCTCTCTCTCTCTCTCTCTCTCTCTCTCTCTCCCTCCTGTCTCCCTCTATCTTCCTCTCTGTATGTCCGTCTGTCTGTCTTTTCTCTCTCCTCTCTCTCTCTTTCTCTCCTACTATGTCTGTTTGTGGGGGTGGGGGGGGGTGGGTGGGTGTGTGAGGGTGTGTGTGTGTGTGGGTGTGGGTGTGTGTCTTTCTATATATATATATATATATATATATATATATATAATACATGATGTATATATGTTTTCACGTTTGAAAAAAGAATGACCGGATCGAATCGGTATGTATTCTTCACACCTATGACATACAAATGATGATACATAAGACACAATGGAATGGCTTTTTTTCTAGAAATTCGGAATACAACATAGTAGAGCCAAAAAATGGCATTATAAAACTGTGCCTTCCTTCTGAGACTCTTGGTGATACCTATGATGGAAATGAGAGGCAGAGCAGATGGGAAATTATCTTTATGAGATATGTAACTTCATAGCAGGTCGAAATAAATAGTAATAAGAGATGAACTCAATATGCTAGAAAAAAACCCAAAATGTCCTTACCGTCGATGCTGTCAGTTCATTTCCTGCATTTACATATGCAGATATAGTAGCCACAGTAGCGAGTGATGGAGTGATCGGAATTATGGCATTGGATATTAGATTTAATATTGACATCTGCAAGAGTGGTTTAGTCTCGCTGTTTCTAATATCTGTAGAAATTTTCAAAAAATATCTTGTGAAAATATTAACTTTTAAAAAATAACAATTGAAAATAATGTAGTTTTAAAAATTATTGAAAATATTGAAATCAAGAAAAATAATCGATTGCTTTTAGTGAGTATATATATATATCTTGATAGCCAAAACAAAACAAACCATTTATGATGTGACTTTTATCAAAGAAACGTTAATCATTACAAAAGTAAATATATTTTTTTCTTTTTTTATTATCATGTTTATTGTTATTTTGCAAATGAGAATATGCAGCTTAACCTATTATAGATTTCTTAAACGATTCCTCCCAGGCATACATTTTTATCAACTTCATGCTAGAGAGAACTTCATTCATTTTCCGTATCTGTCAAGAAAAAGATAAAAGCAAGAAATCATATGCTAATGATGATTGGTGAGGTTTTTGTTGTACGTGTACTTCTGATATTGCCAGACACCAGATTAAAAAATTCCATTAAGAAGAAGACAGAGTTATCAACAGTTCTTGTCGAAAGGTTGATTAGAAATAGATATCACTGCTATATAAGAAAACCATTTGTTCTGTTTTTGGTTATGTATACATCATTAATGTATTTTCGTTTGTCCAAAATGAACGATTATTTTTTTATAATTTCTATCACCGCTCCTGTTCAAATGTCACTTCTAACAGTACATTGACAGTACTTACCCGTACATCTGTCCATACCAACGTCCTTCGTCTGAGATATGATATAATTTCAATTAAGATGACCTAGATGTTAAAAAAATAGCGGATTGAAAGTAATAAATAATTAAATGTGACTCTTCTACCATTCATAAATGTTATCCTTATATAGTCAGTAAATGTATCGTTGACTTTGTTCTTAAGAAAATTATCATTCCAAGAGGAAGCAAAAATCAAAGCCAATGTAGTGTAAGTTTCGCCCTCGTGAAAAGGAATGTTTTCGCATACTTTCCCCACCTAAAACCAATAGCGATGTTTTAACCTTTCTAGACCTTATTAATTACCTTGGATCATACGTAGTTTCTGGTCAAGGGATACTAAGTATGAATGTCAGGGTTATGTCAGTATATCTTCGCTCTATGAAGAGCTTTGTTAATCATACCAACCTTAGTGAAATGATCAAGTTTTAACTATAATTGATAAACAAAAAATACAATGTCATACACTTAACTGTATATCCACGAGGTGATCACTTTAATCACTTTTATGGTTAATTAATGAAATTGCATGTATGAAGTTATATAAAAGATTGAAAAAGAATTGCCGTATGATCACCACGAAAAATAGATTAATAATCATTATTCCAAATCCACATAATTCAATATCATGAGCACATTGTAATATTAAGGATCGTTATTCATCCTACATTGCGTTGACATATAAATTTCAAATTTTGCAAAATTATTTTGGATTTGTTTTCATCGAGCAACCAGTGAAAACATTTTTATTGCATGACCATTTGACATAGAATAAAGCATCTTTCACACAATCAACCAATCCATTAATTTAATAATTATCTCGCTCAGTAACTTTGGTCGGACAAATACAAAACCAAGAGAAAAATACAAAACAAAACATGCCATTTAATGGCGTATGAATAACACTGACATCGTCATTTAGGTATGTAATCAATACATCTGGCATCTTACCTGGATGATATAAAACACGATAAAAGTCGCAAGGGCTACGAAGCCCCATAGGCCTATAAGGTGATAGATATAGGCAGTTCCAATGATCAGAAAAACGGGCAAGGTTATTAGGTAAACGACAAGGGGAGTGTTAAGATACATCCGCAAGGCGTCAGACCCATATATTGTTATAACCTGAAACAAAATAGTGTATTTAGTGGTTAATGAGGTCAATAATGCATTATCTTTGAGCAATAAGGTCACGAGACTAAATATAGACTCTAGATAATTAAGTGAATGGTTATCTATTTCATTCATAGCATGACACGGAAACCATATATTTGTCTTGAATGTTTTAAAGCCAACTTTGTTGTTTATATATATGAAATATATATGTAATTTCTGAATAATTTTTAAAACAATTGGTATAAAAAGAAGTAATGACATGATGTTTTATAAGTCACAATGCCGTTATTTTACAGCGCCTCTAACACAGACCAATAATACATACTTCTGACACAATCTTCCCATTCATGTTCTTCAACTTTAGTAGTTTTTTGAATGTCATTCCAAGAACTGCTGCTCGAAACCTGATTCCTGTAAATACACGATTGTAAAGTTATATATATATGTATATATCCCAAACAACAAAATTGCAATAACATTTTAGTATGAAACGTTTCACGATGAATTCTTTCCATTCGTTCGTTGACGCTAATATATATATATATTTATATTCTTTTTTGTATTCATCTACTTAATTTGTAGGTAGATGCACCGGTAGACAGATGTAGATGGACATATTGAACTATAATGTTATGACCCCTTATAGATCATAGTTAAATCTTTGATTTACTTGATGCTGGATTTACAAGTTTTGACAGCAACATTTAGCACTCATAAAATCCTTGATCGACGACACTTAATTTATTTTTAGGATACGTGTATTAATTACCACATTTCTACAGTAAATGCTATTTAGTAATTTTGGGATACCCTCAATGCCAAAAAAATGCAAGAGCATTGCTTACCAATTAATCATTATTCACTAGTATAGTAAAATGCATATTTTGGGGTTTGAATTATTTCAAATATCATTTACCTGTTTGTGTCCCATAAAAGAGGACAAAGGTATATAGACAAGACCTTAGAAAATGTCCAATAATGGATACTACTGATATTCCAATGACGAACGACAATGATGAATCCGCGCCTTCTATATACCGAATAATAACAACGGTGATGTAACCCTGGAGGAAAAACAAAGAAAATATACATAATAAATGCCTAAAATATAGAAACCAAAATCGTCTCATAATATAGAATTATAATAGATTTCAAAATAATTTACTGAGAATTTGGCAAATTGGGAATATATAACTTCTCTGTGAATCAGGCGATATGAAATGAAAATTCGCGAGAGTTTCATATCATACGATATAGATACTTATGTAAGATTCTACATATGTAAATATTTTTCGAAACATTTTTCAAGGCTGTGGAAACGCACAACTATCTAAAAACCATCGTGTATACAACGATCGCACATTGTCCACACCCACCCACCATACAGTATCTAGCACACAACTAAGCAATATGATCCCACCTTTTTGTGCAGTTGGTTAATTTTACAGATAAAACTCGTGTAATCATAGTTAAATAGTGATTATATAAACATCAAATATGATCGGTGATTACAAAGGTCATTTGAGTTAAGCAGTTATCAAAATACGACCGGACGCTGCGTTGATTAATCTCTTTAATATAAAGTTTCACACCACAGAGAGTAAAACGGCCACCATTATGTCTCAGACAACAAAAGCTGTGTTTCCCGTGTAAAAAAACACAACACTTAAAATGAATATGATAATATATCTTTATCAACAACACTCTTAATCGCAGGTGTGTAGAACTGTTAAGTCTGTACCTGATATAACCGGAATTTTAAGACATTAAATGCACCACATAAAATGGTTTATTTATCTATACATGTGATAAAATTGCTGCAACAGTATATTTGGTTGACAATTGAAACAAGCAAAATAGCACAGACAATACATCACCAATGACTCGTGATACTCACCGTCAAAAGAAATGTCACCACGGCACTTAAACACAGTGAAATAACAGCAACTGAAAGTCGAAGCCATATGAACTTCAACCATACCCTCAGAAGTGAACTTTTTTGTCGCCCAAATTTCTGTAGTTCATCTATCCATATTGATTCTAATCTGGAAAAAACAAGGTGATATAATCATCTTTCAGAGTGACAAAACAAAGATTTTGCACATTTTTTTTCTAAAAATAAAAATAATTTTTGATAGGCTGAGGTATACTTTGTTTGCCTTTGTGGGTGGTAATTCTTTTGTACCGTGTTCATGTTCTATTCTTAACAATTTGTTTAGGATATTTCTCTAAAAGAAACATATCGGATCTAAATGACATTTATTTTATTAAAAGAAAAAAATGTTAACTATTTACAAAGTACGATAAAAACCGAAAAATGTTCTGTTTCTAAATTCTTAATTCATTTTTCACGCTATTATAAAGGCTACCGTTTTTATGCCACTGAAAAAAGAAAAGATTTTAATGATCTTTGATATTCAAAAGAGATATATAGATGTTTTATACTGTTATTGAAATTACATCTTATTCTTTTGAATGTGTGTTTAACGTTAATTAGCAGCGTTAAATGTATACTAAGACACGTGACTTTTTAAAGTTAAATGATAATCAATACCATTTCATAATCATCTTTTTTTCATTAATTTATCGACATTCTGATTTTGAACCTTTCCGTGTTGATGTCACATGACTCCAACTCTGAACATGTCCAAACATCCTTCTCTCTGATTTCATTTTTTCTATCTTTAAAGAGCTTCAGGACAAGTGGAGTCAGCCATCCTAGTGTCATGTAGGACAGAAGTCCCGCTTCATTGACAGGGATACGTTCATTGCTGAAAATCAGTTAAAAAGCAATAAATGAGTCCTATACATTTTGATTTGAAAGTAGTATAATTTATGATCAGTAATTTGTCTTTTTTCACTACCAACTGAATTCTTGTTATCATAGGAATTTCTGTACTTTAAATCAATTTAATAAAAATTTCATATTAAGCATTTGTCCTCAAAGGGACCTCCTATTTTCATAACATTATATTGCATCCAAACACTGCCGGGTTCATAATATCCTGTGGAAAATCATTCGTGGAACGAAACAATACTGTCATTAAAACACATTAACCGTTATAGACAAATTCGTATCAAGTATATTCATTTGGTTGGAAAATAGTAGGCTATTTACATGAGTAGAAAAAATCTGCACTGGGAAACGACAGAATGTTCTGAAATTGGAATATTCTTTATACTGATTTACTTATTTAAAAGCTAGAAATATAAACTCATTTTATAGATTGTGACAATCATAGGTTAGTCAGTTGCCGAACTCGGTCAATGATGAGATTGAAAACATTGACTCATATCCCAGAAACATACATAATGTCCCATATTTAGCTCTGCACACATAATATATAATAACATCAAAAACAATAACAACATGTCAACATAATCCTAACCAAAGGCTAAAAGCGACAAAACAAGAGCATAAAAAGACAAAGGAACTATCGAAATTAACAATCAGTAAAACAAGACATTGTGGTCCGTCAACTTTTTCAAGATACAATTATTAATTGTGATTCATCACAGATTTAAAAAGAGTATGCTGTGAAACAAATAAGAGGATACCCAAAGATAAGTACAAGAAGAATAAGAAGAAGTGTTCCGGAAGGGTAAGCGTAATTTGATTCCTCGACGGCACTCGACATGATAAGCTTTGTCAGTGCTAATATCATGTTTTCAGATGGAAACAGTGTTAAGAACTGAACAACTAGACAACGAGATCATAATGACGACAGTTATCATACCAAATGATCGCTATCAACCTGCATGTATCAAAACACCATGTTGTATATTTATGTGTTGTGGGCACCTAATGTCTTAACAAGAAAACTCAAACATGTAAAATGGCAATGAGATCATGTCACTAGAGCCATTGGTCCCTTTGCATTCATAAGGAGTAAGTCTCAATGCACATTAACGTTAAGGTGGCACAAATTTAACAAAAAAAAAGGTATCAAGAAACGTCTTAGGTCTTAGAAATCAGATTGCCTCAAAGTCAATTAACTACATAAACTATGTTAGAATATTTAAATCTACATCATTTAAATCAAAGATTCTCCTTTAAAGTGAAATTCGATATCATCACTTTTGACCACTATAACTGCGCTTATTGCAAATGAAATATAAAAATCATAATTACACTTATTAGATATATGCACATGAATTGCAGATACATTACTTTTGTGCCCTGTTCAAAATATTCGCCTTCTCCGAATTCTTAGCAAATATGAGCTTATCAACAAGCTTCCAGAAACAATCCATGACCACTGCCCATACCACCGTCCTAAACCATTGTCTGCGAGATATTCGTTGATTGATGTTTTTATTAAACAGCTTTAACTACATTTACACCTGTGGATTATGGGCCACTTAATAATGGAGATACTTGAATGATACTGTTTAATATTGAATATCACATTATAGATAAAAATATCTTTGTTGTAAGATTATTACTTTAGAAATGATGTGTTTTAAACCAACGCTCAGGTGACAGCTTGGTTGTTTACGTATATTTGACGAATCTGAATACATGTTACATATATAAACTCATAACGATCACATCACTGTGCTACACTCCATTGGTTACAAGTACGAAGCTTCTTTTTACCTTGACATTTCTGTCCTAGATTTCAATCTAAAAACATGGTAATAATCCTACTTTTTCCACCTTAGTCATTGTGTTTATTTTTCAAATACAGCTCTACAGGACATGTCTGTACTTTATTTACAAGACACATAATAGTCATGTCTTTTTTTCGAGCTTTAAGTTCTGTACAACAAGGTAAATGCGAAAACAACCTATGCATATTGCTTAACACACGGGGATGAACGCACTTCCTTTAACTTATAACTAATATCTGATACAATACATGTGCATACATCTTGATCAGATGAATGGTAATTCATTACAACCCCATGGATTTTACCTATGCGTCTTTGAGAAACAACAAATTAAGTACAAGAAGGTTTAGAAATTGATGCTATGACAATACAAATGAATGTGAACTAAACCTAGTTGTGATTACATATAAGATCTTGTAGAACCGATTTTCATTTATCAACAAAAGTGATTAAGTGGAGCCTGTAATGCTTTAAATCTTGATTGATGACCATCGAAATATAATGAGCTGTAAACATGATTGTGTATAAGTAATATTATGAGGTAAATATGAACTACAATTTTCGAAATACTTTTGTTTATGCGATATTTTGGTGTAAATTTGGGCCATTTATATAAATATAATATTATGGTGTAAATTCGGGTCATTATTATATACATGATATATTGGTGTAAATTTGGAACGTTTGTTATATATATAATATCATGTTTAATGCTTAAAACGCCATAGATACGCGAGAGTCCGACTGCGCATTTCAATACCGTAGATAACACCAAAATCACCAAATCACCTGAATAATCGATAGCGCTATGCCATTTCCTGAACACCCCTCTACTAATCAAAGATGACGGTACTCCTTACATCGGAAGGAGGGCGTTGTACGAACTTTGTTCAACAGATGTGAAACGAAAGAACAGACAAGACAATCGGCAAGAATACAATCACACCTATAAGACCATGAAGAAATATCCAATCTCTGTTCAGTCTGGAAAATTAACGGCGATTTGGATGAAAGCAAAAGAAAGACAAAGAAATAAAACACCAAAAAGATGGAAAAGCAGCATGTAACAATTCAGAGGATTTGTTATGGCCATGGTATTGCAATTGTCATCAAATCGCCGCAAGACTCCCCGCACTGTTCTAGTCCATCCTGGATTATGTCTCTTTCAGTTTGAATCAAAATATGCCATACTGGTTATAAAGCGATACATCGAAAAACATTAATGTGTCACGACCAATTACAAGCATATTATATGAACATTCTGCAATAAAGAACGTGGGTAACACATATTTAACATGATCTCTTTTGTAGGCAGTGCGATTATATTTTTGCTTACGGCATTATTGAAGATAGAAAAGTATATAGAATCCTAAATGTTGTTATCTAAATATATTTAAATACGTACTAACATTAAAGATGAAGTTGACAAACAACAGCTGTCCTTTTATAGAACTTGCGAAATGAACACATAAATGCAATGGATCAATATCAGAATATACCAAACAAGCTATGAGTTGTGTACGGTATTAGTGTAACATTTTAATCATGGTAGTTTGTCTCTCCATAAACAGGGTGTTTTCGCCATTTCGATATGTGGATATTTCATACCCATGTATTTGAATGCTTTCACTTGTGATCAGATCAAAGTCATATAAGGTAAAGATATTCGGTAAACCCTAGTTCAGGTTTTAATGTATTCCAATGTACTTGTATTGACTTAATATACGTACGTCAGTGGACAAGATAATTACCCAAGTTGTTTAGCTAATTATTAGAAGATGTTACCATGTAAATGTACAAACGAGACCATTGAAGTCTTGATGTTTCTCATGCTAAAAGTCTTGTATCTTGATCGGTGCACAAGATGACTACACAAATTAGTTGGCTTAATAGTTGCATCACTTCGCAGGTACTATCTTGTATAGGTAAAACGAGACCGTTATAGCTTAGGCATCTCGAAAGGGACGAAGAATAATTGATAACCAATAATTTAGACGCGTCTCAGTTATGTAGAAAGGTCATGAAAACCAGTTATCGTTGCAATTCAGGTAAGGTATTAGAGTTTAACAACCTTCAAACATACATGAACAATTACAAACATATTGTAACTTAAATATGATCTAAATGAATTATTTCATTGGATTTACTTGATAATGAGAGACATAGTATAAATGTTAGCATTTCAAATTACATGGAGCGTTTGATTACGTAACTGTTAAACTATCTAACATGTCTAAAATCACACTGTATGTGTTGATGGAATGAATTGAAATGTCATCACCTTGAAATGAAATTAACCTTTTTTATATGTACAGACAGTACAAGGATCATTTAGTAGTATTATGAATAAAATAGTCCTTGTATTACACTATTGGTACTATCAACTTAAATTTCTTTGTCGTCAAGACTATTAAATTCTGGTTCTTCTCGCTATGGATGAAAGCTACCACTTCATTGTGTACTGAATCAACACTTCTAGGTCTTCTAACCATTGTTTCATAAACCTGGTAATGGTAATTGTTATGCTTAGATAATACACATCATTCAGCAAAACCTTTCGGAGTACTGTTTTTACTAATATTTTGCGGTGAATGTTACTATACAAAACATAATTGGAGGACAGGTACAACAGCATAACGGGTTAACTGACTAGACTTTTTTTTTCAAAATAGGAATAAAAGTTGCCTCCCTTATTCCATTATATCTGGAATGTTATAACTGTATATTTAACAGGTGCGTTTGTATTTAGTACAGGTTTAGAAACATAGATGTATTCAAATTCTATACGTTTTGGTAACTCAAGAATTTGCAAAATATTTGTTATCTTCAATAACCTAAAGTATTGTCTCATCGCTGGTCTTAGCACCTAGTGTCAAGAGTAGAACACTGTTTCAATAATATCAACATTATAATAATATTTTTGAAGAGATCGTTTAGCGTTTTCATGAGAAACTCATTTTGTTCTGTTGATAGCTAAACGTCAGCGCGCCAAAAAAGAACTGGTGTATGATAGATTCCTAATCATAATATATGCAAAATCATGAATTCGCAAAAAAGAATATTTATCAATGAAACCACTTTAACTTTAAAATAATTCTAATCAACCTGTATCAACCTGCGGTCTTTTGTAACCTTGTGTTACACGTTTGTGGGAATAGACCTTTGAATATCGAATCAACTGCAAAATATAAACACCATAGACTGGGGAGGCATGTATACTGCTATCCAGAAATGGAAAATTTAAATAGGGAAATTGAAATTATCACAGCTATCATACAGCTAGGTGGAAACTGTCCATGTTGGTTTCGTTGTGGGAAAAGGCAGAGATAAATGGCTGATGTAGAAGAGTCTGTCTTACTATTGCATTCCAATTCTGGTGCATATGCACAATAGACGTGGTCAATAAATATATAATTTAAAGAGAGAACGTCATCAATATACATGAAAGTGGCATCGTACGATTTTCAACGTCTTTGTGACCTGTTTTGATAAGTTCGTAGATAAATATAGACTCGTATGTCAAAACATTTTGGTCAACAGAGGGGTAAAATTACGTGTAGTTCCTATTGGTATGCCATAGTCTGTTCGAATATTGCCCCAAACTTTGATGAAGATGTTGTCTACCAGGTACCGGGATTTCGACTTTCCGTACATTTCGTCTTAGATTTGGACGTAATTAATACACTTCAGTAAAGTTCACAACCTTTTATTTGTACCGCCCTTCATCTTTCTTAAAGGACACAGGTTTAGAATGTTGTATGGTGGTGTACACAGTGGAAAATCAAATGTTCTTAACGAGGATTTTTAGGGGGTGTTTAGGACTGATGTAAAGATTTAAAATCCATATACTATCTATTACACTTTTGTAGTAGATAGTATCTCTTTAACACTAAGCCATATTTGATAGTACTAAGAATGGTAGGAAGTAGTTGGACGAACAGCTAGGCAAGGCACCAATAAAACGCTTTACATGTGAATTATTGTGCAATCTAGACAACCAATATATAAACGGCACAGGCTAATTTCTATCATTAATAGGCAATTTTAACGATTGTAATATTGAGGCATGATTAACGCAATTTGATTATGATATTGTTTTCAGGTTTTAGGGTATTACACGTCAAACATTTATCTAAGGTCTATATTTCTCATTACTTTGACATGTCTGTTGTCAATACTTCGCCTAAAGAAAAATGTTCAGCCAATCTGTTCTGATGTCTTCGAACCGATCTTGTGACGATACATGAGAAACATCTTTCCATATTTTCGACACTGTCTTCAACTGCATTATCGCTTAGCAAGATATCCACCGACATATAAGATTTTAAAAATTTACATCTTATCATTCAACTTTTTTTTTTGTTTCATACGAAACTTCATTAATCGATGAGCTTATCAAAACAGTTCACAAGGACATTGCAAGGTCGTCTGATTTCGCTTTCAGATATATTGATGACGTCTTGGCTTTAAATTACAAGACATTTATTATCCACTTTCATCGTATTTAAATACCAGAATTGGAACTCAAAGACACGGCATACTCTTCCACAATAGTTCAATATTATTACCTTTAATATTATCTCAGTATTTTCCTACAAAACCAAACTTGACATATTTCCACTCATCTGTATGATAAGAATGGTGATTTCAATTTCCTTATTGCTAATTTTCCAAATTTCTGGATAGCAGAATCTTTCATCCCGAAACTATGGCGTTTATGCAGGTGGTTAGATATTAACTGACCAGTTCCCATTACCACGATACATTGCATAGAATCCTCAACTGACTGAGAAATTAGCAACTTGATTACGTTGGACATGGCGGATGTCGTCGATGTAGCAGGAGATGCAGATAACCTGATCTTGTTTTCCTTAATCTAAATCTCTCTTTATACAATTTTTTCTGCTTTGCTTTTTGTTTTTAATTTAGTTTGGATTATGATTATGTTGACATGTTGGCTTTGTTCAATTATGAATATTACTCAATTTTTATGATATGGTATATTGCATATTCAATTCAATAATAATAAGTACTTGCGCTAATGCTTCCGGAATAAATGTGATGATATATATGTGTATCTGTTTTTAGCCATCAAAGTTGTCATTATAAATATTTCCAAAGGATTCAGTATCAGCTGTGTCAGAGCGAAATCAATGGAAAGATGATACCGACATGCCTGAGTGATTATACATGTAAGGCACCATCCCCTCCATAAATAGTCATTGAAACATGCAATCACATGCTCGCATCGGTTGTAAAGAGGATTGCAAAAATGTTTTTTTGCATATAATTTGCATAGATTAAATATACACCTTCACATCTGCTCAGCGTACAACATATTTTGTTTCATGTTTAGAATGAAGTTTCTATTCTAGTTGAGGATAAGAATCTTCATATGATGCAATAGAAACTCATACAAAGTGAAGTGAAACTCGTAACATTCCTTTATTACCTTAATAGAGGGCTTTAAATCTGGCCATATGTATGCATATGCAAGCTGTTACGAGAATTGGTATCCAGATCTCTGATTGAAATATTGTTCGTTTCCTTCATTAAAACATTTTTTCCGTTTTCGTAGAGAGCGCTACCGAGTATAGAAATCTAATATTACAATCAGAAAAAAAACTGGCAGAAATGAAAAAAAAATTATGAAAAGATTTCGTGCATAAATTATTCAAACACCATCTACTCTATAACACTTGTTGAGTAAAGTGATATAGTGGACAGTCATGGATTGCTTCCTGGAGCTTGTAGACAAGGGATTATGTAAGAAGGATTCAGAGAAAAGGAGACTCTTGGACGACAACAAAATGTAATGTATTTATAGATTTTGATAAGCGTGTGGAATCTCGAATGTACTAAAATCTGAAGTAATCCGAAATTTCGAGTGATAGATATTGTATGAAGTTGAGTATGAATAGATAATTTTTCTGAGTAAAAGTTTCAACTTCCATCAATTTGAACATTTGCTGAGTTACACCACTATTCCAATATTAATTAATCTACAATTTTCACTTTAAATCGATGAAGTAGTAGTTTCCTTTCGATAAAATTGAATTAAAAGCTGAGATATTCTAGATATTCAGATGTTTAAAGTTTATGTATGTCATTGCTAATTCTTTGAAACATTAGGAATCGGTTTATATTGATACATTAGAAGAAAATTTGAAAAATGAAATGCAATTGGCAGAGAAATTAATGTACTTCGGTGGTCATAGATATTGTAACTCGTTTAAAGCATTCCTGAAATTTTTAAACATAGCATATCTTGCATTTTCTTTCCGGTGGAATTTATGTACTGAATTTCAAATAGAATGTAATCATATAGCCTTCTTTGAACTAATCATATCAATTTATTCAATGTTCGCTTCATTTCTGTTTGTAAAAATGAAGCATTTTGGCTGGTGCCTTTCGCATTCTTACTTTCATGATATAGCTACATTTGTGGTAACGCACAAATTACCGAACATTTTGAGCCCACATCATTCAAGATCGCAGTTTCTGTGATTAGGTAATAATGGTTAGTTGATATTACGGGTTGAAAAACTAAACGGAAAACGTGAGAAGTAATGACTAAATGGTGATCACAGGCGTATCGCTGTACCCTGTAAAAACAAGTATTTCTTTCTTATAGTTGAACACCATAGAAAGTGGGAAAATGGTGTGCCGCAGGCCAAAAACAAGTATCTATATACTGGTACATTATGTACATACATTACAGGTCTGGATCCGGACCGACTAGATCTTTCAAGTAACAAACACAACTTGTTAGGTTTATCTGAGTATATGAATTATTTTGTTTAAAAGAACATACAAAAATGAGGGAATTCTGACGGTATGAACTTTTAGGTTATTTATTGCCGAGACAAAATGACAAGTCAGTTTAATTTTTACATGCATTGTTTCAAATGTATATAGAATAAGTGTCTGTACACTAAGGCCGGTCACGTGTAGCGCTTTGTGAACAAAATAATTCAATTTACGATTGTATATAACTATTTAGTCTGTATGGCACGGACAATCACGTAACACAGTGTTTCAAAAGATGCAGGTTGATGAAAATAACGGGGAAGTTCTACGGTCGTCATCTTGATTTTTTAGCAATACTCTATCTTTTATGAGATATAAAGCTGGACATGTTTGATTCTAGTTAATTTACCCGTTGGTTTCGTTATTTTCTACCTAGTTCTCATTTGAGAACATGTTATTAATTACTTGTATTGACCAAGGTTTAACATGGCGGGTGTCGTCGATGAAGCAAAAAACGCTCTCTCTTCCGGAATACCTAGGCTTCTCCCTGTACTTTTCAAGTAGCCTTCATGTAAATCTGTCTTTTGGTATGTTTTGCTCTAGGCACTATATTTTGTAGTATTCTTATGTATTTAGAAATAGATATTAAAAAAATCTTAAGTAATAGCAACCTATGCTATAACTTTATGCGTTTATTGTTCGTACACCGTCAAGACATCGCACACATATCGGGTAACGTTGTCTGATTCCACACCAGTAGAATATTTAAGGATCTGAGTTTTTAACACTTAGCAGATTTTATGAAACGAGTCTGAGAAGTTCATTTTATTTCTGCAAGCCTTTGTGAATAGAAATATATTTGATATACTTTCTGCCACATACATTAGAAAAATTATATTTTGACAGGTTTGAAATAACATCAAAATCAAATACTGTCCCTATAATGGTAATAAAATCGATTGCTAACAGGCTTAGCTACTGATAAACGCTGTATGGTATATCATATTAGTGACATAAAGCTAATAACTACATGTACATTTCCACTACCTAACAGGTCTATTTTGGGTTATATTAAAATAGTATGTTATTATTGTAGCTATTCGTACCAGCCGAGATGTGAAATATCCTACTTAGTGACTGCTTTACCTTGGTCTAAATATAATATTACAACAACGTACTTTGACACAATAACATTGCAATTGTATTTATGTTTTTAGCATCCGAATTAATTATATAATAATTGAAATTAATTATCTTTCTTTTAAGAAGATGTGCATCGAGATTCGTCTTTTTATTATGTATTCTTGCTGTATCACAGTTTCACTTTCTGATTCCGTATACTTTATGCATTTGAATTCATTCTTTTAGCAAAGGACCGATTCCTGTTAATGATGTAGGATTTTTATCATTTCTCACGTTCGGATGGCTGACCCCACTTATCCTAAAGCTGTTTAGATATAGAGATAAAGAAATCAGGGAGGAAGACGTTTGGACATGTTCAAAATTGGAATCATGTGACATCAATATTGAACGGTAATGAAATATGTCAATAAGTTTATGTATGTTGAAAAAAATGTCAGTAATGATATTATTCATAATTACACAAATGGATCGGTTGTTTGAACTCGGACATAACAAGAACACACACGGACATTTGATCACACAAAACACAATTTTACTTAAGCAAGCCTAGTCAAAAGTTCATACGAAATGGAATAAACTCGGTCGATCGAACGCCTAATTTCGTGATTATGACATTAAATGATATTAAAAACACTTGCTTTATCATGGACATTTCAAAGCCAGTCATTAGTGATAAATTATAAGTAACAAATGGTCTCCCTCTTTACCAGCTCCTGACGGATAGATACTTCATGTCCATCAATAGAAACCGTCAAAAATACGTATTCCCTTAACTTTTACGTCAAGATTCTGATATCGTTTAATCATATGTGCTTAGCCACATCCCATTTTCCTCTTCAATGATTTTTGTTCGATTCCAAAAAGTCTGGATTAAACATAAATAAATATACATATATATGATTACATTAAGAAGGCCCAAAGCCAGCTATCAAATAAACCATTTCACTGCAAAGTCGATAATTATTTGACGTGAGAACATGCTCAAGAGGGTAATGTTACCATCAACTCATAAATGATAAAGGAGATGTAGAATAAATACAGATGCAGTAGAACTTTAACGCTGCAATCCATCATGAACAGAGAATGTCTACCTCCCCAAACTCCACAAGACTGGTTACCATGGTATACCTTACAACAATACAGTAGTTGTAGTTTTCGTAACCCGGAAAGAGAAAGCTAATACAGTGCAATCCCAACCTGATGAACACCTAATCATTCCTGTGAATTCTTCCTTTTAGTGATCAAACGAGAAGGTTGGTAACGATAGGCTTGTTTGTGTTCTCGTTTGTGTTGTTTCATTCAATACAAATTTCTTATAGAATCCGATTCCAATTGTGTGAAATGAATATTGGTTTTAATGGAGTTATTAACTGTATTATCATCTAAATAACATTTCAATACTTACTGCATGTTGATCAATGTCAAGATTATTAATCTTGTTTTGATCGTATTCCCATATATTGCAATTTTCTTTCTTCAGATTGGAACCAATCTGGATTGACGAACTGCAAGTGTATGGACGTCAAAAATGTTCGGTCCTTAGTGTGTGGCTAAAATTTTTCAGCGTTCAACTAATGATAATTTTCATAATTCTCTGTTTTACTGCTGCGGTAACATTTGTAACCACGGTGAGTATCACTTGCTTTCTTAATGTACACTGGTATCTTGACTTGTCGTGCTTGCAACAAAGACGACTTTCCACAGCCGAAAGCGCCACTTATTCCAATGGTTTTCCCCTAGGTGACAATATAAATATATAAATCGTTTTGGAATGATTAGGGTATCCGTTCTAAAACTCTCAAATCATGATTAGATCAATCTATTATAATAACCATAAATAACTTAGGTACTGTACAACTCTTCATTTGTTTCAGGGTTTCATCACCGTTGTTATAACCCAATACTTAGAAGGTCCGGAAACATCAGTGCCTTACGCCTTTGTAATATTAATCGCAACAACATTTGGCCACATTATTAGGTGTTTATCATATACATTTCTTCGTTATTACGCAATACAAATCGGTACGTTATTTTCTCACGTTTTATTATTCGTTTTCTCTCTCTTACTTTTTCTCTAATTTGTGTTGTTTTAAGTTTTCGTAGAAATCAAATTTAACACGGTAAGGATACAACCATTGCCATGTTTTCTACTGAATGTTACTTTAATCCATATTTGAAGTTTCAATATAAACGCAACTCCTAAGTATTGTTTGTATCGTTTCAGATCTTTGTCGCTTCCGTTAGTATTTATTCCAAGTCCTATATTGTTTTTTAGGTATAAGGTTTCGATCTGGAATACTAGGGTTGGCATACAAAAAACTACTAAAACTAAAACATATCAACGGAAGAGTTGCAGCTGAAGTAAGTTCTTACATTTGTGCGAATCAGTTGTTTTTGTTAACATATATTTGACAGTGATCTTCGGATTTTATTAAGTTTCCTAGATTTTTTTTAATCCTTAAGCTGCTGTTGATTCCTGTATCTGTGTCATTTCGATATGAAAGATATTTTTCAAATTAAATTGAATCAAATAACCACCATCATTATCATTTCCCTACGTTATCGATTCCTTGGTTTGAATTGAAAAAAACCAATGTTTTTGTATTGTAGGTAATAACAATATTCGGGTCCGATGCATTAAGAGTGTTTATGAACACAAAGTTTTTTGTGTTCCTGCTGTCCGCACCCGTCTACCTGATTATTGGAATAGCATACCTTTATTATCTCCTCGGAATCTGGTGCGTTATTGCGTTTGCGACATTGATGGTCTTTTGCACTATTCAGGTAGGACTCTCTTCTGGCTGTCATTGTTCTCTTTTTCATATTGCATGGTAACACCATATATCACGGAGAAAAGCCTTAAAGAAAAGGACGGTAACAATGCATCACTTGAAAATTTCATTCCGGTAGGAAACAGGATAAAACCCAGTAACATCTACTTACGATATCTTTAAGACCAAAACATCCGACTTCGAAGTTGGTCGTGACGACGGCCGACTGAAAAACAAACCAGTGGCAACCACAGCTTGGTCGGTAGAGCATTAACCTTTACAAAATCGAGATGATTAGTTTGTTTGTTTCTCGGATGAGATTTTTGCCGGTCTGTTCTGGTTGTGTCTTGGACAAAACACTTTTCTATAATTGATAGTGATGACATCCGAAAGGCTTCCCGTATGTTTTTTCTGTGAGGAAGCCACTGGCTACTTTTTCTTCAACCATGTTTATCCTGATTAATATGCTAAACGTAGAGTAAGTAAACTAAAACATGCAAAATAACCTTCTCTATTAAGATATTAAATATCGATATGGAGGAAATGAATATATAAATGTTAATTGTATATATGAAAAAATAATAACACCTTGATATAATCATTTATAAACAGTGAAAAGATAAAATGTCATTAATCCATATATATACCAGAAAGCTAAAGACATTATTATTTTGGAAACATTCATATGTTATTGCTTTTGGATAATCAATTTATCTTCGATACAATCATAAAATAAAAAAAAAACTAACTATACATTACTTACATAGCTTACTTATATATCAAGATATCGCAGCTTTTGTTTGCTTAAATACAATGTTTATTATTACAAAAGAAAAAAAACAATTTCCTTCAATCATGTAATTCATTACTATTTATATGATTTCAGATACTACTTACTAGACTAGCCACTCCTATTCGACGAAGGAAATTAGAATGGACAGATATAAGGGTATGTGCCGTGTTTGTTGAGCGTATATCGATTTAATGAACTGCATCCAAGTTACTCAAAATTAGCCATTTTTCTACTCCAATGATGCCCCCATAATGTATTTTGTGTTATCACAGTTTGGCAGAATTTTAATTTCTGTGTTTGAATTTGTGGAAGCAGGTCAGTCGGTATAATAAAACTATTTAAACCTGTACATATTCCATTGACAGATACGAAAATTGACAGAAGTTATCTCAAACATTAAGCTGTTGAAAATGCATGCATGGGAAAAATACTTTAGGAATACTATAATCGGTGAGTTGTTTGTTTTATATATAAGTGTTTTTTTAGAAGCAAAAGTTCGTTGACATATTTGACGTTTCGGAGGAAAATGAATATCACAGACAAACGTTTCGCCCTGAAAAAACAAAACATAAAAAAAAACACAAAAAAAGAAAGAAAATCATTACATTATGTGATAGGGGCATATTACAAAAGGGTCAAGTTGAAGTTAGTAGCATTATAGTGTATTTGATGTTATGGCATCAAAAAAAAAAGATGTTTTGCAGCACGTAGAAAAACATCGCTTCCACAGACATCCAACATTGCAGAAATATCAAATTAAAAGTATTATCAAAATTGTTGTCTTGCACGCTGCCACAATCATAACATAATCAATATCAAATGACACTATTCTTTCAATATTGTTATGCAATTAATGAAGTATATCTTTAAGACATCAGGACAATGGAAAGTAAACCACTGTTGCAATCGGCAATATTAAGTTACATAGCCAACGCCATCATTCCGTTAACACCATCGCTAGCTACCGTAACGACTATTACCGCCTACGTCTACGCTGGAAATGAGCTTGATGTGTCGACGGTACGTGTATTTTTTACTTTCATAACTTCTGCTTGATCACACCAAAATAGAAAGGTAATTTTAGTTAGCAAAACTTTTGATTTTTGTAGCATTTTATGATAGTGGACACAACACTCCATAAATCAAAACTTATAACTGATATAGATATCAGATTTACTTCATAAAAAGTATTATCGCTCATTATTTGCATATGTGTTTTGATGTCGTGTTGTTGTTGCAGGGATTTTCAGTTGTTGCTACTCTCACATACCTGAAGGTCATAGTCGCCTTTGTTCCGTACGCCGCCGAGATATTTGGCCAAACATTGATCAGCTTTGAGAGAATTAAGGTGTAAAAAAAGTTCTTGCTAATCTCACCATATTATATTTTTCCAGAAAACAGTTAACAATACGTAATTTATCTCAGATAACAACGAATGTTGAACGAATGTGTATTACAAATGGATAGTGGAATTTACATTACTCACATATAATAAATTCAGTGGTTATGTGTGGCCTTGAGACTTTAAATTGCGTTTGCGACGATGTGAAATTCTTAGTTAAAGCCATGTTGGACAAAAGAAATTAATTTGCATATTAGACTTATTGATTGATCTGTTGTTCCCGGAAACTTAATTACTCCAGGAATACCACTTATGTTTATCTGTTTATATCGACAGTATTTTCTGTTGGAAGAAGAATTCAAACAGCCGAATCAATGTGTCCAAAGCACCAAGAATGCGATCGAGCTCAGTGACGCAGTGTTTCAATGGGATGGAGATACCAAGAAGTATTCAAATAAAGGTTTTTTATTCGAAGATCTAAAAGTTAAAGTGCAGTCTAATTTGATAACTCTAATATTATAATCATTTGCCTTCCTTATTTCTAAAAGATACTTAACATTAGCACAGAGACTCAATAAATGGATAACATATATCAAACACTTGGAACATATAGGACATCAAAACATACGAATGACACCTAACTCTGCTTGCAGCAACATTGTTGATATGCAAGTTAAAATATGTCCTCAACATAATTTTTGTTTTATTTTTTTCTGTTAATTTAGATAAGTTGAGAGATACAAAACAATGGATAAACCGTTATTTTTCATAATCATAGGCATTTAAATTTCCGTGATCATTCCACAAAAAGTAGAGAATACCGTAACTTCAAACTCAAAAGTAGTTAAAATGAGGAGTTAACATATCAACAAATCACATTTTACAGAGAGACTCTTGAAAGGCAAAATAATCCTTTGCATATCAAATCGAGTGCGATCTCTAAATACTTACTTTTCTGAAGGAATGTTAACTTTATAGAAATAGAAGTCTCATTGACCTACCGAGAAGTTACAATTCGATTACATTGTATTTGATTATACATTTTGTAAACATTGTGCATATTTCATCACAAATGACATTTGTTCCCATGATTTGTTATCTTTCAACTAGCAATCTTCATTAAATTTATTCAATACCTTTCTAAATAGGAAAGTTCGACCTCTTGTGCTCCTATGTTCAATCTAGCTGTAAAGTTATTTCATATGCAACAATAACTACATGTACCTTATACAGAAATGAAACAAAACAGAATACCAGCATCACTGATACTACATGACATCACAGTCAGCAAGGTAAGAGAATATTTAGTATACGTTCTAACTATGCACATGAAATTTACAACCCTCAACTTATATAAAATGTAAAAAAAATGCTTTGATATCAATTGAATAATTCATTTTTAATGATGTTTGTCCATAATGCGGATGGTAAATGATATTTTACTGATTTTCCAAACGACACATTTAAATACAAAACTAATGGTCGCTTGATTGATATGATATACTTCAGATGTATAGTCAAAGACAACAGAGTACATATCAAAACAAAAACGATTTATTTATTCATGTTATCACCTAGGGGAAGCACATCGGAATATGTGGCGCTCTCGGCTGTGGAAAGTCTTCTTTGTTGCAAGCACTAATTGGTAGGGTAAGCTTATTTTCAAAAAAATAATTATTTTCATTATGAATATATTTTTTTATTGGGATGGGGGGTGGGGGGAGGCGGTCGGTATGCTTTTCGACTGGATTGATAATAGACCTACTATCTGCAAAAGATCTATCAGCTTGAAATTTGTTCTCTAAAAATGATGATATTGGTTGAAGGAAATGCGTTGTAATAATCATCTTGTGGATTTTTAGGTCTATGTTCTGGTTACCATCTCGTCACACTATGTTTACATTAGTGTACATAGGATTATAGTACAGGCGAAAAAGTCGGTCGATTCCTTACCATGGCATAATTACGTACGTCGGTGCTCTTAAGCACCACACTGGTTATTTGTTTGATGAAGGTGACCGTGTAGTCATTGAAACGTCACAGTCTAACCTTTTACTGGTTATTTTATAAGAACTTCCATTTTATTGACTTTAAATTGATTAGATGGGAAAAGACCGGTAATACTTCAAGATGCAAACAGAACTATATCTAATAAATAAATGTTGATTTCCAGATGCCATTAATTACCGGTCATCTTGCTATTAATGGTTCAGTTGCTTATGCGGCACAACAAGCCTGGATCTTTAACGGAAGTGTAAGAGAGAATGTTCTCTTTGGAAGCCCTTACGAAGAAGATTGGTATGACCTTGCTGTTAAAGTTTTTTTTATTTCCTTCTTTTTTTTTTTTTTTTTTTTGTGATTTATTTTGATTTGTTGGTTAATTAAGTTGATAATAGTTATTGGGAAAAAAATAAAGATAATGAATATGGAATCATTTCAGTTTTAACGTATTTTAAATTCTGGAATGTCTTAAATGCAATTCCCTCTAACAGAGTTATAATTACCAGGTGTGATTAAGCCATGAAAGATATAGCAGAGGCTTTCTCCATTTCTCCCTATTACAATTAACTGCTGTATTGGAAAGAGAAAAAACATTGCCAGAATTATTGATGACATCACGAAAACACATTAATTATAAATATTCATCATACAGGTACACTGAAGTTGTAAACGCATGTAGTCTCAAGCCAGATCTGAACATTTTGGCCAATGGTGATATGACTGAGGTAAACGGATCATTAGAGTGATAATTTCAATTTCCGTATTATGAATTTTCCATTGCTATATGGCAACACACCTACATCCCAAAGCTATTGTATCTCACAAGTGATTCAAAAGACAAGGGTCTGTGACCAATATTACGATTCCCGTAACAGATATCGTCATCTGACAGATTAACTCATAACTCTGGGTTTCGAATATCCAGATTGAAGAAACATAATGATTCCGTTATATACCTTGTTCGTGAATATGCTTTACACGAAGGGGCCGTCTGCCAAGCAGAATAGCTTACTGGTCTTATTCTACTTGTACTTTTTCAGGACTGTTCGTGTCAATTTTTCTTTTGCTAATATTCAGTTCTAGTTTAATTGAATTTGAATTTTCCCAGTAATCATGTGGCAAACTCCACGGCTACGGTAGTCAAGACTGTTACAAAAACATATTTAAATGAAAAATAGAAGAATCTAGCTCCAGAAGAAACTATCTAGTGTAATACATCGGTAGCAAAAAAGTTTTGATACATCACATTCATAAAGAATGACATGGTTGTAGATTGGTGATAGGGGAATGAACTTGAGTGGTGGCCAGAAACAGCGCGTTAGCCTTGCACGAGCTGTCTACAGTAAAAGAGATATTTATCTCCTTGACGACCCCCTGTCTGCCGTCGACGTCCAAGTTGGTCAGCATTTGTTCAAGCGATGTATCGATGGTGTTTTAAAGAATAAAACTGTTCTTTTGGTAACACATCAACTTCAGGTAACATGCACGTTTAATCGAATAGACATCGTTCAATCCATCGTGGTATGAATTACATTTTTATGTTCAACTTTAATAAACATTGTAAAAATAAACTCGGCAATATTTGAAGAAAGGAAACAACCTATGTGATTGATATTTTGAATTGAGTAAGTTTCTTATGCGATTAGATAAAAACGTGAGGAATTTTTCTATGAAACTGTTGGCAAATGACCATGTAACATTCGTTGAAAGGTTTACGAAGTTAAATGAGATCGATAAGACACAAAATTCGAATATTGGTGAAAATATATATATGATAAGCTTTATGCTTTGAATCAATAGTGATGTTCGTAACCACTTCAAACCCACAAGTCACAACATATGAGCATCATGATCAGCAGAACAGCATTCATTCGTGGAATCAATTAATCAATTGTCCATGACATTGTCCAACCTTGAACTGACCATGGCTATCATGTATATATAAGCAGACAAACAGACGAGGTGATAAATACGATATTACCATAATGACTGTTGAGTCGGATCGTTTTTTTGGCCAATGTTTTTTTAGTATTTGGAACACTGTGACGAAATTTACGTCATGAGCGAAGGTGTGATAACGGAACACGGTAGCCATGATGCGCTGTTAGCCCAGAAGGGTTGTTACACAAAGCTGATGGAACAGTTCAATTCTAACTTGGATCACCACAGCACAATAGGTATTGGTTATTGAAGTATGGATGTCTACGCTTATTCATTTAAAATATAGCATATGTATATAAGCATATCTCATGATTAACAAGCTTCTTTATTGCCGTGGCCTGGAAACATATCTGACCACATTGTTAATAACGGTTCAAAGGAAAATTAGATTTTAAAGCATAGTTTTAGCTTATCATCAAAAGCTAAGATATTATTTTTGTATAAACAAGAAACATTGAACATTTGTATGTCTTTGAATTGGTTCTGTTGCGAAATGTTCATCATCAAATACAAGCCATGAATACAGGAAACAATACTTTGACTTTGAAAAGGTAATGAAAAAAATATTCTAATACCACAGATGATAAAATTCAGTGTGAGTACGAGACAAAATCGGCATCGCTGAACGTCAACAAACGTAAGCAAGAAACAGGAACTGCTGACCACGGCTATGAAAAAGGTTGGTATCATGGACCGTGGCCATAATTGTTCCCTTGTTTTTATTTTCTATCAATGGAGATTTTATTTCATTTTATATACATGATACACGTACCTAATATATCGTTATTTACATGTGACGATGATGCATTGATAATTTGTGAGTGAGTTTTTGTTTGTTGATATATCCCAAGCATATATAAAGTATAACAACGAGCTAATATTCTTAAAAAGGGCATACACATAGAGCAGAAATACTTCTCAGACGACGAATGGAGATGCCATTGTTGTCATCGAAACCTCGCTCAATCAACTATTGGTTGTGTTTTAAGAACCTCTACTGACATTAACACCTAGAAGAAAATGTACCAATTATCATGGTTCAAAATTGTTTTCTAGTTTATTCGGTTTCTGGGGGTTCTTCTTTTCAAAATATATATTTATTTGTCTACCACAAGCCAATAATATTATAATTACATCTATTCTATTGTCATTTACCCGAGCGCTTCAAAATGAAAATACTTCGTACTTGACTAATGATAAAAATATATCGATCACACCTTTAATAACACTGTTGCTTGCTCTGTCATTCTCAGGTATCTTAACAGACAGAGAGAAATCGGTGAGCGGCACCGTAAGTAAAGATACGTATTTGAGCTACATCAGAGCAGCAGGAGGAAAGATGGTGGCTGCTTTTTTGCTTCTGCTATATACGTGTTTCATTTTAACATTCTCGTTCAGTGAATGGTGGCTTGGAATATGGATTGATCAAACGGTAATCAAATATAATGAATACTTTTGCTATCAGTTTTTTTTTATATCACTACTACATTGTACACTTGTCGCAACTGAAATAACAAATCCGACATCCATGGGGGAAATTTTGTCATTGATATGAAGTAATATTATTGATCATACTTCAAGATGTAGTTGAAAAATACCACCTATATGGTAAATTTCATAGGTCAAATTTTAACGATTTTTTTTAAAACAAACGAATTATATCTTTACGAATTCAAAGTTCGCGATCTGGATGTAAAATGATGTGTCATACATCCGTGTCCTAAAATGTCAAGATTAGATTTTAGCGGTCATGTTAAAGTACCGCGAAATAGCGTAAATATTGTTCTCGCGAAAATAATCTCTTATACGGTATTTCGCTTAATTGATTTTACTTTTGCTAACTTTTTTATCTGATAAAACATGGTTCCATCGAATAAGCTCATAAATTCATTTTATGCAGACAACACCATCGCCAGTGATGAACTCGTTGCACTCCAACGGGACGGAAGGAGATGCTACGGGATTTGGAAATGTCTCTATGCTCGATGTATTGACATATACTTCATTATCATCTGGAAAAGAACACGACGAATCGGATTGGTATTTGACAATTTATATTTCTACGGCTGGAGTGATGATTGGACTAGCTGCATTAAAAGGAATCATAACAGGGATTGTAAGTGCTTCCTTCTGATACTAATTCCAGCTATGACAAATATTTCTGGACACAATAAAAAAGTAACAATTTATTTTCCAAATACAATGAAACCTCTCTCACAAATGAGATCACCTCATTATTAAGATCACTTTCTTTTGGTCCCTAGCATGTCCAGTTGAAGCCTTTGCATTGTGTGCATCATTTTTTAGACCACCTCGCAAAGACGTCTAATTTCATAAAGTCCCAGAGATTGAATTTAATTTTACTTCACTAATCAGACCTGTCATAAAGTTACCTACAGTGTATTTCACTGTGTATAAATGCCAGGTATTAGAATAGTCAGCTTTGTTTAAAGGCCCAACGTGCCTTTTCTGAGTTAACACCGTGTTTAAATGTGCGAAAATTTACTCGCAGACTAATATAATGACTATGCAAAATGTACTTAAAATTTAAGGGAATGATCAGGAAATATGTACATGGTAAACTGAATATTTCAGACCGCCCCTCTATCAAGGCCAACCACATGTGTCCAGTCTCAAAAGTTGTCAAATTGTGAGGTGTTTCTGTATATTAGAAGCACCGTTCCTCAAAGACGATTCCGTCTGCTAAAGAAACATCATCGTGCAGTGTGACTGCAAAAACCACATGCATAATGTAGATATCATTGTAATGAACATTTATATACATTAAGCTTCGAAAATCTGTATTATCTTAAAGGGTAATATATGAAAATGAAGACATGACGTACTTATCAATTAAAACGCCTTTCGATTAAGATATCATGTTTTATTAAGGTGTACATAAGAGCTACAGTTAATTTACACAACAATGCCCTTCGGAGAGTGATGAGTAGTCCAATGCGGTACTTTGATGCAAATCCAACAGGAAGAATTCTTAACAGATTTTCTCAAGACGTAGAAGAAGGTAATCGTATTGATAGGAGTTGAATGGACTGGGTCGGTGGCCCTGTGGGGATGGCATTGTCCTTCGCAAAATATAGTAAAATTTACATGAACATTGCATTTTGTTTTATCATGTATAGTAAAGTGTATTAATATCAGGAACTGTTATATTATCTAAAGACTGCATTGGTCCAGACTAATGAAGAAGAAAATGAATTAGAGAGAGCATAATGATATTCTAATTTACATCTTTAAATGTTTAAGTAAACTATTTTGTAATGACGGAGAGGAAATGTATTGGAAACCTATATTGATATGTTTGTTGATATATTTCTTGCTCTGTTACAGTTGACGTTATCTTCCCTTTTATGTTGGATAATCTACTACAAACCACAGTGATGATAGTTGCCTCCCTTGGCACCATAATCTACAGTTTCCCTTGGATCCTGATCGCCGTTTCTCCTATCATGTTATTCTTCTATGTGATCGTGATCTTGTCTTCCGTGTCAATGCGAGGTTTTAAGCGCCTTGAAAATGTGGCGAGGTCGCCATTGTTGAATCACGTAACCACAACATGCAACGGGATCAGTACCATAACTACCTTTTCTCAGGAAACAAACTTCATGGATAGGTAAGAAGGAGGGATAGAAATGTGTTTCCTTTAATGAAAAAAATACCTGTCAAACTTAATCGATCATAAAAGTAACTTGTTGATGGATATCAATATTTGGCTAAGATTAACCAGACATGACAGCATCATAAAGATAAACAAGAAGTGTTTATGAAACTTTATGTCAGCGGTTCCAACAAAATTCTGAAGTGGGACAATAAAACCCTACTGTGTAATACATGTGTTAATTGCTCGCAGATTTTGTGAAACACTTCTATCTTCATTATAATAATAATTGTTTTACTTTCTAATGTGGGTCAAAGTCACGTAGTCAACACTTATGGTACCATCGGTAAGGCCTTGGCACAAGAAACACATATGCCAAATATGAAAGCCTTACTATTACGATGATATACTCATGGGTAAGATTAAATTTGACAACAGACAACACAAAAACAATATGCCCTTATCTTTCCATCCTGGGGCATAAGAATACCATATGAAGTAACAGCAATAACAACTTCGTCACAATAGCACTTCAATCTGTATTTAATTTCTTTAAATCGAAGATGTAAACAGTACACGGATACAACATCGATGGCTTTATTACTATATGACTCCTGCATGAGATGGATGGGCCTAACGATGGACATCGGTGGAGCTATGGTGGCAATGGTTACAATGTCCGTAGTGCTGTTCACCAAGGACTCTATATCTCCTACGTTGGCAACTTTGGCATTGACAATGTCGTTGAATGTTGGTATAACTTCATATAGAAGACTATTTTTACCACTTGGAAATTTATTAACTCATGCTTTGACACTAAAATTAAAAAGGATGAAAGTGTTTCAAGATTGTACAAAATACACACAAGTGAAAAATACCTATAGATACAAATTTGGATAAGACACAGTAGAGCCAAACAAAGAAGTTAATATCAATACAGAATAGGCCAAACTAGTTAAAACGTATATGCATGCGATAGTTATTTAATTACCTATATTTTTTTTACATCCATTCCTTTAGCTTATTGGGACCATATGCAACATGAATCTCAAACAAAAAATGATAAATCAATTGATGATAAAAAAATATTTATTAATCAAATATTGTGATCTCAAACATGATTACACATGGATCTTACAGCCATTGTTATTTCGGGAAGGGTAAACTTAAATTCATTGTAATAGAAATGTAATACTGTTGGGTTTGTTCACTTCCATGAATTAAACTTGGCTAGAATTATAAGTTCAGTTTTACACTGATCCACTCCAACGTTAAAGTGCACAGTGTTAACCTTTGATAACATTACATTATTAGTAACCCTGTCAATAGAAATATTTACATGATTACCATTTTATACTTAAAGACAAAATCACTTCATCAAAGGGCAACTAATGCGAATGTCCTTTGACATTTGGTTATCTTTTATTTCTGTTTTTTTTTTAACATGTCACGTTAATATAACAAAGTTTTATATGACTGATTCATAATTAAACATTTTCTTGATTGCTTGATTTTAGGTGACAGGCCTAGCCCAGTCTTTTGCTAGTACGTTCAGCGAGGTCGACGCAAGGTTCACATGTATCGAAAGAATCCTTGAGTATGAGGTACTGTAGAGATCTTAAACTTTTAAAATTATGCTTGCATATCACCATCTGGGTATCTATTCACTGAATTTTTTTAAGAATAGGGTCGCCTTTCTACGTATTATCATTCATCGAATTTCTCTTCTACAACTACACTGTTAAATATTGTGCATTGTGATACATGCTAGCCGCCGTGCCGGTCCGTTGCTGAAGTCCTGCTTTGAAGAGACTTTAGCCAAGATGACGTTATATATTTAAATAAACAATAATACCATAATAAACGTTTTAGGGTCTCGATAAAGAAAAGGAAACAGGAAGTGATGAAGTGGAGGGGATTTGGCCAAGTCAGGGAAGGATAACATTTTCAAATGTGGTTATGAAATACCGTGCGGACTTGGATCCCGTACTAAAGAATATCAGTTTTGATATCCTTCCAAAACAGAAGATCGGAATCGTGGGCCGTACTGGCGCAGGTAAGACGAGAATGAAATCAAGGTTTTAAAAAAAGGAGAAACAGGAGACTATCCCTTCCGGACCACCTTGTCTTATTATCCTTGTAAATATTTAATGGTCTCCTCGTATGACATATCATGTCTTCGTTTTATTGTCTCTTTATCACATTTCTAGGTTGATTATTTAAATATATCGATATTTTACAGTTTTCTCCCAAATTAAAAGTGGATGTTACATCTGCAGTATCTTTGGCGTCAGAGGTATTTCACTAAATCCAATTATATGTCTGCATTGTCAAACAATTGTTGACTGTCATTTGGATTTTTAAGAACCTCAAAAAAATTTTGGACCGATATTCAACACCTCTTCTTGAAAAATTCTTTTGTAAGAATATTTTACTTCCTTTTGTCCTTAGTATTCCCTACCTAATTTCATCGAAACTGAGTTTTAATTAAAGTTATGTGAACATATCATTATTTTCTTTAACCGGATCGAAGCCAATGTTATCTTTTACAAAATCTGGACACTTACAAAATATATATCTGATATCTTTGTGATCCCTATTAATATGTATTTTTTCCTTATATATTAGTTTCAAGATCTTTTATTAATTAGCTTCTTGTACATGTCTTCATATATTCATTGCCTTTATTTAATTATGTACCTGCTTATATAGGAAAATCATCTTTGAGTGCCGCATTGTTCAGACTAACTGATCTCAAGGAAGGCCACGTGATGATCGATGGCATCGAAATTGGGGCTGTTTCTCGGAAATTGCTGCGTTCAAACCTGTCGTCTATTCCACAAGACCCCGTGCTGTTTGCAGGTACACTAAGGCAAGTTAAAGAAATACAACTGCATTTCCAAAGAAAAACAGCCATATGTTCTGGTTCTAGTCCTTTAACAAGACTATTGCTATTACTGAGGGAATTACAGCATATGAATGAATTTATTCACTTAGGTATCACTGAACTAATTATAAACGACAGATTATGAATATTTTTATAATCGTTGTCCTAGATCAATTAAATTAATCGTAAATGTATTTTTTTTATATAACAACGAAACAAGGGTAGAAATGTATGAGAGATTGCCTTATCGTGATATTCAAATTGGCCTGATTTGGATTAAGGGTGTTCACTTAGGTTTCCATTGCAGTACTATAGAATCATTATTTACAGGTATAACCTGGATCCTTTCGAGAAGTATACGGACACGCAAATGTGGGCAGCACTAGAACAAGTTCATATGAAGGAAAAGGTACATATCTGATTTTATTATACTAATAATTTACAACTAATGACTTTTTGTATTTTTCTTATAATATTATTTGAAATCCTTATCTGAAATGAGTCTTAAAGATAGAGAACCTAGGGATTGTTTATTGTATAGATACTTTTTATGTTCACATCGTGTTTATTGTATAGAGGATGTATGATTACAAATTATTACCTCTGTTGTTACGGCATTTATGTTATAATCTAAAACAAATGTCTTTAACATAATTACATGAATACAAAACAAAAACATTTAAGGCGATATTCTTATAGATACCGCATATAAATTTGTCAATGTTTACTACGAGTAAGTGTGAATAGCTTCTCGTTCTTGTGGCTTCGGCTCGAATGACTGGTTTTATTCTAACAAATTACCAATATATATCCCCGGAACATACCTTTCACCCTCATGTATTACGGAATTGAATTTTAAAATATGCAATGTTTTCTTGTATGCTTCACAATCATGTTATGATAAATATGGTAAATTATGTATTTAGATGAAACTACGTGACCAGACTCTTGACATGTACATAGAAGAAAACGGAGAAAATTTTTCAGTTGGTGAACGGCAATTAATATCCTTAGCACGTGCAATTTTGCGTCAAAACAAGGTAAATAAGTCACTGTACTGTCATTATTTATTATCATTTTGTTAATCATCAGATAAATGTAAATTACATTTCATGCAGAATATGACGGATAAAAATAAGAAAAGTAATATGCATCCGTTTACAACGTCGTTAAACAGGGATAAATATGAAATTTAAACAAAGATAATCAATGAACAGAGTAAAGATGATCAACAGTATGTTTCATGTTATTGCATCATATTGAAATGTATTAATATATATTGTATATATGTACTTGGCGTTCTTTTACAATAATCTGAAATTAACGAACTTAACTTAATTAAGGGTCTAGTGCACCTGTCCATTCGGATGTTTTTTCGGTCACTATGGGTTTTAACATTTAAAACAAAGGTGAATTTCCTAACCATGTAGGGGGTTTCTGAGATGCTTTGTATTTCAACTTCAGATTACACACATTATAATCAATGCGACCATTTGCAAGTTCTAAAGCACAGGTGGTGTCCTGTTTGGGTGTCACTAACTTCTGTATTTTGCAGCAACTTTGTGTTCACTTTAACAGATCATATCATTATTACTGACTTCAGATCCTCATACTTGACGAAGCCACAGCGTCCATTGACACCTCCACAGACGCTAAGATTCAGCAAACGATCCGCAACAGTTTCTCTGACTGTACCGTCCTGACGATCGCCCACAGACTCAACACCGTACTACACTGTGATCTCATTCTTGTCATGGAAGGCGGGCGGCTGATAGAGAAAGGCAGTCCGAAGGATTTGCTACAAAATCCATCATCTCACTTCAGCAATATGATACGTTTCCATAACATGGTACTGCCAGATAATTAGATTTATTGAAATGAAAAAATGAATGGTCGGACGGCGAAGTCGTAATGCATTAGTTAATGGAATTAACTCCGATTTCCTTCAAAATATCCGAATTCCTCAAAACGTAGCCACCCTCTTACGATCTTTCATGCGACCAAACCATTGGGCGATAAATATAAATATATAATTCAAATTTTGAAATCAAATGCACTTTTCTGTATATCTTGTTAATACCTTCTTTGCTGACAGTAGTTAATGATTTATTTCATGTGTGTACAATGTGTACGAATCGATATATTGTTAATCAATATGGCATATTAAATGTTTGTCTACGTCTCATGTTTTAAGGGATGTGGAATCAGAACATAGATTTCTTAAACATGTATGTTATTAAGTTTCTGTCATACATAAAAAGATACATCAATTTGACTGATTTCTTTTATAATGGGATATGTAGTCATAAAGTCAGTTTCTCAGATTTTTTCTGACAAGCCAAACTAACACTTATCCAAAGGAGGAATGTCGTTCCATATTTTACTTCAATTATATAAGACATCTTTTGTAGTAAATCAGATATCATATTTGGCCACATATGGGACCACATTCCAAAGCGTTCCGAATGATTCCGGGAAATTTGTTTTCTTTCCAATACCACATTTTTTTATGAGATATCTCAGATAGAAACGAGATTGCATACCTTTCTAACTACATCAGCTGCTTTCATATACCACAAAAAATCGTGAAAAATAAGAAAAAAGCGAAATAACCATGTTGGAAGTTATCTAAAACGGGAAAATTCATATCAGGGAAATTCGTTAACTTTGCCTATCAAACAGCTTTGTTATGAAGTTGTCACGATTACGTTCGCTGTAACTAAAAGACATACGAAACAAATGATGTTTATAACTTAATGGGTTAAAAGTGTCCTCCATTTGATTAAATAATGAAATGCTTGACGATGTTACCTTTGTGTATTAGGATACGTTCACCGGTGTATTGAGTATCAAGCGAATGACTGATCGATCAAAACGTCAAACTAAGGTCGAAATATGTTGATTTTCCGATAGGACAATGCCAAATATGAATTAACTACTTAGAAACTAGAAAGAAAAGATAAAGGGAAAATAAAATGAGTAAATTGTCAGTAAATGTTATGAAAAACCATTCAGGGAATTCACTGCCGCTATGGAATTGTTAAGCCGTTAAACATTACAAATTGTTCAGTAATGGTCGTGTACACCATTAGTATAAAACACAAATAAGATTGTATGTAAGCACTTTTACGCATCGTTTGTCAGGAACTTGAAGGAGATTTCAGATCAGTGAACGAAGAAAGCCGAACAATTCACAACGAGTCAAAGATTACCGCTAACAGATAATGTCACATAGCATTTACTGGGAGAATGTCAAAGTCGAAGATAAGAAAACAATCTTCGAAAGTGTCTGGCAAAGGAAGCCATCTGGATGCGCCGCAACAAGATGGTATTTAACAATGATGAGGGGCCTATACATTCCCCCACATCTTTTATCCGGTTTAAAGCAAAATATTGTCAAATTGATTTTCATAATATGATACGTTACTACTGAACTCGACATATTTGCACTATAATATCGCCTTTACATGTCGGTATGCATCTCTTACACTGTATAGCACATTAAGGGTTCAGAAAACGTATATAAGCAGGGGCATTCAGACGCATAGTAATACAAGAGCATTATAAGTTCCTACTTCGCACTTCGTCTAGGGAGATATTGAGTGATGTATAAATACTAAAAATATTTCCTTGGTCCTCTAGCAAAATCACTCTTTTATTATAAAGGAAATGTGCAGAAGGAAAATTTTGTGCAGATAAATAAGGATTAAGTTATTACATGTCTGAACAAGAGACAAAATCATACATTCATACTTTGATGATAATCGTTCAGTTTGTTCTACCGCTATTTCGTTTTGTACCAATGGACCGAAAGAATATCTTGTAAAAGTGAATCCAAGACAGTATGTTATCATTTAACCACTTTCTCTCTCAGTGTTTCCATTGCATCACTAAATGTCCAGCAATTCAAATTCCAATCAATTAATTGAGTATCCCAATGTTTTTGGACACCAGTACAATTGTGGCAATGCACAATGCACCAAAAAAACTACGTGCGTACATTGTGCAGCACATCGTCCGCACATACGCGCAAAACAGCAACTAGTTCGATAGAGTCGCACATTTTGTGCAGTTTGGTAAAAACGATTGCGCAATATTACGGATTGAAAAATATATGGAAAACTTGTGAAGTTATGACTAAATAGCGATCACAGTCGTATCAAAACTGATTGGTGATTATCGAAGTCATTTTTTATTCTACAGTTTTAGAAATAACGCTAGACAATGCATTAATTCGTCTCTCTATAGTATAGTCTCACATCTCCCAGAGTGGCGAGCGATGGGCCTCGGGCAACAAAAATTGCATGCAAGGCCTGTCTCGTGTTACACTTGGTAAACAAAACATTTTTAATTACGAATGTATATAATTATTAAAATAAATCCACATGGGTCCAACAGATAGCTTTATATTTTATTAGGAAATATACTTATTTGCACTTTGATAAATTTAGAAATTAGATAAACCCTATCCCACACTTATTAGTCATTTCCAAATTTATACCAACTACGACAAAATCATACATCTGTGCGATGGAACCGCACAAAGTGCGCATGAATGTACGATATCTTATTTCGGCCGTCTCTATCGTGCTCTCATCGCACATTGTGTAACGTTGTGCAATCCCACAGCTGCACGTTATCTTTTCGTTGGATCACATCTACTGCAATCAAACGAGATGGCATCGGTAATTTCCGCATCAGTTAGACTCAAATCGATCACCGAAAATCACAAACGACACGAAAGTATATAGGCATAAAATTAAATACATTTTGTAAGCTCAATTTCACAGCCGTTTCGCCCTTTTAGTACATTCATGTGGTGTTTAGGGACTGTTTGTAGACCATTTAGGTGGCTGCAGAAAATCGATCGAGATAGATGTCACAAACCCGGAATAGTTCCAAAATAAATCAAAATTTTAATCTAAACGGACACAAAAGCACGTACATAAGTTGATGTTTAAACATGGCACTATTTGCATAATTAAAAGTGCTTTAATAGACCTAATCCAGTAATTCTTAGAACAGATGCTTCACTATCCTTTACATGGAGGTAGTGGCCCCTGGATTATCACTATTCTTTACATAGAGGTAGGGGCACCTGGATTCTAGAAGCTTTCCTAGGTACGTAAATACCTTTGGAATGTTTATCAAGCAGTTGACATTTATCGAATCCTATATGTATTGTATTTAAGAAAGAGGCATAAATTAACGCATTTATTTACAATTACGACAAGAGTTTTAAAACAAAATCAAATCAATATCATAATGATAACAGCTAATGCCAAGACTTCTTACAAATGCTTGTGAGATGAAAGAGTCAAACACAACAAGAAGATATCGGCCTTCCAGCAAACTCAGGAACACTAGGGCAATATTTGAACAAAAAAATGATTTACACTCCTGAAAAATTACAAGGAGAATAAGATCAAAATGACCTTTCATCTTCATTAAAAAACAAATCAAAAACATTGAAACAAATTAATCATGGTTGAATTCAAGCAAATACATCGTAAACTGCGTACAACTAGCTCAGCTTGTTAGATAATTTGATGGAGTGGCAGACTACTATACTAAGAAACCGTGATTCAATAGTTATTGGAGACACTGAAAAATGTCCTATACTGTGTTGATGATTCTCAGTATCCTTATAGCCAAACATTTTATTCCGATAATTCGCATGTAGTTAAATTATTTCGGGTGCTCTTGTCTGGGAATAATTACATGCTAAAAATTAGCTGGGAAAACGTTGACAATAAACAACAAGAAACCTTCAAGATCAACAAAATATGAAACTGTTACAATTTTTGTTACATCAACACATTCAAAAGTATATCGATGTCTTATATTGTCTTGTACATTGAAATATAAGTAAGTGATTTTTTCCAACGTATCTACATATACACACACATCATGGGAATATATATTTTGAAGTTAAAATACACAATAAACATTTATACATATGTTTGAAGTGATAATTTAGATTCAAATATGATTTGTAGATTTTTACATAATTTGAATAGAATTCCACATTATCAATTTACTATGTTTTAAGTGAATAAAATACTTTATTTATCTAAAGTTCCAATATTCGATACGGTCTATGAAAGTTCAAAGTATACGCTTCGGGCGGCATAGGTGATATGATACTTCATATCCCGAGTTTTTAAAGAGCATTCACCCATTTCAGAACGTCTTCCTTATTTGTACATTTGGCAGATGCCCTTGCTCAGTAATGGGCCGCCTTCGTGTAGAAGGAGACAGGGCCAAACGACATATTTGACTTTACTGCCATTTTGTGTATAGGATTTAAATCTTTCGCTGGGAGGATCTCCTTTTTTCAAGTTCCAATACATGTACACTGGGGGATCCTGTACGGCCATATCCCATGATACGCGAATGCACCCCTCAGTGAATTTTTTCAGATGCTGCATCAGCGGTTCGTCTCCTACATATTCGATAAGGACCTTGTTCACCTTGTCAACAACAAAAACAGCAATAATCATGTATGCATACTCACTCTTTTCTTCATAACGTTTATGTAAATGTGCGTTTGTGACTCTCTAATTCGAAATAAAACAGACGTTTGAATTAATGGAGAATTTTAAATGTGCAACAATGAAATACTTACTTAAACTGGAATAAATATCTTTTAATTTATCCCATAAATACGACTACGTCAAAATTGATATATAATGTAATAAACTTCTTTGCAGTTTTTGGTTTGTTTTTGCACACACTGTAGTGTGAAACCACTTTCAAAGCCGCCGATTAATCTCCACTGACTTACAATTTTGATTGGTTAACCTTTGACCTCCAGACCAATGCGATCTAAGTGTTGTCGTCTGTCGATAAAAAATCACCGTGACCGCCAACGGTCAGTTTATAGACAAACTGGAAACTACATATATGATTAGTTTAATATTCAGCTGTCCGTTCCTACCTCACCATGTCACGTCATCAATTGGGCGGGATAATTTGAATGACTAATATGCTAACAAAACACATGAACAGTATGATTTTGATACTAATATATCATGATTTTATGTACAAATAAACAAAAGTAGGTGATCTAAGATATATGATAGCCGTTTTTTCATTACAAGCAACATTTTGTCAGGCCGCCGTAGGCGACTTTAGTCGACAATTTTAATATCTTTATTATTAGCCAAGATATGCTTGTTTCAGTAATGCTGCCATTGTTTTCGGATATTTTCTGGAAAATATTTGTCGCTGAGCTGTACATTGTGAGAGATATTTGGCGCTGAGCTTTATATTGTAAGAGATAAATGGCGCCGAAAGGGTTAAAGTTCATAAAATGTACTCTCGAACTCGTTTGTTAGCGGTTAATGGCGTCATTGTTGCATAAGATCAACGTGTGGAACTATTTTCAATCAAATTCGCTCTTATTTACTTTTTTTATTTCCATTTTGTAAAAAAAATACAAATGAAAAACTTGAAATTAACAGGTTTGTTCAATATGTGATAGAAACATAGCAAAATATATTTGAATGGACGAAGAAGATTAACCAATGATAGAGAATTTTTATTAGTTCAGTACATTCCGAAATCTTCATTTCTGTATGGTATGGCATGATGAAAACATGTTACATAAATCGTATTAAGAAGTGTGTTGAGAATGCTTAGCATGTAGAAGTCAGATAATAACATATTTGCCCATACCCCACCGTTTTCTTACAAATAGTGACTATAAAAGATTGCTTTCTTGCATTTCTTGCGAAAAGTAATTCATGGTAGTTAAGTTTAATTATGCTACCTGCGTTACGATGTTTTCTGACGCTGATGAAGAGGCCCTCTTTCGAAGGTTTTTCAAATCTTTGATTTCGACTTCTTGGAATCCAATTGCTTTCAGCGTCTATCAAAGAGAAACCATTTTTCATCAGTTGTTTAAAACTTTCTGCTGATAACAATACTATTCCAAACATATCAAATGAACTAAAATGTTTCCGAATAATGACTCAAACAACGTCATGCATATATATCGTACCAATAACAGTATTAAATGTTTTCTAAAAACTGAAATGTGCCCATTTCACTCTAATATATCTTCTGCATATAGTGTAACGCTTTGCGATCCCGCAACTGTAAGATTGATGTATCACTTCATGGCATACGTGCAAAACACAAAATAAGGCACCACAAGGAGTACGACAGGGCCTATTTCTACCTCATGGACAGGTGTATATTTCGATTAAGATTAATCTGTAAAGGAACAACTACATTATCGAATCGAATTCATCCATAAATTATCTGGGACATATTTCGACCACATGTGAATCGAGAGTAAGATCCCAACTATTGTTTGATTAGTGTTTAAACAACTTCACAAATACAGAAAATACATTTCAATATATAATACACGAATACACTAATAATATTTGACTTCTGTAACTGAGTAAAAACGACACTGAGTGCATTGGATGTTGTCGAGAAAGTGCAGTTTCAAGCATTTATTTTGGATTTTGCAAATGGTTACAACAACGAACTTTGAACATAATGAGTCATATGTATGTATACATGATCTGTGTTAAGAGTGGAAATAAAGATCATCGTGATCTAACCACATTGATACTCACAATGAAATTGATATGATGAATTTAAAAATGTTTAAGCGATTAAACACTTGTAACATATGTAAATATGTACAAAAGTCTTACTTTATTTTCTTCCTCTGTTGTTGTCTGTGTAAGAACTTTGGCCAAACGTTCCCATTGAAGGTCAGCAAGTCTGACGCATTCCGTGTAACATTTCTTTGATGAAATATTTCAATATTGAATAAACAACTTTGCATGATTTGTAATCAATCGTAATGCACAATATATGCATATTCGTATGTCTATTTCTATTTAGAATAATATCCATAGGTCTTATATATATATAAAGTTGAAATTACAAATGGTTTAAATTTGTATGTCTATCTTAGACCTACCATCATGAGACTTTGTCTCATAGTTTGTGTCCTTTAAGATGACATTTACTTGTTTGAATGATATCAAAAGTTAGGAGTGCAATGACAATTCAGCAAATGTTTCAAAATTTATAAACATACCTTCACAATGTCTAGCAACAATGATATAGCCTCCTTTGGTTTCACTGGTATCATTGCTGTTCCCTCTCCCTCTGTTAACAACAGAAAGGCATCTGTCCACTCATTGTCGTTGAGTTCACGGAATCTTTCCCCAAGGTTCATTGGTCTGTTCGGATCATTGAGATCAGTTATGTTCGGATTCCCATCAGTCAGTTTTGCACCAGCCACCTTGCTAAGCCTGCATATTCAATTTCAGTCTCTCGGAGGTAGTACACAAATAATTAAAGAAAATTGAAATATTGAATTATCAATACAATAAAAAGCACACATCACAATCTATATTGAAACATCATTTTCTTATATTCTGTATTATATTGAATAATGGTACCAACAAGATTTGTGTGCTGCCTTACTTCAATGTATTATCGCTACCATTGTAATAAGGATTATATTCCTTGCATGCTACTAACTTATCGTATATACTGTAGTTACATATACATACTATACTATTTATGTTAAATGGTTAAATAATTATTACATCTTACCTTCGACGTAAAACATTCGCCTCTTCCTCCATCCTTTTATAATTCGTATGTTGATTCATCCCTCTAGAAAATGAACAACAGATACACACAATAAAATGCATGATAGTTTGTCATTGTATGCCGTGATTTGGCATGCTTTGTCATTGCAAAATATAATAATGCAGTCTTATGACTTAATGCAAGGTTTATAACAACTCAAAATGTCACTAAAATGTCGAGGATGATCCGATATATGCAAACTAAAATAGTATGCATGAGACCTATTTCGGGTATGATGAAATTAAGGTACCGAATGAATTGTGGTGTATTTTTAACAGGAAAGGAATAAAAAAGCAATATTATTGTTATTGCGTTATGAAATAATGCAACATTTTGAAGATAAGAATAACCATACTTATCACACAGCAAAGACTGCACTTTGAGAACAAAAGCTAAAATGAATATTTTAAAGCATGCAGTCAAATTGTTCTGAAACGATTACAATGAATGCAAATGTGATAATTAACTACCTTTAGCCACCAACATTGTACATCGTACATCCAATAACCATTTCTTTCTTGAGGTTATTCATTTTATTTGCTTGTCTTCGTCATAAAAAGGATAATAAATTTATCACATATTTGATTTTATTGGTGTGTACCTGCTACGTTCAGTGTCTATTTCGTTCTTGAGAGCATTCATATTCCTATTTTGCCTTGAAATAAAAAAGAAAATTTGCATTTGTCAAACATATATTATGTATATCATATATGTGTTTTATTCACAAGCTATGTTTATTGATATAATAGATGTTTTTTTTTTTTTTTTTTTTCTTTTTAGAACGATATATGCAGTCTAGGAATAGCAATGACTTTCTAATCCTATTGTTTATTCACCACATTAATTATCCAATTAAGTGGATATGTTTGCAGATAAAACAATTATGCACATCTATATTCAATAATTGAATAGTTTTACTTGATTACTACTTAAAATTACAATGCCAAATACAATATTTTGTAATTAGAAGAAGCACTGGATGGATGCTCTATTTCATACCCCCACCTATGGTGGATCCAAAATGTTTTTTTTTTTTTTTTTTTTGTCAGGGAATCAGTGTTTCATCATTTTCGTTTGCAAACCAGTTATTTTCCTTTGCTTACAGAACACTTTGTGAACATGGCATCATCTTTAAATTGTTACATATCAATATTTGGCATAAGCGAGATCGATGTTTAAATCAATATTTGATTTGTTACTTACATGATACTTGTAGCTTTAAACGAATACGATTGCCGTTATATCATTATGACGAAGCGATATAATTAATAATCGATCATTTGAAAGCAGCCAATACATTATCATATCTTATGTAGATCGAAACAGCAGATTTGGCATTCTGACATATTGGCACTCTAAGTGATATTAATTACCGACACAACATTTGTATAGAAAAGTAAAATAAATACAGGGACAGAATGGAAACTAGTTAAATGCATCCTCAAAGATTAAATACGAATACCCTTTGTGTTAAAGTATAGGAAAATAACAACAGGAATTCTACATCAACACACTGACTAAGATTACTAAAAATTTTGTCAAATGTGGATCCGGAATTCAACGTTTTTTCCAACAGAATATATTTACCTGCAACGTTCTTCCTTCAACACTTGTTTGAGATTATAAATTTCTTGCTGATGCCTTAAAAGAAAAGAAGAACTCTATGAAAAAGTTATGAAATAGTAAAGTTACTGTCATTCCTGTGTCGTTTATTTTAATATTCATAAACGTTGTAACTACGTATTTTCTAATTCATAGTAATCTGTCCGAAGAAACAAAAACGGAAATTGATATTCATGTTTGTGTACATACACTGTACAGATTAGAGTGAAAAAAGAAACATTGTTGGGCGTGTTTGTGTACATATACAGTACAAATTAGAGTGAAAAAAGAAACATTGTTGGGCGTATCTTTCATTTTACTGGCTGACATTTTTTATTCGCTGTATCATTGTATTCTATCATTAAATTCTGGATAAGAGATCGAAGGTACTGTTTGTGGTTCTTCACACATTGAATCGCAATGCCGCGTCTGTCGAAAGATGAGAGAGAAGGGGTTATTGGTATGATCCAAGTTGGCGGTGCGAAGATCTCCAGGATTACAGCATATTTCTAGGATAAGTCCTCTCACGCCATGCCAAACGATGTTGTCGAGACGTTCAACTACCAGGAAGAGTAAAGCATGACGTATAGAGGGAAAGTTGCTGTGTATTCGATTGTTCGTGATAAAACTATATTTGATTTCAGCGTCATCAGGCAGCTCAAACATTATCACTACAGATGATATCTCACAAAATAAGTAAATGGATGGAACAACTCGTAAATAGTCATAAAGCTGTCTTAAATAACGTGAAGTCATTGAAATTGACATTGTTGACATTACAAAAAATTATGTTTTTATGAAAACACAAAAGAGCCGTGGACTTGGAAGCAGCTTTGCTCCCACGTAAAGGACTTCGTTTGGTCGACCAGTAAGCAGCTAGATCACCAGTAAGAGGTTGAAACGTCATCGAATGTGTGCGAGGAGGCCATACAAGCCCATGGTGGCGAAACAGTGTTTTTTGTATTCTCTACCGAGAAATAGAGAATTACAAAGTCATTAAGTATGTCGAAATTGGGAGGAACGCTTCACGCAGATTGCTGAGTAGTCAAGTTAGACATATTACAGTTGGTGGGTAGTGTGATATCCTAGGACGGCATATTCATTGGAAATCGAACCAGACATTACATTTTTTAGCAATTGAAATGAAATTCAGTATCGGGACGAAAGTTAAGCACCCCTTTCTGAGGTCCATTTTGCGGTATGGTAATGCGAAATCCCATACTGGTTCAAGCCATTCGACGATATACATCCTACAAAGTCATTTGACGCCTGATTTACTTTATTTCATTATGACGTAGTTGCCGCCAATGTAAATCTTGATAACCTATGTATTTGTAAAGTATATATATATATAATTGGCAATTGAATGAGATGGAATGATACTCACATTTGAATCTGTTCATCCTTGTCCTTCTCAATCTTTTTAACTTTATCAACTTCCCTTGAAAACAGAAAAATAAATATATTTGTACATAATATACACGAAATAACCTAAAAGGAGAGTAACTAAATACCAACTTTATTAAATTTACAACAATTCCGAAACAAGCTTTTACTTTATATTAATCACTAAAAGGCCCGATTGCAGGCGCGCGAGGGGTCTTATTGCGGAAGGAAAGCGGAATATCGGGGGAAATCCCACGTGTTCTTGCAGGTGACCCAATACCTTTTCACGTCTGTTTCTAGAATCGAGATCTGGAATGTTGTTGTTATTACTATTGCACCACCCTATTAACCATATAATACCGATGTTTAATTCAATTATATGAATCAAATTGTTTTCGAAACTACAATATGCTGTACATTAACAGCCCATTCAATGAGACAGTGGCCTAAAATTAACGGATAGGCGATGGATTCTTCATATTGATACTAGTCGTTCTCATATCATATCTGTATCCCCCTCATAAAATTGTCCGGATACTTTTTTGGCCTTCATAGATATATATAGGGAGGGGGAATTACATTTACCATATGATGGTCATCAGAAAATTATCTAGGGGGAGGTTTATCATACATGTATATATAGGGAAATACATATATAGAGGCCACCAGAAAAGTATCTAGGGGAGATTTATCATATCTATAGGGGGATACATATCAGAACAAAATCTAGGAGGAGGTTATATTTAACAATATATAGCAGTGACGTGCATCTAGAAATAAACACAATCATGATGTTAGTTATATCTTTGAAGCTGTTGAGATCCCCACCCAAAAACCATATATAGCAACGTTATGGAGTAAGAGATAAACACATATTCATAATGTAAGAACTGGCCCTTGAGTTTGGCCCCACGCCTCTGCACTTAATTTCAGGATGATATCTTTGAAACAGTTAAAATCCCCTCCCCATGAACTATAGATATATATAATTACTTGGCATCATGATATAAACACATTTGTTATGTTAGAATTCATCATTGGGTGTGGCACACACACTTTCTGGGAATAAAAGAGAAAGATGTCAAATGATTGAGCTTTAAATTGGAAATACCCAACCTATAGGCATGTATGTCACTGCTGGCTTTATGATCCAGGTGAGCAACACAGGTTCTACTGGCCTCTTGTTTTTGTACAAGTTCTAAAACGCCCGGTGTTTTCTGCTACATGAGACATCATGAATTAAAATTAATTATTTTCTTTATGTTTTATATTTTAATGAGCCAAAGACTGATTCCTATCAATTAATGTAAAACTAAGTCTTTTATAATTGTTATCGGTAAACTGCCTGTAGACTGAAATAATTCAAGAATTCCATTAAGATGATGGATCTCGACCAGTTTCATTTCGAAGTAGTTATCCATCAGATGGGAACTACTTGGTCTTTGGCCTTTTAGATAAAGTGTAAAGAGAGGTACATGAATTGTGTGGCGCCAAAGTATGAGTATTGCTGAGTTTGACTTCCAAGCAAGATGCAGAACATTTTAAATTAAAAGACACACAGTATAGGATTATTATTTGAATTTTAAAATAATATCTTATTGCTGTACAAGTAAGTAATTACCTACATTACAGATAAACAATCAGTTATAGCCTTCTAATATTGGCTACATAAAGATAATTAGGTACGCTCTGCGCCACCTTGGTACTGTACAGGTGTTATCCGGTCAGGTGTAATCAGTTAATTGGACACCTCTACAGGTACCCAACTGGCTGACCAACAACCACAGTATAATCAGCAATTTTGTAAAACAGATAAGTTATAGTATTGATCTCAAGGGGGATACAAAAACTATAGGAGGATACTTTTCTGATGGACAAAAAATGTAGCCTCGAATGCTTTTATGAATGGGGGGAAAGTATTCGGGTACTTTTGTGATAGGGATAAAGATATGATATGACACCGGTACTGAATGACAATCAGTTGAAATAATGATACTGGAAATAGCTAACAGTGGTATCAATAACAATGATACTTACTTTTTTATCTGCATCTCCCTGTCCTCCGCAAGTCTTCGGCTTTTCTCAATTTCCCTAAATATAGAAAATAACATCATTATGCTATCACATCATGTAAATGAAATAATGCAAAAACTTTCAAACGCATCAATAACTAGGCCTAGTATACTAGACTCCTAAGGGAAGTTATCATTGATTACGAGATGCAGATTTAGAAATATGGGGTAGATGTTGACAGGTAAATTCATCATTTGAACTCTTGGCCCTAACTTTATTACATTCTGATTTATCGACAGTGGAGTCAGTTCAACACATACGCATTTTTTAATCTACTCATCATTTTCCTTCTCTAGTTTTATAAATTTATGTTAATGAAGTTTAGCTTAGCAGGGAAATATTTCATATCAATAAGACAAAATAATTGTAATTACCTATGATTTGTGTCTCAGTTACAGATACAATTGTAGTTACGAAGTCCTCATTGTGTGTTGTATGTCGAGCACATAGGGATACAGTTGTAAAACTAATATGGTTATAAAGTAACAATTTTATTTATCAAACGGTGATCGTTTATCATCTAAATGTCCTTTATATAGCATTCCACCTCTTCTAAACTAATTCAGATAAAAATTCAAATGTATCGATGGTTGATGTTTCTCTGCGTCTGTATTGACCTGACAAAATGGCCAAAAAAGTCGTAATGTGTACTTTCAATATTTCGACCGAACGTGTCATTTCATTTCTTTTGTGAGTTGCTTACTGTTTTAAAAGAATATTGAACATCTGAAGTCCACGTTTTTCTTCATCGTTAAAATTCCCTGGGATAGTGATATCTGCTTCTGTGTTCTGTTGATAGATCTTCTGCGCGTCTTTATACCAGGAAGTTCTCTTCTCATCCATTTGTTCATAACTAATAAAGAAAAATGATAACAAGATTCAAAGTAGGGTTCAAAATGGCAGAAACAATTTTGCCAAAAATGCGTGATGCTTTGACGAAGATACGGTTTACTAACTATAACAATGTATATACTTTCCTAAGCTTGTATTATGACTGATATTGATTGCTTATTGCTATCTTGAATCCTATACTTCATGACTTTATACAATGTTTCATTTCACGAGGTTTCGTTCCTGCTTCCCTAAATACATGTTTTTTGCATATCACAGTGGATTCTATATTCGACGACTTTTTCAAATGCCAGTTCCTCGATTTCCATGAAATGTGGTAAGGACTGGCTGATTGGATTACATGTTCTCCGGTAGATTCGTTGTTATTAATTGTTTTGTAAAAAGCAATCATGACCTAGCTTTATATTATACTGACATTCATGATTAAAGATTCAAGGTATCATTCATAATAATGGATGCAAGCTACAAGTAACAAATGCAGTGTGTAAATAGTATATATACTCCTCTTTCGATGACACCAGCTTTTCCCAGTCCTGCTTGATATCTTGAAGTAAAGTTTTCACAGGAGGTGCACGTGCCTTCTCACATCTAGGTGACTGGTTATCTTTTTCCCTTTGATCCGTGCATGTTCGAAACTTCTCCGCAGTTCCTTCTATTTCTTGAAGTATTTCCAAAAATGCTCTGAAGAAATTCCCAACATGTTTTTACTGGTATGACAATCAGATAAAAACAATATCTGACATTGTGATATATATATAATGCTTATATACTTGAGACTTGAATTCTCGAAACATCTGTGGATAATATAAACTACATTATGTACATGGCTGGGCTTTATAGATTAGTGTGATAGGAAATCAGTGTTATAAGTTCTTTAAAACAGGTTTGAAATATATAGGCATGTCGCTGTAGCTATGTTTAATATAAAAAGTGCCTTACTGTTGTGATTCCTTGAGGAGTAGTGTAGCGTCATCCTTTTGACATTCTGTATCTCCACATATCAGAGAATGTATTTTCTTAATTTCGTCTAGCAGTTCTGTTTGGTCCTGACTCGTGCTGGTGAAACAGTAACATTTGTTTCTTAGGTTTATACGTTATGGCGTATCTGGTTAGAAGATTTGCTACGATTCAAAGAATAGGATATGTCTGGTATATTGAACTAACCATGTGTTAAAAATTTCACAAAAGGTTAATCGGATAAAAATGTTGAAGAGAGATTACACCAATTCGAACCATGCTACATCCATACAGTGAAAAATTGACACACTTACTTTCACCCATGTCACAATTTTCACTAAGCATCCGCTTTGATATACATTAATGGCATATATATTAACTAATTCATCAAAAAATATATCATTCCAGTGGGTACGACAAGGTGTTTTATGTTGATACTCTAAACATGTTAATGGTGAGTCATATTTGGAAAAAAACAAACCTGTTGTCAGTTTCTTTCTTGTCTATCAATTGTCCATTTACTGCAGAACTCATCGTTTCTGTACCGTGTTGTGATTATGATACTCTACATAATAAAGATACAATTACAAAGTCAGCACATGATGTACAAACATGCACGATACGGTATCTAGCGCACAACTCTGAGATAGGCTCGCGCATTTTGTGCAGATTGGTAGAAATGAATGATGAATATTACAGATTGAAAATTAAACGGAAAGCTCATGTAGTTATGTCTTATTAGTGACCATATGTATATACATATACTTAATGTCACTGAGACTGGTCATGTGTGGCACTTTGCAAATTAAACACTCTTACGAGTATATTTGACTTTAATCTACATGTGTCTGATCTATGAATATATGGCTCAATAAGAAAATAGATTTACCAGTATCTTTGAATATATTAAGAAATTAAATAAACCATTTCCCACACTTATCGTTATTTATTTATTAGAAAGTAATTTCTAAATTCATATTTTTATATAGAACAGCAAATCGTGCCTATAACCTGCAGACATCGTGCATATATCATACATCGTGTAACGTTGTGAGAACCCCAAACTGTATCTGCATGAAAATCACGATGTTTGGCGTATATGTTATTACAGAGAGAATATACAAATTCATCAATAATAAGGAGGATGTTGTTATTATCCTTTTCTACTTTTTAGATTCAACCATTGCTTGTCAAATACATATTCGTGATCCGTGTCTATCAAACAACACTCGTGGCGTAAAGTAATGTCCATTAATGATACGCATCTACCCCGTTTAAATAACATTGATTAATAAAGAATATGAGGACATTTTTACTGTCGTCAAAATAATCTTTTGGGGGGAACATTCTATTCCCTTGTGTGATATATAGTTGGGAATTATTTTATTATCGTTAGTAAACCTATTGGTTCCGCAATTGTTTATCTTATTCTTGTTTTAGGAACAAGAAATCACTTTCTTAGATTGACTAATATTTACATTGTGGGGGTTATCTATTAATGAGGCTGAAGCCGGTTACACCACCGGAGCGCATGGCCTAAATTCTCCTTGTTATAAGCAATCTATCTCCCTGTAAATCTTTGCTTTTTTCATAGACACTAACCATAACCTTAGTTCCATCGAATTTGAGTTTACATTTAGAATCAGCCGGAATGTCGGTAGTCCCTTTGTTGTTTTAGATGACAAATTATCTTCATCAGGTCGCGCCTCCATTTGCTTCCTCTTTTCAATCTTGGTAAGAGTTATGGTTCTTTGACTAGGAATCGATGTCACAATCCTAACGACGTCGAAATCGATGCAATTTTAAGATAAAAAGTTCGGGAATAATCACGAAAATAACGATGCATCAGTGGACTGTTTCATACAAACCAATCGAGTATTTCTAACACAATACAGCTGTTTTATGCAGTTCAGTTCATGGTTTGGCTCCACTCTGTTAATCTCTAAATTTATATTTTGAAAATATTGTTGTATTCACTTGTACAAGTCTATGCATTAAGTTGCAGTTGAATAATACTAGACACTCATTTGCTATTTGTAATGACTTTTTAACTTTACCAGGCTGTAAACAACAGAAGAGACAGCATACATATACACAACGCTGTTCACTTGTGTGTCTTTGTACAATCTTTGCATGGACTTGTTTTTAAAAACTTTTCCATTTTACTTCCTTTATCTTCACATGCACAATATAATTGTCCAAATAACAGCTTTTGAATCGTAAGCAAAGTTAGTATCACTAACATGTGATATAGTTATATCTTCAAATGGAATTGTTATATCAGTTTGTTAAAAACAGATTGTTTACCTGCAGTATATTTCCAAAGCTTTCAAAGTCAGAATTAGCACCCACTTATACACCAGGTAGACTCTGCTGGGTATGTTTATTTATGTATTTCTTGGAAGTGGTTTATATTTTTACTTAGGAGTCATTTCCGCGAAAGCATTATAATTCGACGGAGTGCATATCAAAGATTGCGTGACCATGTGTGACCTGTCGGGTAAGTGTATATGTATATAATCCGTGTTGTTGTAGACTCGCCAGTGAAGAGTGCATACACAAACATACCGAAACGCAAACGTAAAGGTCTGATTGTACTTTTATTTAAAAAAAGGGAAATCAGTCATATATATTAATCACATTTAGCACGTTTTCTTCGTGAATATGTAAGTATGTACTTAAAGTAGCTCTTGTAAATTACACATATAACAATTCTTACGTCTGAAAGCATGGGTCATAAAAACATTAGAACCCATAGTCGGTAAAATACATATATTTAATATAATATTGATACCTCCCTCAGTTTCCAGCTAATAATTCCTTAAGATTAAAATTCCCTTTTAAATTTTTCATTTCATTTTTATTTTAATTTTTTTGTTTTTGTTTTTGTTTTTTTTTTAAGCTATTTTTAAGTTTCTGAAACGTTAATATAATTTTAATACAAGGTAGTCCCTAGTAAGATCAATCATGATATGTTTGCTTTAGTCATACGAATGCTCATCCAAGCATTAAGTAGAAGTATTGTGCGAGTGCGCACGGGTTTTAAACATGATTAACAGATAAAATAAAACATGGTGTACAGCCTTTTTGTTATCTAAAGAATAGAGTTGACAGCTAACCTGATGTCTTTAAACAAAAAAGATGCGACATATACATCGTAACTACCTATATATACTGTAAGATTGACGAAAATATACACATGTGAATATCGCCTTTTACTATACATTTAGAAGTATACACAGTAAAACCACATAGCGAATTCACCTGTATCATACAGCTGTGACGTCATGATAAATCCTCTCACTGGTAATATTGGTTTAAATTTTGAAACATAGAAGGTGACAGAGGTAAAACAAAAATTGATCGAAAATAATATTCAAAACTAGATACATAGGTATACCCATGGCTCAGTAATGTTCTTAATTTTCACATATTTGATAATCTCATATGTAATAGGTACGTCAAATGCAGTATGTATTCTGTAAATTGTAAATGTTGGGAAGTTGATCAGTTTTTGCTTGCCGAGGTAGCCAAAGGAGTCATCAAAAAATATTCTTTCTCGATAAATGTTCAAAATCATAGAAATTGGTAAAAAGTGTAATATATTTTGCCTCTGTAAATGAAAGGATTATCAAAATCAATAAATATAACAACTTACATGTTTTATTCTGGACAAACGATGGCATATAACCTATCACACATATTATTCTAAAGCATATGGTGACTTCTAAGATTTAGATAAGCACGATTCTTCAGAACAACTGCCTTTATTTAATTAGCGGTCGCAAGCAACCTCATGACACATGAGGACACAATATCGGGGCATTTACAAACGTAAAAATGAATTATATCATAACATAATAAAAAAATATTTGTTTATGCTCAATTTTTAAATGTACAATCAGTCCATTTATCTATTCCATTTATTTATCTATGACTTTTAAAATTTAGTTTATTGTATATTCTCTGCCAGCAGAGAAACGATAATTCGGGGGTTTGTTGGAATATCAACTTAGATGTGATCTCAGAGCTTTCAGATTTTTTCTTCACAGTTTTAAGTTCTATCTTCATTCGTTATAAACAATCAATAAGATACTCACATGAAACAATAATGATACTGAAATATATTGATCCCTAATTCCATTCAGTTTCACCATTATGGTGTTAAAAATAAGGAAACATTGTTAAGGTTATAGATATGAGATCTTCAGGATAATGAAATATCGTAACATCTCCGATCAATGTATACCAAGCAATGTATATTCAAGATCATATGTTTCTAGTAATACATGTTAAATACAGTTTTACTAATATAGATTGCAGTGATAGTCACGAAAATCTTATTTGTTTGAAAATATAAGCGACGGAGTGTTTGTTCTTTTGTAAATATTGTCAACTTTGTGAAGATGAACATTTTGTAGATGTAGTTAGTTTCTGTCTAGAAAAACACTCTGTGAGATGCTTACACATGTTATAATAACTTTAACTATATATAAATGAGATGTGTTATTGTAAACACTCGTAGACCAGAAAATCATCTGCATCATTGTCATCCTAGTCGAGAAAGACCGGCTGTATGATGCCTTTTGCCAGGAGCGGCCCCTCTTTATACAACAGCATTGCTGGCCAGACAATGAAGTCGTAACGCCTGCCGTTTAGTGTGAAGTTATCGAACATATCCTTGTCTACAAAATCAGCGTATTTGATGTCCCAATGGAGATGCATCGGTGGATCCTGAAGCACCATGAACCAGCACAATTCAACGATTTTCCGGATATAAGGGTTAAACTTGTCATCCTTAGCTTCCTTTGAGTATTCGGGAGACATCCCTTTCTCTCGAAAATGCTGTTAAAATATTTCATAAATGCGAATAACCGACGAATCCTTGAACAATAAACACCTACGTGATAAAAAAAATTACTCATTTTTCCTCAACTACCTAGCTCTAAATTTGTGTTAAAAGCTGTTATTCGCTTTTTACGACCATGTGATATACAAAATGATTCTAAGCAAAGAAATCAGAACATTTTTGTTCAATCCGCAGTTGAATAATGTTATTTTTAATAACATTTAGATAGCATCAAAGTTTACATTTGCAAAATGGAACATTTCTTTTCTCTAATATTATCTGTGATTTTAGATCTGAAACGTGGCAAACAATTAGCATTTCAACTCTAGAGAATCCATTAATTTCAAAAACGATTCAAAATACTCACGTCTTCAATCACATCAGTAGATCCAATGTAATTCTTTCTGAGATTCAGGAGAAATTTGGTGTCCTGTTCAGTAAAATCTCTTTCCTGTGAAAATCAGCATATTGAAATTTACACAGATCCAGTAATGTAATTTGATGCGGATAAATCACATTGATAAAAAAAACCCTCATAATAATGTTATTATCTGGAAATATAAACCAGAAAACAACACAGTAAAACAGAACTATTTTGATGGAAGGAAGTGTTACCTAGGAATTTCACAATTTTAAAATGTATTAAAGAACAATGGAATAACTTTCCTCTTTAAACTTCCTTTGT